AGCCGGAGGTTGTGGCTTTTGTAAAGCATTTAAGGATGACCCTGGGGTTTGAGAGGGTTGGGGTTGTGGGGTTTTGTTGGGGGGGGGTGGGCTGCTGTTCGGTTGGGGGGGTTGTTGTTCGATTGTTCTGGGGGTTGTGAGCTGGGGAGTGGTGGCTTGGAGGAGTCATCCTGTGCGCAGGGTGAGGCGGATGGGAGCGGGAGCGGTAGCTGTATCATTGGCAGTGGTGGTAGTGGTGAGGGTGCAGGCCAACAGCAATACCTAGTGGACTGCGTGTCGATCGGCCATCCCAGTCTGTTGACGGAGGAGGATATTGCCGCGTTGCAGGTGCCGGTGCAGGTGTTGGTGCCGGAGCGGGATCCGGTATACACGGCCCAGCTGAAGGCGTTCACTATCCAGAACCTGCAGGAGAGGGGGGTGGAGTTCGAGTATCGGTTTTTTCCGGGGGTGGAGCATGGGTGCTTCACGAGGGGGGATGAGGGGGTTCCGGGGGAGAGGGAGGCGTTGGGGAGGGGGAGGGAGGCGGTTGGATGTTGGATGGGAGGGTGGTTGTAGGTTTTTTTTTCATCTGAAAATGGGTAGGCGGAGGGGTTTATGAGAATGGATGAGGTAGATTGGAGTTGAGGTTGATGCTGTTTGTTTGTATTGGGTTTATAGTTGTAGAGGAATTGTTTGTTGTCGGCGGTTGTATACACACACACACGCACACAGACAATCAGCTTATCTTATCGGAAGCTCTTATCGATAAGCCCGGCCAAGCTTCTTGCGACATCATGACGATCTTCATCCTCTCCCCTCCTCTGGTTGCTGCTCCCTTAATAAATCACGCCCTATTCTTTCACCAGACACTCACTACACTCAACTCACTACCGCATCAAACCACACCAAACTACCACAGAACCAAGCAGAAATGTCAACCCTCAAAGAAACCCTGATCAACGAAATCGCGCACCTTCGCGCCATCGCCGAAGACCTTCTCTTCTCCGGCACATACATCTACCCCATAAAGGTAAACCCCCTCCCCCCCCGGGCTCTTCCCCAATACATCCCCAGGATCTAAAGAGAACCAGGGAATACTCTACACCCTCCATCACCGCTCCCTCTGGACCCCTCTCCTCTCCCGGTCCACCAAAACCCTCGCCCTGGGGCTCGGCATCACCACGACCATGTTCTTCTTCACCTACATCCCGCAAGTGGCCCTGCTCACCTTCACCGCGGGGCCTTTTCTAGCGCCCTTCTCCGCCGCCCTCCTCGTGCTCTCCGAATCCTCCACGATCACCACCTACCTGGCACGGTCGTTCCTCCTCGCCGACGCGATGACCGACACCTTCGACGCGACGCTGCTCGAGCGCGGCGAGGACGCCCTCGTCGCGCGGGAGCGCGCCGTCGCCGCTCCCCCGTCCTCGTCCTCTTCCTCCTCCACTTCCACCGGCAACACCAGCGGGGCCCACCGCCTCGGAACCCGCCTCAAGCACCCGATCGAGAAACTCTCGCCGCAGATGCTGCTGCGCTCGCTGCTGTACCTGCCCCTCAACTTCGTGCCGGTCGTCGGCACGATTGCGTATATCTATGTGCAAGGGAAACGCGTAGGGCCGGTGGCGCACGCCCGGTATTTTCAGTTGAAGGGGTGGGGGAGGAAGGAGCGCGAGGGCTGGGTAGGTGGGGATGGGAGGAGGGGGGCATATACCGCGTGAGCTTTTCCGGTTTTTTTTTTTTTCTTCTAGTGTGGATGGAATGGGGCTAATCTTGTTGTGGGCAGATTCGGAATAGCGGCGTTTGCGTTGGAGATGATTCCGTTTGCTTCGATTGTTATGGCTTTTACCAATACCGTCGGGGCGGCGCTGTGGGCGGCGGATCTGGAGAAGGCTACAAGGTGAGGGGTTGGGTTGGGGATTAAATTGGGGATTGGGTTGAGGGTGTAAGGGTGCGGTTGGATTGGGTGCGGGGGCGCTGGTGTTGTAGTTTGGGGGAGTTGGGACTGTTGCGATGCGTAGTGTATATTGGATGGGACTGTACCTTTCTGTAGTTTACTCCGGGCCATAGTTGTAGTTATAGTTCACGCTGCTAGCCATGTATTTGCAACTATTTGAAGTACTGTACGCAGCCATCACTCGTTCAACTCATGCTCCGCCAGACACTCCTCCAACAGCTCGGTCATCAGAGGAACCATCTCCCCCCGTCGAATCGCCCGGTAGAGCACCCCCGTGTAGGAGCCCACTGTCGGCGCCGTGCGGCGTTGATCCGTCCTCATCGCTTCAGCTGTCGGCGTCAAGATCTGAGCCGTGCACAAAAACGGGACCCCCAGCGTCCGCCGCACAAACGCATAGACCTTCTTCGATGCCACCCCCAAATATGCACTGGCGTTGCCGTGGATCAGATACGCATCCCGATTGACATACCACGCGTCCAGAAGCAGGGAGTCCGTGTCTTCGACAAAGGTCTGCAGCGCCCCGAGTAGCTCGGCAGACGATGCACTAGCCCCGACATGGTCGAGGATGGGCACCCGCATGCTTTTCGCGATGTGCAGGAAGCGGTCCTTCGCATCCATCGTGACGGTGGAGTCGAGCATCGTCGCAAGGTGCAGCCACATCGCAATCGATAGAGCTTCCACATCTATGGATCCGGTGTCATTCTCGTCATCTGCACCTGGCTCGATGGCTTGCAGCAACTTGTCGAGCAGCTCCGCAAACGGACGACGGATTGATTCCAGGAACTGCAACTGCATGGCTCGAAGGTCCAGGGCCTGGCATGCGGAGAGGAGGTGCGCGGCGGCGAGCTCCGTCAGAACCCGCACGCCCGTGGTGGTGTACCGGGCTGAGATCAACGCTAGGGAGTTCAGCGATTGATTGCCCATCTCGGCGTTTTGGACATGGTTCACCGGGCCAGCAAGGAATCCCAACTCGGACTGGAGAGCGGAAATGTATATGTCGATGGCCTTGAAGATCCCCGACTTGCTGGGCTCCTCGGCGACGAGGTTCGGGGGCAGGCCCCAGCTTGTGGCTGGGTTGATCATCTCCTGACATTGCGTGAACAGCATGCGGCCGATGGTTTGCACTCCCTGGCGACTCTTCTCCATTGCGGCGGTCACGGCTCTGGCCTGGAAATTGCCCCCATGCAGGAACTCACCGTCGTGGGTCACTAACGGGTTATCCGTGGTCGAATTGCATTCGATGCTCATCTGCTGGTGGGCAAGCAGTAGATCCTCTAGCACCGGACCGAGCCACTGTGCCGCAGTGCGGATGGAGTATCGGTCTTGTCGCAGAGCTCCGTCTTTCCCGTCCTTGATCTGAGCCAGCTGGGAACCCCTCAGGAATGCTCGGATGTTGCGAGAGCTTTCGACTTGCCCGGGGTGTGGACGGACTTCCCCGAAAAAGCGATCGAAGCTCTCTGGCGATCCAAGAAGCGCTTCCACAGTCATGGCTGTCAGGATTTGAGAGAGCATAGCCAGTTGCTGCACGTCGTGAAGCACGAGGGCACCACAGGCCGCCGAAATAGCCGTTCCGTTGACAATTGCGAGGCCCTCCTTTGCCGTCAGGTCGACTGCCGTGATACTTGCACCAGCGAGGGCTTCATCTGCGTAAAGATCCCCGTCGTGACCGGAGGTGGGAAATACCCGGATTGTAGGCTTTCCCTGGATGACACCGCTGATATATGCCAGCGGACTCAGGTCCCCAGACGCAGAGATACTGCCGCGAATGGGCACCAGGGGAATGATATTATGCGTTAGCAGTGCCTCCAACCGATCCAGGATGACCGGGCGGATGGCCGAATGACCTCGCAACAACGTGTTGATTCTTAGGAGAATAGCACCCCGAACCCAGGTCAATGGCAGGTAGTACGACTCGCGTGCTTCCTCCTGTGCGAGGTCAAATTCACGATGGTCTTCACAAACGCTGCGTCGGCGAGGTTGAGCATCTCGAGAACCCGGAGGAAGGATGCCATAACCGAGTTCTCGAGTCAGCACCCGTTGCAGCGCTTGGACATCTTTCGTGCGAGTGTGCGCAGAGGCACCAAAGCCGGTGTTGACACCTAGTAGCGAAGCAGCTGCATCAACTTCTGGCTCACAAGGAGTTGTATTGATAGGCTCACATACCGTAGATTATGTCTCCTGACAAAAGACTATCCAGTAAGGCGTTGTGACTTTTAATGACCTCCGAGTATGCTGTTGGATCAATTTTCACGCTCTGAGCATGTCTACACATCATTAGCGCAAGGAGGCTCAAAAGGAATTTGTGACCCACCTTGCAACATAGACGACATGTGGGATGTCCAAAGTGTCACCGTTGATGATCACTTCCACCCCTGGTTCGCTTGCTAGCTGGCGGCATAACTTCCATTGTTGCACCACCAAGGATGTATGGAATTTGAAGGACTGCATCTTGGCTGGGAACAAGAATGTCCGCGAACAATCGCCAGGTTTGGGCTCGCCTGATGTCTGTGTTTTAAGTACTGTACCAGCCTACTACAAATTGTGGGCTTTCAAAGCCCAGTCGTGACAGTGACGAGGCTATCAGCGCAGTCAGACTTGTGCAACTTCAAGTTAGGCTTCAATATTAGGCTGTCACTCTAATTCCTTCCAGCGCATAACACCGCCGAAAGGTGGCATATCATCCAGACCCGCTTCTCCGCAGGCACTTATGCAAGGCGTCCCCTAGCTCGGGGTCTGATCCACCAACACTCACTAGTGTCTTATCGGACTGCAAGAAAGTAGTACCGTGAGTCAATAGCTTAATGTAAGCCTCCCGTCATGAAACCTGTGGTTACTACGGGGTACGGAGTATTACCTGTCAAGCCACTGCCACTCGAACTCCATTTTTGGACATCAGCGCAAGACCGGCGCTCTCAACCCACCCGTTCGGATCTTTGGAGTTTATTGAGCGAAAATGCTGCGCCAGGCGAGTGAGAACATAAGTGGCTTCATTTAAGGCCAGATCCACTACGGGGGTGGTTGTGGCGTTAATACGGATGCCGCCATGAGCACGGATTGGATGGAAACACTTACTGCCAATGCAATTCCTCGGTCCGCCCAGGAAGGGGATGAACTTCTGCGATGGGTTAGGAGCTAGCTCTGATGTCATTCGGAAAGACTCCTTACCCAATTCTGCTTCTGGTCGAGCCAGCGGTCGGGGTCAAATTCTTCTGCGTCGTCACCCCAGAGATCGTGACGGCGGTGCATGGCGTACGTCGCGATGTGCACCATTGTACCCTTCGATACGAAGATTGGCGAGCTGCCGTCGGCCCCTCCGCCAGTGGGAAGAACCGTGTCTCGGTTAGCAATTCGAGAATTGGAAGCTTGTGGCGGATGAATGCGAAGGCCTTGATGCGAAATCGGTCGTTAGTATCGTCGTCCTATCAGGTGCGAGAACCTCTTACTCTCGAACACACAGCCATTCACATATTTGAGACCTTTCAATTGTTGCAGCGTAGGTGGCTGGTCGCGTAAGTGCTGTATCTCTGAGCGCACACGCTCCCATACATCAGGACGCTTTGAAAGAATGAAGAATAAGTTGATCAAGAGGGCTGCAACGGTGTCTGCACCGGCAAAGTACAGGGTTGTGATTTCGTCCCGGAGCGATCGTCCATTCTGTGGTATTTGACTGAGCTGATTCAGAAAATTTGATCGATGCTTCTCGTTCTCATCCTTTCCCAAGTCTTCATGATTTACCCTGATTGCTTTGTCGACATATGGTTGGATGAATGAATGCACTGTACGAACATGCATCATAAATGCTCGCTGTGGCCAGAGGAAGGCAAAGCGTCCTAGCAACCATCGAAACTCGCATCCTGCTGCTGCCTCGTAAAATGCTTCTAGCAAGCCTGACTGGAGCCTATCTGGATGTTCGAGCGATGTAAGTGACTCCCCGAACAGAAAGTCTGTAGCGACATCGGCCGCAAAACGATGGAACAACGGAGCTAAGTCAAAGGCTTCCCCGGGGGTGGGGATAACAGCGAGTAGAGTCTGAACATGAGGCTCGAAAAGCTCAAGGTCACCAATGCGAGCTTGAGTAAAGCATTTATGCAGGAGGGAACGTCTCGACCGCCACTGCACCCCATCGATTTGGAAGATGCTATTTCCCAGCAATGGTGCAAAGGCCCTATGGCGTCGTGATCCGGTATCAAAGTCTGTGAAGTTTGTGGAAAAGATGGCTCGCACATTGTCAGGCTCGATTGTGTTCAAAACCCACTGTCCTAGAAAGAGGGATCGATAGGTGTTTCCAATTTCTTGGTGTAGCTGTTGCTCGCGTCTCAGGTAGCATTGGCTCTTTCTTGCCAGTATCGAGTCACGCAGATAGTCAGAACCCAGCAATCTCTCCCTATGGGGATAACTTTTGGGCGGCTGACAGCCCCTCAGTCGAGCTAGCTTGGAGCAGGTAGTGATGGTGGTAATGGAATACCATCCACCTAGGAGCAAAAGGACCCCGATGATAGTCAATGGGTATACTTGTATCATGATGAAGACAATAGCGGTAGCTGTGTGATCGGAAGAGTAAGGAGCGGAAGAATAAGATACGATGATGAAGACAGGTGAGCTGAAGAAGAAGCAGAGGACTGGAGAAGCCGGTGACAGCTGCACGCCTGACTGTCAAACGCGGTGCATAAAAAGCGCTACTCCGGACGGTTAATTTCCCCCTCTCATACCAATAACTTCTTTCGTATACCCATAATTCTATCTTTACCGCTCTTCTCCTCTTCCTCTCATAATCATCATCATCTCTCTCTCTCTCTCTCTTATCCCACTCATCGACCAGCCACTTTGGCCTTTCTGACATCAAACATTCAAAAATTGTTTACAGATACAATGCCTATTATTTCGAGAGGAATTATTTGCCTTCCGAGTCATGGCCGACTACAATATGCTCGGCGCCGACGCCGAACTCCCGGTGATTCACCTGTAAGAAGTTAAAAACAAATAAACCCTTATTTCCCCCTTACGACTAGCTTATAACACGTCTCATTCAATGTCTTGAGCTTCTTGTTGACGTCTCACATTTTCAGTATACGCCGGTTCTTGCACGTTCGGTAGTGTCACTTTCCTCGCCGATCCCCTTGGAAACATCCCCGTGTAGCCCAGGAGACCTCACACCGATGGATACTGTCTTCTGGAGAGAGACACTTGGCAGAGATTTGCGGATTCTTCTGGAGGGCGCTGAGTACGATCACACTACGCAGCAGGCGGCTCTTGCGACAATGAGCCGCTATGTGGCCCCTTGCTTAGGGCCGCGTCCTTTGGTGGGAGAGGCTGGCAGGGACCAGCTTCGGTCAATGCGATGGAGAAGTTTCATGACGGACGACTTTTCTCCGATAGAATACAGTTGGAGCTGGGAGAACCTCGCTCCTACCATCCGGTATAGCTTCGAGCCAATTGGGAGGCTCGCAGGCACCTCACAGGACCCTTACAATCGGACGGCACCGTTGCGATGCGTGCAGCAGCTACGGGGAATCCTTCCCGCCGCCGATTGGCGTTGGTTCGATCACTTTGCCCAAGCCTTTCGGGGACCGACGCCTCTGCCGCGCAAGGAGTCATCCTCCCACTCCAGCCCCTCGACAATTTTCCTGGCCTTCAACCTGGAGAAGCACGGGCACAGATGTAAATCCTACCATGTTCCACATTCGACATCCCATCAACTGGGCGGCTCACGGCTTGACGTTCTGCATCGGGCTTGCCAAGCCCTACAGCAACAACATGGGCTTCCAGCCTACGACTGTATCGAGCAATTCCTGCGGCAGCAGGAACAATCGTCCACTCCACCTATCATAGTTGGGGTGGCGGTTGACTGCGTGCATCCATCTGTTGCCAATCTCAAAGTGTACTTTCGCTCCTGTGCGACCAGTTTCGACAGTGTTCAGGAGACTCTCCTAATGGCAGGCGCATCGCCAAGCTGGGATACCTGTGCCCTGGAGAAGCTTCGAGAATTGTGGCATCTCACGTTAGGGCTGCCCTTCGATTTCCCCAATCATCGGCAACTACCATCTAAGGACCATGAGACGTCAGGTGTGCTGTATAACTTCGGATTTAAGCAAGGCCAACGGTATCCTGACACCAAGGTGTACATTCCGGTGCGGCACTACGCGCGCAGTGACCGAGCAATTGTTCAGGGTCTAGTTGAGTATTTGGCGCGTCGTGGGCGAGCCCAGCAGGCTGAACGCTTCGTGCAAACCCTCGAACGGCTAGTCGAATCCTTCCGTTCCCTTGATGAGGCGTGCGGACTGCAGACATACATCGCCTGTGGTAATAAGGACGGTCGGCTTAGTCTGACCTCCTACCTGTCTGCAGAGATATACTACCCCGGACGGTGGTCTAGACAGCCGTGATAAGAAGCTTCAGGGATTTCATTTGCTAACACAATCTCTCCGCGGGAAATTACTGTTGCTTGTTGTGTGTACAATGCTTTGTATAAGTTATGATTCGCTTGTCGACTCGAGAATGAAAGATCTTCACTAGCTAGCAAGATGCGGCTGGACTTGGCTCCTGGCAAATCAGGGTCCAGTTCGGTTCATGCAGTACCTATTAGTATGCACCGAGGGAAGATACAGCCTACTACTGGATCCTCAATGCGAGTCAGCCTTTCAGTCTGTACTACTCCCGTACTTCTGTGGTAGTTCGAGTCACTTGGTTGGACATCTTTCGTACAGCACTGCACTTCCTCTACCATTCCATTAAGTAGTCATACAAACTAGGGCTCGGTTGCCTGACATACCATGGAATGAGTCGGGATGACCGAGAGTTATTTCGAGGGGGGGGTGGGGGTGGGCTGAGGGGCAATAAGAGTCCATGGATGACCGCCAGATCGTCCCGTTGTGGTAATGCCAACTGTCGGTCGGGAGGGGTTGCAGCGAGGGGGGTTGCCAGGCGGAGTCAATTAGGTAGGTGGTAGCTGTTTAGCACTGCAGCTGGTAAGTCATCCCTCTCTCGGCGCTGACCACCGTCTCACCAATTTCTAATGCAGGTGGTACAGAACATTCAATCCCATTCACCATGCCATTCTCTATTTGGTCCACGCCTGCATTTCATGTCTCTCGGTCACGGCGACTTCGAAGGCTTAGCAAGAAAAGATGAGAGGTTTAGCTCTTCTTCGCTCCTGTGGGTGTAACATTCCTACCAGCTTCTTTTAACTCCCTCCGATCGGCCGATCGAGCTGAGTTGAATGACAGTCGGATCGGATGCCCTCGTGAGAGACAGTTGCCGGCAACAATCATGGCGACCGCTGTCACGGACAGCTACCTGAACGAAGATATCTCAGGTCGGCTCACGGCCGCGACGACTGTCATCGTCGTACTCACCACTACTCTTCTAGCCCTACGCATTTATGTGCGGAGCCTTGGCCATGTCTCTAGCGGCTGGGACGATATCCTGCTGGCTCCTGCTTGGCTTCTTTGCCTGGGAGCATGTATAACAGGTTATAGTAAGTGGAAATGCTGATCTAGCATCTCCTCGACAATCCCAACTGACGCCCTCTTTCTCTACAGTGGCTATCGCACATGGAGGTTCCGGTCGTCATGTAGAAGCCGTGATGATGGACGACCCTAAGAAGCTTATCATACGCGGAAAATTGCTCTATTCTCTCAGCTGGCTGACCGCTTTCTCGAACACCTTCTCACGGACCTCAATCTTGGTCCTGTTCCGGCGGATATTCCCGCCGGGCGTCACTCGCATCGTGACGGACCTCACCATCGTTTACTTGATTCTGTTCGTCCTCGCGCAGGCAATCGTCGGGTTAACGGAATGCCGCCCGCTGGCATACTTCTGGGACCGTAGCATCCCCGGCGGGTGGTGTGTGGATCAATTCCTCTTCTACCGAATGTCTGGCCTGCTGAATATCGCTGGAGACGTGGTTATCCTGATTCTGCCCATTCCGACCGTGTGGACTATTCATGCGTCCCTGGCCAGAAGAGCTGGGATTGCCATGGTGTTTCTGTCGGGCAGCTGGTATGTGCTCTCGTCAAACGGGCTCTGGAGTACTGGAAGTCTAATAGTTCTGTAGTGGCCTCATTGCGTCGTGTGTCCGAACCTCCTACTTCTTCACAGCCGCCAAATTGTCTATGACCGACCCGACCTGTAAGGCACCCTTCCTCCTCCCCATGTCACCACGTTCTGGTCTCTGACTAGCTGCAGGGGCGGACATCAACCTAATGACCTGGACGACCGTTGAAAGTGGCCTGTATCTCTCGGCTGCCTGCATGATAGGGCTGCGACCCCTGCTCAACCAAGTGGCGGGCTGGATGACAAGGTCTCGCCTCGGGATATTCACAGCCAAAGGCACGAAGGCCCGGTCGCGGCGGAGCGATCCCGATGACGGATCACAATTGATCTCAAATGTGAAGCAATACCATATTAATTTGGAGACCTTCGATCGGGACCGGGACACGGACGAGAGATCAGCCATAGGGAGCGGGGCGAAGCAGCCGTCTGTTGTGTAGGAGGTGCTCTAGCCGAGCAAGGGTGTGAAGAATGGATACCCAGTCACAAAATCGCTGAACCTCAATACTATAATTCTACTAGATAGTCTATGACCACTTTCTAATGTCACAAACTCAATATACATCTCTGCAAACATCTAGTTGGCACTGAAACCTCAAGCCTATGTGTACAGAATAGCTACCAACCAGACTGTCATACATCATGTTGAGGTATCGTATAAAGATCTGGAATGTATGATATGAGTGGACTAGGATTTCAATACTCTTTGAATGGACTGTCATGACCTGGTCATGAGCTTACTGGAGTGGAACTTGTGCTTGTCATTGATTATTGTTTCATTGATTGCCTTGTCCTGTACCTGTGGGCTAATATTAATCACCCCATGGCGAAGGTCTTCGTCCTCTAGAAAGGGGCAGTTAGTCGTACACAGCCGGATAAAAAAACACACTCAAAGGTTTCAGGCAATGGTACTCCGTAGTACTTAACGAAATGATGGTAAATCGGTAATGAGGAAGTAAAGAAAAAAATTGCGTTCTCATTTGACTCGCTATCTAATTGAAAACAGACTTTTGTAGGGACCAGTTAGTATGGGGGAAGACGCCCTCCGTGGGTTTCGCGAGCCTCTACTCTCCCTTGTTTCGTCCTCAGGTGAAGGGGCTCTTTCTGAGCTTGGGTATCTTACTTTTTCGGCTTTTCCGACGGCTATCGTCAAGCGTCCCTTGAGGTCCTGCCTCAGGATCATCATCATCATCATCATCATCATCAGGGCTACTCGCTCGGTCCTGCTCTTCAGCGTCGGAGCCTTCAAATTCTTCTTCCAGGTCCGCCTCTGGGTTTATTTCAGAGGGGTTTGCATCAGGTTGATCTTCCAGGTCCTCTTTTGGGGATTGGGGGCGCTCTTCCTGGGCTTCTAGGGGAATTCCTTCAGGGGCGTTTACAACCTCCTGTTCTGGCTGATCGTCGTCATGCTCCTCTTCATCTTCGTCGAAATCCAGATCGGGATGGTCCCCGGGTTCCTCATCTGAGGACTCATCTTCGGCCGGATTCCTGAAAGGGTTCCTTTCATACTCTACACCAGGCTCCTGTTCACCGTGGTGTTCTCCTTCCGGGTTTCCTTGCGGATCTCCTCCGCGGACCGAGCTGCGGTCCAGTTCCACCATCAAAGAATCTCTATCACGGATCCGTAGAGGGCTAGGACTACGAGAACTTACATCGCCAACAGCCGAGCCCAATGCAGCTAGGTCGCAGCGGCTGCGTTGCCTCCCTCTGGCGTCATCGGCAGACTCGTACTGCTCGATGCCGATCCTCCTCCCTCGGAGATGCATCTTCAACAGCGTATCCATTGGCCCGGGAAGAGCAAGCAGAGCAAGGTAGTCGAGGTGGCCCGCAATATGCCGCAAGAGGCCCCCATTCCCGTGTCCTTCAAAGCCGTGGTCTTCCTCCCGGAGACCACAGAAAGGACACTGCTCGAGCGCATGGGCTTGCCCACTCGCGCTTGCGCGTCGGTGGTCGTCCATGTGCTTGATCCATGCCTTCATGCTGCTGAAGACGCTGGAGCACGAGCCCCAGAGGCACAGGTAGGGTCGCACGTCTTGCAGAACGTGATCCTCCCACCGGGCCTCATCGAATTCCCCGACCGGGAAGTAAACCATGCAGTAGGGGCATCGGAACTCGGGCTCACCGTCTTTGCATCGCGGCATTGGGGGCCACGCGAATACGTCGGGCATGTCCCTCAGTCGTCGCTTTCTTTCACAACGAACCGTCTTCCGCTTGCTACTCGACCCCCGGCTTCGTCCGCAATGTTTGTGCTGGTGATACCCGATGGCGATGCGGCTGTCGACCAGCCTTGTCCCGATACGAACGTGAAGCTTGGAGTCGACGCGGGGAAACATCTGCTTGATGATGCGGAACACGAAGTCCTTGAATCGAGCTGTCACGTCGTTGTTATCGGTATCCAACACTGAGAACATGGAAGGGTCCTCCTCATGCTTCCGGGGGCGATGTTTGCTTTTGCCGCCGTGCCCTTGTTTGCTCCGCGCAGCGGAGGTGAGCAGATGCACCCGCATCTTGTTGATGAAGTTGTACACGTTCTCTAAAAAGGTGACCCGCGGGGCTTTCCTAACCAAAAGCACCAGAAGGTTGACGCGGATGAGCCTGAACAGATAGGTGAATAGATCCATGGTCGTCGGGTGCTTAGCTTGGTATCTCACCGATGCTTTCTTGCTCGTCAGGAAACGAGACTCCTTGACAAAGCGTCGGAATGTGTTGTGGACGTCCGCGAACGAAAGGGTTCTCTGCACCCGGTGGCTGACCAGCTCCTGGAGCATTGCGTCGCAGATCTGAGCCTGGTCGTAAAGACTCTTGGTGGTGGTGAATCGAGACATGGTGGAGCACATTTGGAACGAGGGTCAAGGCGTGGAGTATCGGCAACCTTGGGTTAGATCGTCTTTCGAGTCCGGGGCAGGATCCTGTCTCGAGGCTATATAAGGTGATCCGTGTCTGCGACGGCTTTGTTGATGGCTTGAGAACAATGACATTGTTTTGACTTCGAGTATCTCGTTCTTTGATGTTTGTGTAGATGTTACTTGCCTGAAATCCACCGGTATTGTCTATATTGACTTTGCAATGGAGACAAACGTTCAATTGAAAGTCAATTGAAGGGGAATTGATGAAGAAAGAAACATGATCACTCTCTATTGTCTCGCTCTCATAATACAGTTAGACTGGTTGGGGTTGTTCCAGCTGTGCTATGCTTCAGGACACAAAGCTTCTTTTCAGACCATTTCCCTCATGCCTCGGTCGGACCACGAAGCCGGACTGGATATTTAGCGTGTTGTGTCGAGTTCAACGAAGAGGAGACAGGCATGCTTGACAGATTTTTGACTATATCATGCTGCTCCGTGAATATCGCTAATATCGAGTACATGTTTGGAAGAGAAAGTCCTTATGCGACACACTCCCTTGCAGCTGATCACCGGGATGCCATTCTTCTCTTCCCCTCACTCTCCCACTTCTTCTCTTTCCCTTCCCCTCCACCCACTTTCTTCTCCATCTCTCTCAAACCTAAGAAACATCACCATGGAACAACAAAAACCACTATTCCCTCTACCAAGCATCCAACACGGCCAGCGAATTCTCGCTAGCGTCGTGGAGAACCGTGCAAAGAACGAACCCAACAGCCCGTGGGTATCAGTCCCCATCGACGATGCCGATCTATCGCGGGGCTTTCGAGAAATCAGCTTCCAACAACTGAACAACGCAGCCAACCACGCCGCCCATTGGCTTCACCAGCATCTGCCTGCCACGACAGAGCCATTTCACTGCTTCGCCTACGCGGGTCCAAAGGATTTTCGCTATCCCATTCTTGCTGTTGCCGCGGCCAAGCTGCAGAAAGTGGTCTGTTGCCCTGGATTTCTCTTGCCCACGAGGAAGTGACATTGATGTCGTTCTATAGATCGTCCTTCCTTCTCCCCTCATCACGCCCGAGGCTCAACTACGTATCTTCCGGCAGAAGAAATGCACGGTATATTTGCGACCTGCGTCCATGGCAGACCATGTTGCGGCTATTCTTCGGGAGACACCTGAGATTCAGACTTTGACGGTTCCTGAGCTCGGCGACTTCTTGCAGGATGCTGAGGCTGCGCCGTATACGTATTCTAAGACTTGGGAGGAGGGAAAGGATGACCCGTGGATTGTCTTCCATACCTCTGGCACAACCGGTAGACATCCATCCTCCGTGGGCTATGGCTACTTCTGGTACACTGCCCGCTGACAAGTTTGAGTTAGGCTTCCCCAAACCCATTACGTATACCCATCGGATGATGACGAGTCCAGACATTGCTGCATCTCTCCCGGACATCGAGTATACTCACGTGCATCAATATGCTCTTCAACGGTGGTACACGCCGCTACCTTCGCTTCATGTGTGTCTAGAACTCTTGGGTCTACTTTCGCGCGCGGAATACTGACTATTCTAGTTTGTGGGTACGGTGATGACACTGTCCATGACCTCCTTCGTTCATATGGTCGCGGTGGTGGGTCCGTCGGTTCCCCCTTCACCCCAGGTTGTTGCGGACATCCTGCGTTATGGCCGAGTGGATGGAGCCTTGCTCACTCCCGCCCTCATCGATGAGCTTTGTCTCATACCGTCTGGACTGGAGGCTCTACGCAACCTCAAGTATGTGCACTTTGCCGGGGCGCCTCTTTCTGCCAAAGCCGGTGCACAACTGGCTCCATATACTCATCTAGTGCCCTGTATAGGCAGCACCGAAGCAGGGGGCTATTTCACCACAGTCCAAGACAAGGACCGCCCGTGGGACTACATCACCTTCCAGAAACACGCAGGCGCCGAGTTCGAGCATCGTTTCAATAATTTGCATGAGCTAGTGTTCGTTCGGCGACCAGAATGTGCTATGCAGCAGATATTCTCTGCGTACCCGGACAGAGATCGCTTCGAGACCAAGGATCTGTGGGTTGAGCACCCTGAGCACAAAGGCTCGTGGAAGATCATCGGGCGTACCGACGATTACGTGGCTCTCGCACACGCGGACGGGCTGCATGCCTCGCTGTTGGAGCCTGAGGTTGAAGCCCACCCGGGTGTGAAGTCGGCTTTGATCGGTGGCCACGGTCGTCCAGCGCCTGTGCTCCTTGTCGAGTTCTTCCCCGAGGCGGAGGTGGGTCATGATCATCAGTCTCTGGTTGAGAGTCTACATCCGTATCTCGAAAAGGTCAATGCACATGTGCATGACTGTGTCAAACTCTCGGCGGACCGGATCATAATTGCGAGTAAGGACAAGCCTTTTGTGCGTACGATTAAGGGTAGCGTAGCCCGTTTGCAGACTCTCAGCCTGTACGAGGATGAGATCGCGGCACTGTTTGGGTAGGAGTCGGTCAGCAAGTAATCTGACAATGCGAAAATAAGAATGGAGGAACAAAGTTCTACTCATCATCACATGTCGATTTGTGTAAAAATGTATCCCTTGTAGAGTGCAGCGTGCATGGTGTCACTGGAATTCATGTGCACAGGAATCAGCTGAGATCAGCACTAGTCAGTCAGCTTGTACTAAGTTACTGTACAGTAACAATGGGGAAATCAACCCGAAAGGGCGCTGGAACTCCGCACTGGAACCTCCCCCGCACCCGCACTCAAGCTTTCCTTCTACTCCACATCCCCAGAGCTCACCACCACCTCCGTCAACATCTAATTCTGCAAGTTAGCCATCATGGAGACCAGTTCATTTCGCATTATCGAGCACTCGATTCCCGGCCAGCATATTCGCGATCACCACCACGCCATCAAAGGCCGCCAAGAGACCGCTCTCCGACTCTCCATCAAACAATACATCCCTGTCGGCCGACCCGACCCTATCCCCGAGCATGCTGTCACTATCATCGGGGCGCACGGCACGGGTTTTCCCAAAGTAAGTCAATCTAGCAAACCTCAGAAGAATGGCGCCCTGATCATAAAGTGCAGGAAATTTACGAGCCACTATGGGAAGACCTCTACGCCCAGCTGAAGCAACACTCCATCCCGCTGCGGGCCATCTGGGTCGCCGACGTCTCGAACCAGGGCGCCAGCGGTGTCCTGAACGAGGATATCCAGGGCGATCACAGTAGCCCAGCCCCCCCGCCCCAAACCCCGCGATGACAAGAACAACTCTAACACAGAATGAACAGCAAGCTGGTTCGACCACTCCCGCGACCTCCTACACATGATCAACCACTTCCGCGAGGAAATGACCCGACCGATCATCGGAGTCGCCCATAGCATGGGATGTGCGCAGCTGTACGCTATTCTCCCTACCAATCCCCAAATCAAACGTCACCAAAACACTCCTCTGACAAGCAAAAACAGAGTCCAACTCTCAATCATGCACCCACGCCTCCTCTCAACCCTCATCCTTATCGAACCCGTCATCCTCGACTTCGCCAGCCGCACCGCGGGCCGCAGCCCCAACCCGTCCCGCTCCGCCGCCCTCCGCAAAGACCTGTGGCCCTCGCGCGCCGCCGCCGAATCCGCCCTCCGCAAGTCCCTGCTGCGCCGCTGGGACCCCCGCGCCGCATCCCGGTACCTCCAATTCGGGCTGCGTGAGCTTCCGACCCGGCTGTATCCTGCTACCACCACGCCCCTAAACCCCGGAGACAACAACAACAACAACAACACCAGCAACCCAACAACTACCCCCAAAGAAAACCCCCAAACCCCTCCACCCACCCCGACAAAAGCGGTGACCCTAACAACAACCAAGCACCACGAAGCATGGAGCTACAGTGTCCCGAACCTCGAACCCGCCTCCGCCAACCTCGACCCTCTCCTCCTCCCGGACTGGGACAGTGAATTCGAGCGGCCCTTCAGGGTCTCCCGCCCGGAGTGCCAGATCAGCATGCGTAATCTCCCCTTCGTGCGGCCCAGCGTGCTCTGGATCTTCGGGGGACGGAGCTATCTCTCGCCGCCGGCGGAGCAGGACAAGAAACTCCTGTTGACGGGGTCCGGGACGGGCGGGAGTGGTGGATTCAAGGAGGGGAAAGTGGAGAAGGCGGTGTTGGGGACGGGGTCGCATATGTTGGTTGTCGAGGAGGTGGGGTGGTGCGTGGGGACGATGGCGGGGTGGTTGGGGGGTTGGTTTGCGAGGTATGAGGCAGAGGAGCGGTTTTGGGAATGTTATCAGTCGAGAAAATCGGAGGGCGGCGAGATGTTGAGGGCTTCGGAGGAGGGGTTCGAGGCTTCGGTGGGGGATTTGGGGGAGGAGAGGCCCAGGGGGGTGGCGAGGGTGAGGGGGAAGCTGTAGATTTGACTGCTGGGGTCCGGAAGGTATTCGATGTGGATGCTTGTCTTGTGGCTTGCGCAGAGATATAATACACTGGATTGTCTGCATTATCAGCGTGAGCGAAAAAAAAGTCGTGGTCGTGGGAGTAATTCAGGCCAGGCGACTTCCACGCTTCTTAACATTTCCAATATCCATATCTTCGTCAAATCATCCCAGAAAGGGACGGAGGAAATACACTCCACAAGTAGAATGTGACTACATTTCAAAGCTGGTCAAGAAGAATCCACACCCACATCCACATTGAAACTTCATGCAAACATGCGAATAAACAAAGCACAAACACAAACAACATGCTCAAGCAAAGCAGTCAAACTCGCTTCATCCTGCCCCGTAAGCCGACAACTAATGGTCTAAGTATATGCCATAAATGATACACAAAATGTACAATACATACACCCCACAACCCCCCAAACCTACAGAAACCCCTGATCCACAGTATATACAGCCCCAAACCCCCTCCCCTCAAATTTCCCACACCCACCCCCCTCAAATCTCAGATTTCAGCTCCCGGCACACACCCCCAACTACACCCCAACCGCCGGAAGGGCAATGGCCGAAGCCCCTCCCCGGACGGCCGCGGGCCCTTCAACCCATTCTCGTACGTGCTGCAGTCCCACCACTCGATCCACTCGGTGCGCGCGAGCACGAACCCGCGGTGACACACGGAGCAGCTGCGGCCGCCGCCGGCGCGCACCTCCCTTGCATCGCGCAGCAGCCGCAGCATCAGGGCCGGGTAGCCGGCCAGCTCGGCGTCCGAGAGAAGATCGAAGGACGGGGAGCGGGTGAGCGAGAGGAGGGCGACTTCGCGGAGGGAGGGGACGCGCGAGGCAGCTGGGGGTGTTGGGCCTGGGCGGTCTTGGGGGTTGGCGTCGGTGTCGGTGTCGGCATCGAGCTCCATTGCCGTTGGCTGCGAGCTGGTGGTGCTGGTGCTGGTGCTGCTGCCGGCCGGCGGCAGCAGCACGCCTTCGGCATTGTAGCGGCGGACGGGGCCCGTGGCGACATGCACGGGGGCCCAGGCTTCCTCGGGCGCGGGGCCCTCGTAGACGCACGATCGCAGCTCCTCGCGGGGGACGTGCCACTCGGCCACTGCGGCCTCGGGGTCGTGGGCTCCATCGTCGATCTGTAGGAGCGGGTTCGGCCGCACGGTGAGATGCTTCAGGTCGCCTTTGCGGATCAACCACAACAGCTCCCAGGGGAGGCTGCGCAGCCGGTTTACGGACAGATTGACCTCCTGCAGCATGGTCAAGCGGCGGATCGCGGGCGGGATCTCGGTGAGCTTGTTGTTGCGCAGGCTCAGGACGCGCAGCGTGTCCAGCTCGAAGAGCTCGCCGGACAGCTTGGGCAGGGCGTTCCCCGCGAGGAACAGCCTCAGGAACGGCTCGAGCGAGGTGTAGACGTCTTCCGTGACGGGGGGTTCCTTGATGGCGGGGAGTTTGGTGAGGTGCTGCAGCGGACGAAGCAGGCCGGACGGGATGCTGCGGAGGTTTCCGCCGCTGTTGTTGTTAGTGGTGTTCATGCCATGCCTGGTGCTCGGGAGACTCGGGGGCAGACACTCACCTCAAGTCCACACTATCATCCCCCCGCTCCAGACAATCATTCACAATCGCCCGCGCGATCTGATGCTCCCTGGGCTCTTCCTCGATCCCGCGCCTCAACCCTCCCAGGCCCAGCAAGGTACCCCTCTGCCCCTGACCCTGCGAGCTCGCAAACCCAGAAACCTGCTCCCCCCAATGCTGCTGCTGCTTCTGTTGCTGCTCGACCTCCACCTCACCCCCAACCTCACCATCAGACCTTCTCTCCCCCTCCTCCCCCCTTCTCCCAATCCCATTCCCATCCCCAAACACCTTCCCATCAGCCCCCTCCCCCTCCCCTCCCCCAACAAACTGCGCCCAAACCTCCTCCCCCCACGACGCATCGGAGCCCAAAAACCCACCCGCCAAGGAATCATCACTCCCCATCCAAACGCCACTATCCACCAACCTCTTCTCCCGAAAATCCACCCTCTTATTGCGCTTAGCCCCTTCCTGCCCCGATGGCTGTTGCTGTTGATGCCCCCCGGACGACATCATCTTCTCCCCCCACCACGTCCCGCGATACCGGCGCTTCCGACTACCCGCCAAGCCCCCAGCTCCGGAAGTATGGTGGTGATGTGTTGTAGCGTTTGCGTGGGTAGCAGCAGCAGAACCGGTGTAGTTCTCCAAGCCGCCGGAGCCGGGGACATCGTCGCTGGAGAAGAAGGCCGGGTCGCTGGAGGGTTGGCTGGAGCGGTCGTCGCAGCGGGAGCGCGCGGTGGCGGTGGCGGTGAGGCGGTAGTGGTGGTTGTGGTTGTTTTGGTAATGGTCGCGGCGGCGGGTTGGCGAGGCGCGGTGGTGAATGCGACGCGGGGGTGGTGGGAGCGGGGGATCGAGGGTTGGGTCCATTTTTCTCGGCTTCTCTCTAATAGTCGAACTGAAATAACGTAGTCGAGGAAAGGGTTGGAGTGGTGAAGACACAAAGGACAGAAAGAAGAAAACCGCCCTCTCCTCGAGAGTTTGGCAGCAAGGCAAAGCGATCGGGGGAAGCAGATCAGATCAGATCAGATCACCTCGCACCCGTCGGGTAGAATGACGTCCGAGAGAATGTCGATCAACTGGGGAGGCGCTAATGGGATTACACTAGCCTTTCTTGACGCTGACCTTGCAGGTCGGAGCTGTCATTCAAAGAAAGGCTTGAGGAAGGAATGTTTGTTCGCGATTGAGTTGAAGAATGGAGGGGTTTCTCCTGATTTTTTTTTGTTGTTGTTGGAGACGCGTCGCGCTGGTTCGAAGCGGGGCGATAAGTGCGGACTACGGAGAGGAGGGCGAGATCGATAACACTACTAGGTACCCTTTTCCAGGTCATTTTTTGGCATCTACGATACTGAACAGCTATTTCTAGGTTCACTCTGTCTGACTCCGATCTTATTCTGATTTTCTAATTCTATCTCTGCGGCGATAAAAAAAAAAAAAAAAACTACAATCAAATTCGGGGATTCGGCCACTATACATTGGATTCACCACTACATATGTGCACAGCTTCCAAACTCACAGCGAGACCCCAAGAAAGTAAGAAAGTAAATAGGTATATAAACTGAATTCCCCGGAGAGATACTTGCGCTGGTCACCACCAGCCGTCAAATCCATCAACTCGTCATATCTGAAACGTCATAAAGGGGTATATGGGTCCATAACCGAGCGTCCCATCCGGTTCCCTGATCGCGATCAGGGAACCTGAGGTCGAACGAAGAGAAATTAAGTATAAGCGACGAAAAAAAAGAAATAGGGACAGTGGGAAAAGTGATAAAAGAGTCTGGTGGTCATGATGGTGTAACCTGAGCCTCGGAGCCGGCTTGAACACGCAATCAATCTCGACCAAGCTGGCAATTGTTAACTCTGCTGACTTTTGCTCACAGAGCGCCCATGATCAGAGCCAGAGATCCGGCGACAAGCGCAACAGGCATGCCAGCGGTGTTGACGTTACCGGCGCCGGTGAAAACGGAAGACGCGGTGGCCGAGGCACTGGCCGAAGGAGCGACGACGAGCGAGGTCGGGACGGCAGAGGAGCTGACAGCCACCGAGCTGCTAGGAGCGCTGGGCGCGTGGGTGGGAATCAGAGGTGCGGACGTGGTCGACGCGCTCGACGAGGTCACGGTGTCAACGTGAACCAGCGTCCGAGTGAGGAAAGTAGTCACCGTCGAGGTGGAGGTGGTGTCGGCGTCTGCGGCGACAAGCTGGGCAGCCGCCAGGCAGAGCAGGGAAGAGGCAATAGCGCTGATCTTCATCTTGATGGTTTGGATTGTATAGAGGGATTGTGTATGGCTTCAAATGATCGAGTGCCGGGGTCGGACAAGATATATGCGTGAATTGGCAATGAGGCGAGCGCAGCTACCGAGTCAAAGGAATGAGTGACAGGCGACGGACAAAGACGCGAATGAGTGAGCGTCTGAGTGACAATGCCGGTTGGGGAAGAGTTTCCGTAGGGGGAGCGCTGCTCGAAGCCGAACGAGTGTGAAACAAATCGATGTTTTATGCGACGCGCCGGGGTAGCAGGAGAGAAAAAGGGACGGCCGTGAGCGAGGCGGACGCGGACCCTAAATAAGAACCCAAAAAGAGCCCCTAGGAAAGTTCAAGGTTCGAGGCCGTCGGTCTCGAGCCCGTCACAGCCAGAGGCACCGCAAGCCCATAACACGAGCGATGGGTCGGGAAAATTCCTCGGCGAGTCGCAAGGGGCGCTTTGAGCCAAGTCGATTGGCCCTGGGGCCGTCAAGAATGCCCCGGGGACATTACTCACGTCGAGTCGACCACACGGCGCCTGCCGAGAAACAAAATCACGGCGCCACGAAGCTCCGCCAGCACATCCGGTGGCACCGGGACAGTACTGTACGTACTGCGTTGGCGGTCGTGGTCTGGGTTGAGGTGGATGAGAGCCCGACTCCTTTCTCGCCTCTGGGTTTTTCGCATGCAGGCTTATCCCGGTCGAGTATAAGGACGATTGGATGTGGGCTCTAGCGAGGTCACTAACCTGACCAGGCCCCGTATTAGCTTTGGTTCCTGAGGGTGTCAGCCCAATGACGAGATAGTTGGATCCGGATCCATGGAAGAGGGGTCTGGCGGTCTTACCAGACAGGGTTTGATGGTCGCGAAGCTAGTCTCACTGGGTTTGACTCGTTTTTTTTCAAATGCTGACCCTTGATCGAGTCCGAACCCCTGGATCAATTCGGATTCGCCCGGATGGTTCCCCAGTCTAATTTGATTTTCTCTTTCATTCTGCAATGGTCTTTCTCTACCCCTCTTCCCCTGCGTTCGTGTTTTGTTTCAGAGGTTTGTGCGACATGAGGCTTTGTCTGTGGCGAGGATGAGGAAGGCGTTTTGTTTTCTCTTTGGTTTGGTTTGCCTCCGTTTCTTTGTGGGTGGAAGAGAATCGGAGCCTGGAAGGTCAAGGGAAAAAGGGGAGGAGGGCGTGATGACTGATTAGTGGGCGCTAGGCCGACACTAGAAGCGTCTAAGGCATCCACTCACCCACTTTCCCACCCACTCTCTCTCCACCCGTTCCTGAGGCAAAGGAAGCAGTCTTTCTTCCCCTTGCAGTGTGCAATTAAATTAACCGGGGCTCCTTTGGGTTGGGGTCCGCTCCAACGCACAACAACAACAACAGCAACCACAACAAACTACCACAACAAAGCGCCATGTTCCGTAGATTTGTAATCTGGAGCTACTGCCTGACTTGCAGCAACCGTCACACCGATAGAATCCTTCGGATGCTGAGAACCTCGACTATCCACGCCCACAAAACAGTGTTGTCCATTGTGGTCCTCGTGGCCGCCCATGACATCTCGAACAGCCTCCATCAGCCAAGACCATAGGACCAGGAGTTCAATGAGACATTCGTCCAATGCACGGACCATAGCCGCATTCAAGCACCACCAAGAACAATCGCTGAGCTTAGGATGTGGCCCCCGTGAAGAAAAGGGGGTCATTGTCACCGCTATTTCTGTTACACTACGCAGTACGCACAGTGACTGAGGAGACGGGCGAGGTGCTTGGCAAGGACATACAATGGCTTAGGGGCTCAACATCTCTTGAATGGTGCCATCGAAGGCCGGTCTGAGAGTCTCGGGAGCAACTCGGGAAGGACGGCTATCCAGCACGAGGGTCGGTGTTTGGCTTCCATGACCAGCTCGAGAGGAGCCTTGCTCGGCTGCATTTGACCCCGCTTTAGTCCGAGCCTTCAGTCATCGTCATTGCACCAGCTCGTGTGTCGATTTCGTGCTGCTGCGAAGTGGCGAAGAAGCGTGCGGATAACGCGCTGGCGTTGCGAAAGTCTGCTCGATGCCATCAATGACAGAATCAGTGATGTTGGTCCAGATTAGGATGTATAGTACGACCATTTGCCTCAGCACTGGGAGTCCAATGCTGAAAATCTCTCAAGTCTGTCTTGTCACTACGGAGTAGGCCAGTCGACGCTCTAGGCCCTCTTTAGATCGAGCGATTCCTTCAAGGGCATTAAACCCCTCATCCTAGGCCCTTCAATTCAGGAACAGACTTATCTAGCACCTACAGTAGTACGCAGTGGTGTCTTCTAGAGGAGGGGTAGGCCAAACCGAACCTCACAATGGAAGGGCCAGAAGGTTCGACGCCTTCAAGGATTCGATGGGAGGGGGTAGATACAAGTTTTTTGTTATCAGCGCCGAGACCCCGCCACTTCCCGATGATGAAAAAGAAAACCCCGCACATCCGGATAGGGTTTTTATACGATATAACAGTCTTTCGGGCTTGAGTTGCGGCAAATGGACGCTGGAGATAATGGGCCAGTCACTGGGTTCGAATTTGCTGGACAGATTGGCTTGAACAAGTGTGGAAGACCAAAAGCATTTGTGTCAATCAACGGCGGTTGGTAGTATATATCTGGACAGAGACCGACGAGGATACAAAATATTGAACTTGGACTTGAACAGAACGACTCTCTTTGGAAACAGTGAGGGATCGTGACTGAACCGCTGCTGTCGATAATGGCAATATATTTGCCTTCCATCTGCAAAGTATAATTGCCTTATTTCCAGATCCTTCGTAGAAAGGTAGAACGGTGACGTAGGGGACAATCTTGATCATGTCCCCATTGCTAGGGTTCATTTCGCGAACGAAGAGTCTAGTGACTTTTGTGGAAACAGCAGAAATTAGCCCGCACGATTGGACTCGTAGAAAATGTCCGGCCAGAGAGAGCCGACTTATAGCTGATGTTCGGTATTCGCAGTCTGCAAGCGAGAGCTCAAGGCTGGGTTTGTCTGTATACAGCCTGCAAAAGATCCTCCCAAGGCATTACCCAGCCGTTAATCAACGCTTCTTGTAGCGACGATTGAAATAGAGACTCTATATCGTGAAAGCGAAACGACTGCATCTCGAATAAACCTAGTGTGCACAGTCCCTAGCTGAGAAAGTACCGGATGGTAGTGTCGTGTTTCAGTAGAAGTGAATCTGGAAAGAGGACCGCAACATTATCGCAGGTTCAAAAAGACATGGACAGGCAGAAACACAGAGCAGGCGTTCGTACCAGGTGACGTTACAACAGCCCTACAGATGCTGAGCTGAGCTTCGCAAGGCTTCTACTACGGGACTCGCGATACGCATCCGGCAAACAGGGCAATAAGGATCCGGTTTTGCCGGTATACTGTCGCAGTAATTGAACCGCTATCCTTCCTGAGCCCCCGACTTCCGTAGGTGTTGACCGGTACACTTGAACGGATCTGCTGCGATCCTTTGCTTATGCAAGGTTTCTGCTTGCTCACAAGTGAAATATTCTTATCTTGCGGCAATATTTAGTTTGTCGCATAGAGATATTTCAAGGTCCGGACTAAACAAGGACCTATGTCAGGATGGGTGGATTTTGCAGAGCTTTCGTAATGTTAAGCAACATGAAGCTAGCTTAACGCTTTTTAAAGACTGCCTTGATAAAGGTCAAGAATATTGAACCCATTGTTGGCTTCGTAGTCACGAGTGCTGGCGTTTCGAAGGAGCACGGCCGTGGCTTTGACTCCCATTGCAGGCTCAGTTTGTAGCGGTGGGGCGTCAGTATCATGTTAATGAGTAGATTGTAATGCTAACATGATCTTAGCGTGACTAGGTCTCGAGGCTCTCAAGGTCCGACCATGAAGTGATAGTAGATACGTCAGCACGGCTAAGAACTTGAATCCCTTGAGAAACTTGAAGGCTGTCGATATCTGCGTCACTGGGGAGAGGTGCATCTAGCCACTCACCACGGCCACTGAACTCGCTCGCAAAGAAATCGATAGGGCCTACTCGAGTTGGTAGAGGTGATTTCGTAATAGATCTCTCTTCATTGGCGCATATGACAAAGCCAGTCACGGCTCCGAAGGCTTGTTAGGGACGAAAGGTGTACGTGTATCCCACGATAAGCAATTACAGGCAAGGAAACCCGAGTGTGGTTGTGAAGAGCAAATCATGTTGGCGAGGGTGGACCAGTGACTGTCGGGGTGCGGGTAAGGCTGAACAAAAAAACCCACCTAACTCCACATCATCCATGTTTATCTCAGTATCACTGGCTAACGGCGCTGGACGACTCCCTTTTTCTTTCAGCCTAGACGATCTTCAAGAGAGCATTATTAGTCACTCACAGTTTACGGGAAAAATCCGCGACTGGGCATCCAGTTCGTCTTGTTTTTCCGTACGAGAGTTGAGAACATCATGTCTTCCAACCTCCAACGTCCTGCAAAACAGGAACCGAGCCCTCGATTCCATCCTCCCTGGTCATGATGAGGCATCACCGCCAGCACCCTCTCTTCCAGAACAAGCTGTCTTTCAGACTACTATGTGCAGCGTTCTGCTTTGGGTTCTCGGGTGCCGCTCGGGGTAAGGCTACTCATTCCCCTGCATTCAGCAGCTTCAACTGACCTGGACTAGGTCTCGATGGCGGCTTAATTGCTAGTACTGTTGTAGAGCAATCCTTCATCGACCAGTTTCACCTACACGCCAGCCATCTCAGTGCTTCTGAAAAGGCAAATCGATTATCCGACGTCACGTCTATGGTACATATCGGCAGTTTACCGGGGGCTATAGTTGCTTTTATCCTCTGCGAGCGCATCGGTATGCTATGGACAATGCGTCAAGCTTGCCTCCTTTGGATCATCGGTTCGGTTGTCTTCATTACATCACATACTCTTGGACAAGTATACGCCGGAAGGTTTATCATGGGCCTAGGCATTGGGCAGTATGGCGTGATTGCACCTGTTTACCTGGGTGAAGTGGCTCCACGGCAGGTGCGCGGCATGATTGTCGGCATGTACGGCATGTCAGAATATCTGGGAATTATGATAGGGGTAAAGAATAGTGATCGACAATATGGTATCCTGTCGCTGATGGTGTCTAGTACTTCTCCATATGGGGTGCCTCCATTCATATTGCCAGCGCGAGTGCCAGACAGTGGGTCATTCCGCAGGGCATCCAAATCATGTGGGCAGGATTACTTTTACTTTGTTCCTTTCTCTGTGAGGAGAGTCCTCGGTTTCTGTGCAAGATAAATCGTCCCAGAGCTGCCTTACACTCATTCGCAAGACTATGGAACTTGTCCGTCATGGACCCTGGCATTCATGTTGAGATAGCGAACGCCCAGGCCCAGGTCGAATTGGAGCACCAGAATAGATCTTCGCTGCGTGTGTTGGGTGCTATCAAAGAGCTTTTCACAACGAAGGACAATTTGAGGCGTATCGCTTTCATCTTCACTCTTCAATGTCTAGGAGAGTGGTCCGGTCCCAATTCTGTGACAAGTGAGCCAAATAGAGCCCTTTCCGACTATCAACTAAGGATTCATGCTGACCAAGCCTAGCTTATGCTCCTGAGCTCTTTGAGCTCTTTGGCATCGAGGGGCAATCGCAAAAGCTCTTCACGACAGCAATCCTTGGAGCTGTCAAATTCGCATCTGCGCTGGTTTCCGCTCTCTTCTTGCTCGATGCATTGGGCAGGCGGAAGACGCTTTATCTCGGTCTGGTTATCCAGATCATAGCTCTTGCATATGATTCTATCTTTCTCACAATCTTCGCAGCCCTGTCGCCGAGCTCGCAGCAGGAACCAGCAGTCAGACACACAGCTATTGGGGCGATTGTGATGATTTACATGACCGGACTTAGTTGGGCGCTTGGATGGAACTCTATGCAGTACCTCATCCCAGCGGAAACATTCCCACTGGGAGTTCGAATTGTCGGAGTAAGCCTGGTCACACTTTGGCACTACGCCAACCGGATTGGAGTTTCTAAGGTTTGGCTTTTCATCCAAAGGACCTTTGTACATCAACAATACACTAACCCACCTAGGCCACCCCTATGTTGCTCCTCAGTCACGACTCGCTCACGCCCAAAGGCACGTTTTGGTTCTTCACAGGCATATCCGTGCTGGGACTTCTGTTCGTCTGGGTCTTCGTTCCGGAGACATCTGGCAAAGGACTCGAGGAGACCAACGCACTATATACAGGCCATCGCAATCCTCAAACGCCACAATTGGCTATTGATGACGACTCAAAATTGAGCCAGATTGCGGAATTGGCCCGCAACTCTAATCTGACGAGCGAAAGCAGCTCCGATCAATCGGGCCGCCAGCGGTAGGAGGCAAACCCGCGTATTTCCGTGATGGTTGTGATATATTCTATTCGTCTTCACAGCTACCCCGCATTCTTGTACACCGCGAAAAGTCTCGGCGACTCCACATTCCTCCACATCTGATCGATCATTTCCGTAGCGAGCTATCGAAGCTTACCATTATTGTCGGTAGTTTTGTGTGATGCTCGTTCCCATTGGTGGACGCGCTATCGAGTTGCAGCATGGCTGCGGCTCACCGAATATGATCGCGGAATTCCTTTCTACTCCGATGTCCTTAAAAGGAGCCTGCGTCTTGAGAAACCTGACACTGCCATTCCTTTCTCCTTTTTACTATCGCTAATCCCAATTCCTCATACAAAATGACGGAAAAGATGGAGGATCGAGAATTTTACGATTACATTATCTGCGGGTAAGTATGTCTACGGTCAGTGGGCGGACATCATCTCATTCAATACCCTCAATCACTTACACAGCAACTAACAATCTTCAATCAGAGGAGGCACTTCAGGATGCGTCGTTGCAGGGCGGCTGGCCGAGAACCCGCAAGTGAGAATCCTCGTCATCGAGGCTGGACAACATAACAAAGATCTGGAGAGTGTTCACATGGCCGGGGCGTGAGTGATACGATAACAAACCTACATGAAACATTATTGATCATGGCAATTTCAGCTGGTCCACCAATTTTGATAAAGAAACGGATTGGAACATTGTCACACGTCCAATGTCCGGTGTTGACGACCGGCAGGTCAAACTAAGCAGGGGCAGGTTCCTAGGCGGCAGTAGTGGCTGCAACGGAACCCTCTGTATCCGTGGCTGTAAGCAAGACTACGATGATTGGGGCCTAGATGGATGGAGTGGTCAAGAGTTCTTTCAATACATGCGAAAGGTTGGTCACTTTTCGCGATGCTGCGACATGCGATACCATTTGATTGAGCTGACATGTGGTTGCAGGCCGAGACATTTCACTCGAAGCCCTGGTTTAAGGCTAACCACGAGTATCATGGCCAGTCCGGACCTTTGCATATCGAGCCACACGATCTTGCACCAATTAGCAATTTGATTATGGACTCCTTTGTCTCACAGGGTCTTCCACTTGACCATGACATGTTCACAACTGGGGAAACGCCCCACGGATGTGGTCACGTACCACGAACAGTACACAAGGGTATCCGTACAACAAGTGGTGATTTTATTACGAACGGATACCTCCGGTCCAATGTCACAATTATGACTGAAACCACTGTCGATAAGGTTCTTCTAGGGCAAGGTTCTGAGGGCTTGAAGGCTGAAGGAGTGGTGGTCATCACGCCCGATGGCCCGAGGTCTATTTACGCAAAGAGAGAGATTATCATTTCTGGGGGTGCGTACTGCAGCCCAGCAATTCTCATGAGATCTGGAATAGGGTCCAAGGAGGAGCTAAATAAGCATGACATTGAATGCAAGGTGGACTTGCCAGGAGTGGGTCAGAACCTCCTTGACCATATGGTATGTTGCTCTTAGGAGAATTCCGAGTTGGTGAACACACGTTGCTCATCAGGTGGTTCCTAGATTGTGTTCATGTTCTATGAGACCGAAAAGCCCGGCTTGACAAATGATCACCTCGTCCACCACGGTGACAGCTTCGAGAAGAGTTACGCACTCTGGAAGGAGAAAAAAGAAGGGTTCCTTTCAACGTTTCCATTTGGTTGTTTTGCATTTGCCCGACTTGACGACCGTCTCAAGGACGAGCCACTTTGGCGGGATGCACCACGGGAGCCCGGTCGTGACCCAATGGGCTTGACTCCGAAGCAGCCGAACATTGAATTCTTCACCACGGAATGTTATGGTGGTCCCAAACAGTACGACCAATTTCCTATCGATCACAAGCATGCATTTTCTATCATTGCGGAATTGTTCTCTCCCCGGTCTCGAGGCAGCGTGACACTATCCTCGAAGAACCCGCTTGAGAATCCCATCGTCGACTGCAATTATCTTTCGGATCCATTGGACCTTCTTGTTCTCACAGAAGCCTGTCAATTTGCCAACGAGATCATCACCAAAGGAGCTGGAACGAAAGACATTGTTAAGGGATCGTGGCCACCCAACCTGGCTCATCATACGTACACCAAAAGAGAAGAGTGGATTCCCTATGTCAAAGAGCACGGAACGACCTGTAAGTCAAATCCTATCTGTTTTCAGGCGTGCCCGTACTGATGTTTATTTGACAGGCTACCATGCGGCAGGTACATGCGCTATGGGCAAGGATGGTGACCCTAACGCCGTTCTTGACCATAAGCTACGAGTGCGGGGGGTATCCGGGTTGCGCGTTGCTGATTGCAGTGTCATGCCAACGCTGCATGGAGGCCATACACAAATGCCTGCATACGGGATCGGTGAGAAGTGCGCTGACCTTATCAAAGAAACTTGGAGCACACCTTCACTAGGGGGAGTGTCGAGGCTATAAGCATGCTTTTGCTTTTCCCAGATCTTGTCCATGTCTACTTCACTTCTACTCAGTCTTTTTCTGTCCGCTACTTAGCAACGTCTATATTTTGAGTACTCTTTCAATATTTTAGTGGTAGCTTTTCTGAAATCCAACTACTGAGGTTGTGAGATCTTATTGAGACTGAGACTTCTAGAGCAAGATAGTATCACTCGTTTCAGAGTCTTCAAGGCACCAGTTGCAAGCATGTGTAGCTACCGCATACCTAGCAGCGACCTACCATAGCAGCGAACTTGGAAGCAAAAGGGCAAGCCCGGCATCGGCCCTAAGCTTTCGGCACTAGCCTCGTGGTCGGGTCACCGCACCCAATGAGCGGGGAGTATATCAGCCTTGTGGAGGCTAGCGCGAAGCCGACTGTTCCGCTCTGGCAAAGAATTATCCAAAACCATTTGCCGATGACTCCATAGGCATAGGGCTGACGACTCTGGCCCTTTCCAGGTCTGTTAGTAGCCCACCCTAAATGAATCGTTGTGGAGCCAGGAAAATGCCGTCTTCACGACAAGCAATTGCGTGCTTTTAAGTCTGGCCTCGGCGTGGAATTGGAGAAGTGAAGAAGAAGAAGAAACGAAGCAATTAAAGTTTCACGAGGAGGGATATCCGAAGACGCGAAAACAGCCTCAACGGAAAAACTTCATCAGCGGAAACTAATCATTTAGTCAAAGGTTGAAGAGGGAACAATGACTCTTTGAGGGCGTATCTAGGGTTTAGGGTGCCAGTGGACCGTCCTTCAAACTACACCCTTCCTTCTCCCACCTTCTGCTTCCCCAGGATCGATCTCATCTGTTTGTTTTTTTGTCTCTGACGTCGGCTCCAGTCCACTTCACAAGTTGGCTACATACCAGTCGAGTCCTTTATCATCATCATCATCATCATCATCGAGAGGCTAGAATGTCCCAGCCCTTTGACACTGGCAAATCCCCGGTCCTGCCCGTCGTGGAGTCGTCGTCCGAGAAATCCGGCAAATTGCAGGGGATGATGGGCGGCAGCAAAGAAAGTCGGTTGAAACAGAACATCGACAGCAATTACGCGGATCTGATCTGTGTGGTGCTATGCTTCCTGACGGGTCTCTGCGATAGTTCGGCCTTCAATGCTTGGTCGTGCTTCTTGGCCATGCAGACTGGTAAGTTCTTCGGTTGATTCCTCCACTCCCCTCCCCGCGGCGCATCGTTTCCCCTTCTACAAACCCTACCATCCCCTCCCCTCTCATCTTCCATAAACCACCTCCCCCCCCCAAAAAACCGAATGACCAACCAAAAACAAATAACAGGAAACACCATCGTCCTCGGCCTCGGCGCCTCGAACCTGCCCCGCGACGCGCCCTACGGCTGGCTCAAATCCCTCGTCTCGATTAGCAGCTTCCTGCTGGGCTCGTTCTGCTTCAGCCGCGCCGGCCGGCTGCTGGGCCCCACGCGGCGCGGGACGCTGTTCGCCTCCTTCATGGTGCAGGTGGCGCTGATCGTGATCGCGGTGTCGCTGATCCAGGCCGGGCTGATCGCGCAACCCAGCGTCAACAGCGCGCACCAGCACCACATGCTATTGGACCTGATCCCCATCGGCCTGCTGGCGTTCCAGTCGGCGGGCTCGATCAACTCCACGCGCTCGCTGGGTTACAACGAGATCCCCAGCGTCGTGATCACGAGCGTGTACTTCGACATCGCGTCCGACATGAACATCTTCGCTGGCAAGAATGTCAAGCGCAATCGCCGCGTCGCCGGTGTGGTGATGTTGCTGGTCGGGGCGATCGTGGGCGGGTGGTTGAATCGCAGCGCCGGCGGGATGGCGTCGACGTTCTGGTTGGCGGCCGGCATTAAGTTTCTGATCGGGTGTGGCTGGTTGGTGTGGGCGCCGAAGAAGCAGGATGGGAATTAATAGGGGTGTCTTGGTTCGAGGGGTTGTAATATGGGGGAGTTGTAGGGTGCGCTGTATATAGCGGGAGCGATCTCCTTTAGCGATTTCATTTTTGGGGTTAGATACATAGAGTGGTGGATCTTGGGGCTCAATAGACCATTATTACATAGAACCACGCAGTCAAAACCGCGTTTGTGCTTTCCGCCGACCATACAAGATATATCTCTGTCGTCATCATTCATGACCGTCCATTAAAATTACCCAACCGTGCTATAAACGCCAAGATACATCACAGGGCTTTCCCGGACTCGAGGCGGCTCCGAAGAACCTCAGCTTCCACCTATGTACACAATATAGCCCGCGTCCAGGGCTCTCTCTGTCTGCTCTCTGGCTCAGCAAGCGAGTCGAGTTTTCTCAAAACCGCTGGAAAGCTGCGATCAAAATAACTGCCGTGATCCGCAGAAACCGTCATTCAGTATAGCTATTGTACAATTTTGCTCGCTGCTCATCCTCGTCTCATCTCTCCCTTTCCGCTTCCACAGTCCTTTCGAGGGTATTCGGGTGGTTTACTCGCGCATGGGACGAAGGGGGCTCTGGCGGGGGAGCATCATCGGGGGACCCCGAGCGCGGAGCCAGGCGTCATTGTAAGGGCCCTCGGTGCGGATGACGCTACCGATGGACATGAAGAGACTATTTAACACGGGATTTGTTAGCGGGGGTTGTTGGCTTATATGAACAGCGAAAAAAAAAAGAACAAGGTATAGTCCAACCACATACCCGAAAGTGGCGCCCGAACCAAGCATGTATTTACCCAGGGTGCGGAAAACACCGTTGGGACCGGCTCCATACTGGAAGATAGTGACGGTGCCTGGGGCTTGTCAGCTGATTATTCAGTTTTTGACTCCTTCGCATGGATACTTACCGATGATGAAGCCCATGATACCACCGACAGCTGGCGAGTGATGATGTTAGCTCCCAACCCTAGCGATTTTTGGCAGGTCAGATAAAGTGAGGCTTACTGGATCCCATCAAAGCACCCATCTTCACTGTAGACTTGATTAGCACATGCTCATAGAAACCCGGAGCAGCCAGACTCCATAGTGTCCACTTGTACTGCGGATTGTCTGAGACTTACTCTTCTCGAAGGTGTTGGGGCCGTGGGCCTGAGGGGGACCAGCAACAACAGGCATGATGAAGAAAGGAAGAAAATTAAAACTGAGGTAAAGAAGAATAGGTCAAGGGTACAGTACACGAGTACACGAAGACACTGCCGGCGTCGAGATGCAAAGCGAAGCTCCAGCGCATGCAAAGCCCCGAGGCTCAGGCGATGCCAACCACGTGATACCGCCTGCCGGATCCGGCACGCTCTTGGCCGGGGATGACATAAGCCACACGTGTTGCCTCACGTGATAGAGGCCTGAGGCGGGTGGAGGTTAGGGGAGAACAGCAGGAGAAGGAGGAGAGAAGGAAGTCCGTGAGCTGATGATGCTGTGGGCTCTCCCTCTCGCTCGCTCCCGCTTCAGTCGCCGGTAACCACACCCATGGGATCTGGTCGCAAACCGTCTGATCCTAGTGTGTCGATTCATATTTCTCGACGGCCTCAGAGCCTATGCACGGCGGCAGCTCCGTCCTGCGTGTGCCCTCTTTTTACCTACTCCCTGAAATCTTCTCCCTTCGCTGGACCGTTGCTTCTGCCGGTCGCTCCTCGGGTTGGGCCAAGACCTTGACGTCTCCCTGGTCTCCTCCCAGCGCTTTTCTAAATCTCCCGCCCAAACCCACTTTAATCTGATCTCGGCCCTTTGTACGAGTGAAACACTGGTAAGTCCAATGTGATCTATCTTATAATAGAGAGGGGCTAAGGGGCCCCATCGGCTGTCGTTGCTGCCTCGACTCCGAAGGGGCTTTGATGTTTATCGAAGGACTCGTCCGGGAATTATTGCTAACGTGACCTCCTCCCAACAGTGGTATTGGGTTACAACAGCCATTTTTTTTGTCGGCGCGCCAGCCATCGCTGCATTTCTTTCACCTCGAGGATCTGTCGCGACGAGTTGCAGCAGCTGATTGTCGCCCGAGTGAATATTCTCTCTTGCCCTTGTTGCAGTCACCGTTGACCGGACGAGTGCCTATGTGATAAACCCACCGAGCTACAATTCACAACACTTAGCGCCTCCCTCCGGTGATCCTTCTCCATGACTGCTGTGGCATCACCACCTAGTGTGCAAACGGGGCCTCGCATGGGATGGTTCGATACTGGTAACGGAGGACAAGGTGCTTTTTCTTCAATGGATGCGGAAGAAGTGTCTCGGACATTTATGCCTCGAAAGACCGTTCAGAGATCGAACTCTTCGTCATCCCTCCGATCCAACGGCTCCGCCTCAACTACAGTGGCTCTTACTGAACAGAACCCGGGCCCCGCACAATCTGCGCCCACAAATACCTGGGGCAAGAAGAAATCTTCGAGAAATCTCTGGCATACCTCCAATTCCGAGCCGCAGTCCCTACGGGGCATTCCACCTTCCTCTCAAGCCATGCCGGCCTTTTCCTCCGGCCCTGGCGCTTTGTCCGCGGTCCATCAGCCGTCATCCATTGTTCCGTCTCAGCATATGCTCCAACTCTCCCAGCAACAAAATGGCCTCCGCGCTGGGAGCGTGCCACAGGGCGACCCGCCTGCGATCTTGACCCTCTTGCCCATTAACGGCACTTTCGAGAAGAAACAGATCACCGTGCCTTTTTACCCGGAGCTGATACGCATTGGCCGACAGACCAATGCGAAGACAGTGCCCACTCCAGTGAATGGCTTTTTCGACTCGAAGGTGCTATCACGGCAGCACGCTGAGATTTGGGCCGATAAGAACGGGAAGATCTGGATCCGCGATGTAAAATCGTCTAATGGTACATTCGTGAACGGAAAGCGCCTGTCCCAGGAGAACCGCGAATCCGATCCTCATGAGTTGCGCGAGAACGATACCTTAGAACTCGGAATAGATATTGTTAGCGAAGATCAGAAGACGATTGTCCACCACAAGGTGTCCGCCAAGGTCGAGCATGCGGGCATCTATGCGTCTATTCCCAACATACTCGACCTGACGCTCGGCGACTTGGATCCTTCGGCTGGCAATGGCCTTGTTCCGTCGCCACTCACCCAACCTATGCTACAGCTTCGCGGTCGGTCAGGTAGTACCATGAGCAATCGCAGTGTACAAAGCGCAGCGAGTAGTCAGTTCAATGCGATGCAGCAACAGCGTCAAATGAACTACTGGAATTCGCCGATCTCAATAGAGCAAGTGGTCAAGCGACTCACGGTAGGTGACTGTGTTCTCTTCGGGGCTGACTCAGGCTAATCAAAACACCAGAGCGAAATGAAACAGGCGAAACAGCAATCGCAGGAGCTCCGTCTGACGGATGAGTTCCTGACGACTCTGATGAAACCCGGTCAGCCCGAGAAAGAAAAGGCGAAGCACTCGCCGCCAGATACCAATGCCTCTCGCGCAATCAATGGCAGACCCAAAATCCCTCGTGTAGACTCTTTCTCACGGTTTTCCGAGCCTCCCGCACCTCCTCCACAGCAACCGCTCCCTGAGAAGCCGGACGCTCTACCTCGAAATGGCACAGACTCCCTTTCCCCCCTGAAGCGTTCCGATACCGAGAAACCCAAGCTTGGTGGCAGCTCGCCTGTCAGTCGTGATAACAGTCAAATCATTTCCCTGATTGAAGCATTGTCATCCGCCAAACGGGAGCTTGACACCCAAGGCGCCCGTGTCAAGGAACTAGAAGCCATGTTGCTTCAAGAGCGATCGGCTCGCGAATCCGCCGAAGAAAAGGCTAGAACTTTGGAGATGCGGACCGTCACAAATGGTACGCATGATACTTCGGTGTGCAGCGACGCTGATCACGAGGCCACGCAAACTGCGCCGATGGATAAGTCGGTAGAAGAGCCTGCTGCCGAAGTTGCCGCGGAAGTTGCGACCGAGGTAGAGCAGGCGGGTTCCGCGGTCATTCGCACCGAGGATCTTCAACATCGTCTGGAAACGATGATCCAGGAAATGGAAGAAATGAAGAAGCAAGTGACGATCTTCAAAGAACAGGCCCAACATGCGGAAAGTGAAACGGCCGAAGCACGCAAGTCCCTGGCGGAGATGATTGAGACATTACGACGAGAGCGCGCGGAGCGTGCCGAGAGCAATGCCAAGATGGAGGCATCAGGAACAAGCCATGTTCCTGAGACCACGATTACCAAGGCGGAGAATGCCATCGAGAAAGATGCTTCCGAGCCTAGCGACCCACGACTGCAGCCTGTTGCATCACCCCGCATGAAAGAAGATGACACTGCAGATTCCAAACTGGCCGCGCAGCCTCGCCGACATGACGTTCTGGAGCAATCCAGTCCATTTGCGTCAATGCTGGGAGTCGTGCTTCTAGGGGTCGGATTAATGGCCTACCTGAATGGATGGCAGAAGATGGATAAATGAAAAATCTCCTGCCACCATGTTATGTTTGTTTTGAGCGAATGGCTTGAATTGTTTCGTTTATTTCGAAAAGGTCCCTTTCACCCCCGTTGTTATTGCACCCTGGAGACCTTTTGGTCTACCGCCTTCCAATCCTTACTGAGCCCATTTTCTACTCCCGTCATATTGCTTTCTAGTTCTGACCCCTTCTCTCCCCGTGTACTCTGAACCAACGCTCCACAGGGTCTCTGCGTTGGCTGTGGGTTTCTTTCTTCTCTCTATACTTGCACTTTCTTGCGGCCCCATTATATGCAGTTGTTGTTTTGCATAACCTGCATGACTCTCGCTTGCCTTTCAGTTGTTAGATATCATCTCTTCGTTGGCGCCCTGTTGATCCAGTAACGAATCCCTGGCCGCAGTGGTTTATTTCCTGTTAATGTTTTCTTTTCTTATCATGGGCAGAAGCAGGTCATGTAAGGCATACCCGCCTTTGTGTATTAGTCTACATAGCATTACTTCCTTGAGTTGCAGCGCGATGAATTCTGAACCTTCTCCCACGGTCCTTCGTGTATATTTCTTTTTACAAGCTGGTTCACCTAAAGGTGCGAATGGATTGAACATATGAAAGTCTTGCACCTGTGGCTGTAGCTGTAGTATGGCCTGCGACTTGTATAGTCTGCTGATAGATATCTGATCTGGGACAATCGCAAGGAGTCAGCATGTCTTGCTGTCTCTTCTGCGCAGCTGGTGTGCCATCGTCTGTTGCTGGACAGCACACTTCGACTTGAAGTGTGCGGGGCCTTGGCTTGACGCCTCTATATCTGTGGTTTGACGATAGGCAAGCTTTCCAGCCGAAGCATCCAGGATAGGTGTGGGTATGTCCCTGATGATGCTACATTCGTCATCAACACCATTGTCTCGAATTATTCTTCATCATTCCCAACCCAGCAAGGAATCCTACTTCAACCCCACCACAACATCAACCATGTTAACCCACCTCGTCCGCGACTCGGGCAACTCCTCCTCCTCATCCTCTCCCTCCTCCTTCTCCCCCGGACCCCCTTCTGCCTCCCCCTCCCCCTCCCCCTCCCTCTTCTCACCCTTAACCACCGACCCCAAGCCCCTCAAAGCCCTCCTCCTTTTCTTAATTGCCGCCTTGGACAAAACCCGCCCACTCCCCTCCTCCACCCCCGTCTCCACCTCCCTCCTCATCCTCTCCGCCCCCTCCACCACCCTTTTCTTAGCGGCCTCATCAACCTCCACATCATCCACAACCAGCACATTCCCCGTCGTCACCGTCACCCGAAACTCCCCACCGCCCGCCGCATCCCGCAGATACTCGCCCACCGCCACGGCCTTCGCAATCGCCCGCCCCGTCGCCTTGACATGCACCTCCTCCCGCCGCAGCGCCTCCTGCACCTGCGCCACGCGCTCCGCTTGCGTTCTCCCGCCGTTGTGCCGCCCCCCTTTCGTGGAGTGTAACCCCGCGGTGGCGCGCTTCTCGGCCTGCCGCAGCAGCTTCCGGACGCGCGTCACGACGCTCATTTTGGGTGTGGTGGTCGACACGTAGATGGTCTTTGGGACGTTGGAGCCCGTGTATGGTGTTGACGGGGCGGGGTGGGGGATTGGGCGTTTGGTGATTTTGGCGTCTGCGGAAGGGGGGGTGTTAGCTTTGAGGTTGAGGGGGGAGCAGGGGTGGGGGATGGATTTGGTTTGAGGGATTTGGGGATTGGGGGAAGGGATAGGCGTACATTTTGGGAGTTTCGTCATGTTTTGGTTCTTTCTTGTGAATGTCAGGCTTTCCGGATGGAGGTGGGGTTTTGTTGCGGGTGCTGTTGGTGGTGTGGGTGTTGGTTGGGACATTTTGATTTAGGTTTGTTGTTGATAGACTAATAAAAGGTTGGATGGGAGAGGTTCGAGGTTGGCGAGGAGGTTGGAGAGGAGGACTTGGAGTAAATGCTGAGGTTGTTGGTTGTTGAACTGGACGGGGATGGATTGCGACGGACATCACTTAGCTGCTTTTCTTTGATGGTTGGCCGGATTGGGCTTAGTGGGTTTTCCTTATCTTATCGCTTCTTACACTCGTACTTAGATTGTATAGAGTGACTATATTAATGCCATCATATTTGGTATTTCCAGAAGACTTCTGAACTTGAGAACTAGCTAGCTTAGAGCTATAGTAATCCAGCCTACTATCGTACCATGGCTCTATGGTTGGAACTGTCATCCGTCCTATACACGCCCACCTGAAAAAACTACCTATTTGCACCACTCGTGTAAAGCCAGTCCGCGAGTATCGTATCCTCAACTCGAGACAATCTTTGAACACGCTAGTGCTCGCTGCCCGCTCCTGCTATGGAAGCGACATGCCGATATAGAAACCAGGCTCGTTGATATCGTGGTTCTTGTAACTAGTGGAAAAGATAATTGTCAACATACCCCATCGTGTGCATTCAGGCACGGCCCATTCATACCTGAGAATCCCGATGGCACCGGGCGACAACATCATTGGCAGCGGCGTGCTCAAAGAATAATTCAGCCACCTTTTCACAAAAGCTCGCAGAACAAGACCGTGAGAGACCTAAATAGGGAGCATACTCAGCTCAGCTCGAGTATAATCCCTTTCTTTGCTTCCTTCTCACAGAGGAATCATACCAGAACGACATCCACAGCCTTCGAGCCGTCCATATACGGCCCCTGCAGCTCTCGAATCCGCCCAATCAGACCGTCGAGCCTGTCCGTCACCTGTTGCGCCGACCTGATGCAAAATCTCAATCAGCGTGAATCCTCAAGATCACAATTGACGGGAGGAAAAAAAAATCACGAACTCCCCGCCCTCACACCCATCCTCCCAGATAACCCACTCCCTCCGCTGGTCCAACCCTCGCGCTTTGCGGGCGGATCGGATCTCAGCGACCTTCAAGCCCTCATAATCCCCGTAGTCCCACTCGGCCAGCTCTTCCGTGTACGAGACGAGACGCTCGTCGACGGTACCCTTGTGCCACCCGGGTGGTTGGAACAGATGCCGGAATGTCTGCTGCGTCCGCCGGCGCGGACTCACCCACACGCGGGCGATCCGGGCGGGATCGATCAGTCGCCCCGGTCCGATCAGCTGGGACCCGGTCTGGGTGACCTGCTCGACACCCTTCGGGGTGAGCTCCAGTTCGGTGGTGCCGGTGTAGCGGCCGTTCTTGGTCCACTCGGTCTCTCCTGATGTTTCAAAGGTTAGGAAATCTGCGACGCAAGACAAGAACCAAAGCTGTTAATGAGTATAACTCACCGTGGCGGATGAGGAATACTCGAGGTGTTGTGGAATCTAGATCAGACATGGTGTGTCGAGGGTCGTATGAAGGTGTCGTACAGTACAGTACTGCTGAGAGGCAGAGTCCTTTTCACTTAAATTGCAGATTATGTCAATGGCCCTTTGTAGAATGTGTTCTGGGGTCTTGTCCGTTTCTGGATCGGAAGGTCAGTCGTATGAGGGGTCGGACGAGGGGTTGTCGTTTACATGCGTCTATTGTTTACATAATGCTGACACTAAGCTATTAGCTCCTTTTGCGCCAGCAGACACCGTATCCGAGTCTTTCTTGAGACATATCGCTTGTGGCAGTAAGAATGAGAGCATAAAACGTGGGTGAAGTCTCCTTGTTACTTCTTTCTCATACTTCTAGCTTTGATGTTTGATTAACAGTCTGCGTTCGGTGCAGCTTACGCGGTATCCCTGATCATGCAAGCTGGTGGGTCTGCTGATGAGCAATATGTGTATACTAGGTCCATGTGACATTGCGCTCAAAGACATCGAGGTCTCAGGTTCTCTCTGATATTGAGATTTGACGCAATAAGTGTGCTGGGACTTCATACACGATGTGTCCCACCTTCTGCTTCAACAGTAATTTGGACGGGTTCGTAACAGATATCAGATTTGAGCACGGTGTCTTGGAGTTCGTTCTCACCGTTCTCGAAATCCTGAAAGCGGAAACTGGTATAATCGAGGCCGGTTATAGCCTCTGCAAGCTCAGAATGGAATGACGACCTAGCAGAGACAAAGAGGTGAGACTCCATGAAAGTTTCTGTTGATCCGCTGTCATCATCCTCTGATTGAGCGAGGCTGATCAGGCCCTCAAAGGCTTCTGAGAGCTTTTCGTCGTGGTCATGGCGCGCTTGCAATATAGCTCGGCCCGTAGACAAAGTTTCGGGGTCCAGTCCGTGGAAGAGCCGCAGAGGATGAGATGACGCGAGTATCAACATAGTGCCGATGTCTGCATGTTCCGCGACAAGCGAGAGCAACTGGGAGCCTGACAAACTGTTAGTGAGCTATCCAACCCAATCATGGTCCTTGGCTCGTCCGAACGTCGGTGTTGACAGATAGAGTACCTTTCAGGCGGATTATGGTTAAGTAATCATAGCGGCGGCTAACAAATAGTTGCAGTATTTGATGATTATTGTGAATGATCGCAGTCGACAATGGGGTGATTCCATTGCTAGACGTCGCGCCTAGGTCTGCTCCAAATTGAAGCAACACAGCGGCGCAGTCGACGTTGCCAGTGCGAGCGACTGAGTGCAATGCTGTCAACCCCTCCGGATTACAGGCGTTGGGTTTCGCGCCGAATTCAAGAAGAAGTCTGAGCATGTCGGGCAGTCCTGCAAACCCCGCGGCCGTCAGAGGACTGCTTCGGAAGACTCCCTTCGGCATTGTGGGGTTCGGATCACCGCCGGCTTCGAGGATGAGACGTAAACAGGGGATATTATGACTATCGACTGCATGGAGTACGGTTGTTCTGCCTGTCATGTCCATACTGTTGGGGTCCGAACCATATCTTAAAAGGGTACGGACGTCCTCTAATTGGGCCCTGGCTGTTGCCCAATCCAGCGCCGTGCGTCCTTGTATATCTGTGGCGTGGACAGCATGTGGGTTTTCCTCAAGCTCTGTGGTCAAGGGATGCGAAGACAGACCAAAGATAATCCGATGGATCAGAGGGAAGTTCTGCTCTCTGAACCAGTCATTATCACCATCTTCTGTGATACAGCGCAGGGCTCTCTCTTCCTTATTGTTGCATTTACCGCGGAAAATGAAGTCCCAGACGTTATCATATGAGCTGTCGAGACTTGTGAGTGGAAAGTCCGGCTATTGTAGTAGATTCACCTACTCTTCATCCACAATAGCCCCTTGGCCAATCAAGAACTGAACAGTTTCGTACTGATGCATTCCCCCATAAAGCGCCCACTAAACCGTTTCTTAGCATTCTGTGTGTCATAGGAATTTGTGTCACCAACTTACTCGCACCAAAGTGAACCCCCTGGAGTTACTGACATCCCTTGGGGTCGCCAAGCCTTCACTGAAAAGGTACTTGAGGCCTTCAATGTTCCCTTGCATGGCGAAGATAACTGACTGAGCATTATCTGGTACTCTCCTCGAGGTCGATAACTGTAGCTGTGGCCCCTGACCTGCGAGGTCTCTGAGGTAGAACCTCAAATTCATTGACATAAACCACCAGGGCAGCCAATATTCCATTGTGACGGCGGGGGTCTGTTGATCCTTGCAACCTCTAAAATCACATCGCTTCTTGAGCACGGGTAGTCCCGTATAGCCCACAAATACCTTACCAAATAGACTCTCCATGACTCCTGGAATTGTCATTCTCGCCTTTTGCTTTCTATGACAAACACAGGGACAGCTTCGACAAGAGAATGAATGAGAGAATTGAACCCGGAGCATCTCCTGATGAGATGATCCAGTACTCTCCTTGTCAGGCAATGGCTGGCTGTAACCAGGTAACTGCCCCGCTGGCAGCTTTTCTGTAAGTAAAAGCTGGCCAAGTTCTTCAAGACGGTTGTTCAAGCCTTGATATTGTTGGTCCATGCGAGTATGTATTGCAGCCTGATGGTCCTCAAGAGCCTGGTTCATTGTGTGGATGTAAGATTCCTGTAGTTGACCACCATTTGAAGTCAAGACAGAGACCTGACGAAGCTCGAGTAGGATCTGCTGTAGATCACGCCTAATCATGCGATGAGCCCAGGGGAAAGAAATGGAATGATGGTCACCAATGAGACTTCGTAATACGTACGAGTTCGAGGCACCCAAGATAACATTGAGACTCGCCTTGGCGGCTCCTATGTCAGTGTGAAACTCGTCAAAGAGTTCCTTCTCCCTGAGCCAAATGGCAGTTTTACTGATGATCTTGGTTTTGCCTCTGGCACATGCATATCCCACACGCTCCAGGGCCTTTGCAAGGTCCGCGAGACGACCCTTGGTCCGCGCCAGTAGCTGGTGCAATGATTCTTGGTCTGGGGCTGATTGGGAGGCATCTTGTTGCAGCAAGCATGCAACCTGACGAAGTACTATCTCGAGATCTGTGATCTCATTTCGCAAGGCGTAAACCCGGACGGGTACTTCGCCAAAGGCCCGCAAGCGGGAAATCGCTTTGCATATCTGTGCGGCGGCTGCGGCAACGGCAATGACACTGGCAATGGGTGACAGCGGGTCGGCCATATTCAAATTATGGTTTGTACTGTACAGTGCTCGCACCGGTGACCGAAGGTTTGCTAGTAATATATGATTCCGCGAGGCGGTCCTTATTGGCATGCAATCAGCGCCCTGGATTCACAATCAATGCTGAGGGGTTGATTACGTGGCAACAGTTCGTTTTGCGAATCAGATAATGTCTATAAGCGCCGCAGCTGCGGGCATGCTGCAATCTTCTATTCAAGTGGCAAGGCTTGCAAGGAATATGCCAGTGCTAGTTAACACTAGCGCTAAGCTAGTAGTTGGCGCCAGACTGCGGCGAGACCCGGCGTGCTCTTGTTAAACACTGCAGTAGCAAGGCACCTAAGGTGGGTGAGATACCGAAAGAAGACCCTAAGCACCTATTTTTGGAGTCCCCTACCCCCGAGGGCCTCCTGTAACCTGCCGTCACCGCTCAGGATTTATAGATGGTCCCAGCCTCTGAAAATATCTAACTGTAATCTAGCATGGCAGCGCCATCCGCGTTACAGTGTGGGCTGATTTTAAGTATAGACTTCCATCCACAGTAAGATATATAAGATACAGTTTAAGCTCATATGCCTGCCAGTGCCATCAATTGGCGGAAGAACCCCGGTCTCCGAACAAGTGAAATCACACCTCAGGAGCTAAGTGACCGATATTTACCCGTGGAATTTACCAAACTCCCTCAAGCTGAGCACCGAGAACACATCTTCCCTTAGTACAGTACATCAAGTCAGCAGATCAAAGTAGCATTGATCATATGTCGTTGCATCGACTGGATCCAGACGGGGTTTGATGCGCCCTAGGGCGTCGGTCCATGCTTCTCCCCGGCACCCATGTTCCTCCACCCGAGCATCTTTACCCCGAATTGGAGAAACCCTTGCTCAAATACACTTCTAGATGGTTATGGTCATTCGAAGTTCTGACATAGTCTGCATGCAATCCATTGGAGGCTTGATTAATCTCGAACGAGTACTTGAGGGCATACTTACTGACATGTTCACTGAAGTATATCAGATTGCCCTTCATCCGTAGTGCCTCGAGCATGAAACGGCTACGCAATGAGTAACAACGATAATTTCTCCAGGACATCGATACTCATACTTGCAATATAACAAACGCAAACAGAACTTCGAACCCCCTTTCCCAATACTGCACAAAAATATAATCAAAAGTACCCAAGCCCCAGCAACAACCACAGTCTAAGAATAACGCCCTTTATATACAGCCTTGTGTAAATGCACGTCAAAAAACCGCCTGCTCGCGCGGCGGCTGTTCCTCCGTCGAAGAAAACAACGCCCGCGTGCGGCTCATGGTGCTCCGCTTCTTGCGGTCCTTCTTGCGGTCCTTCTTCTTGCCATTCTCCAGGGGCCTCTGATTCTCCTGGTGGGCGTGGGGGTGGTCCTCCGACACCACCACCGGCTGCTGAACCTCCGCGTAATCCGGGAGTGGCTCATCTGCCACGGGCTCGGGGAGGGGGTCCTTCTCGGTGATGGGATCGGGGTCTGTGGCTGCAGGCTCCTCCTCGTGGATGACCGTCGTATAGCCCCAGTCCCTCGTGCGGGCTGCCCAGCTCCCCCACCCGTTCCAGGTGTCCTCTGCGGCGGGCTCGGATGGGTCAGCACGGTGGTATCTGTCATCGTCGTCGTCGTCGTCGGCGTCGTGGGGGATGGGCTCCTCCTCCTTGATCGGCTGCTCGACGGGCGTGTACCTCTCGGCTGGGAGCTCTTCACCGTATTCTTCGTTGCCAGTAGCAGCGGCGGCAGTAGTATGGGTGTCTTGAAAGTCCTCGATCGGTTCTTCCGCCACGGAGACAGGATATCCCTCCGAGAGATGGGCACTGGATGGCGGTCGCTCGTCGATCAACTCCTCCGCATGTGCATCCAGATGTTGTGGCTCATACACCCCGCCTCCTCCTTCTCCTCCCTCCACCTCGTCCATCTCATCCAACTCCACCGTCCGCTCATCCGGATACTCCTCCGCGATATCCTCCAACCCGGCCACGACCGCACTCCTCTCATCTCTCACTCCGGCATTCCTCAGATCCTCATACCTATGATCCCGCTGCTGCAACCCACCCCCACCCCCACCCCCATTTCTCACAGCCCTCTTCTCCAGCTCCGCAATCCTGGCCTCGTAGATCGAGACCAGCGCCTGCACCAAGAACCGATCGAACCCGGTCTCCGCGCCCAGCAGATATTGGAACCGGGGGCGCTCGAAGAGATCGCGATCCTCGACGAAGGCATCGGCCATCTTGCCGCGGACATAGACCTCGAAAAACCAGGGGTCGTAGTCCGGGATCGTCGACCCTTTGCCGCCCCCGTACACCTTCCGGGCGACGCCCAGCACGTCGAAGATGCTGAGGTGGGTGTCCAGCTTCTGCAGGTACTTGCGCGCCAGGGTCTGCAGGCCCAGCAGCTCGTAGCGGGCCGCCGCGCCGTAGACGAGCACGCTGCGCCGGTACTCGGTCTTGGTCCAGTCGCTGCCCCCCGCGGGCCGCAGCGTCTGGTAGCTGCCCGTGTGCAGGTAGTGGACGACCGTGTGGATGAGGTCGTCGTCGACGTCCGGCAGGGGGATGCAGGGCACTGTTTTGGTGATGAAGTGCGGGTACGTGCTGAGGATGTCCGTGAAGATCGGGGATTGGCGGAGGTAGTACTCGGGCACGGAGTGTTTGCGTTCGTGGGGGCCCAGGAGGAGGATCACGCGGCGGGATTCGTAGGGGCTGCGTTTTGAGGTATGAGTGTTAGGGTTTGTTATATGGAAAAGAAACGGGGGACGGACGTACGAGGATTCGGGCTGGTCGTATTCTTCCACTTCTACTTCCACGGAATCATCACCGATGATTCTTCTTGACGATGAGGATGATTTGGGTGGTGCAAAGCGGACGGATGGGCCATGCGTGCCGTTGCTTTGGACGGCCATTTTGTTTCCGTGATAATTGAATTGCAGCGCTATCCTTGGTCGTGGTGCTTGTTCTCTCGTCTATCTCGTCGTGAGGTTCGTCGCGTTGCTCGTAGCGTCAAATTCACCTCAAGTGTCGCTCGTTTTCTTAGTAGATACCAAACCCAAAAAGATCTCGTACTCGAGAATTGCCGTGGAATTCGGAGTATATTCTCCTCATGCTCCAGACCGAGGGGCCTTGACAGCTTATACCCCCCCACAGCCGTCGTGTTAAACGAAACCCAGTTCCTGCCTTATGAGCTGTTCATACATCGTGGAACCAGTGGCTGCGCTCCACATTAATGACCAAGGTACCTGGTCGGTGTTTCGCCTTGCGCCCATCTCTGCATGTCATTGGACGGAAGCATATTGCCTGACATTGATTGTGCTCGTAGTCTGCGAGTTAGGCTGGTTTCAGCCAGGGTGATCGGGTGGTGGAGGTGGTGAGTGAGTTGGCGCGTGGGATGCGGGGTTGATCTCTGATGTGGCTGTCTGCTTATCATCCCATCCATGCTGGAGGCCGCGTGGTGGCTGGGAGTTATATTCGGCACCGTCGATTAGAACCCTGCTCCCGGGGGTGGGAAGCTTGATTTTGTTTTGCATGGTAGTGCAACGAAGACTTTAGATGTAGACTAGTCGTAATTTTCCTAGAGTACATCGCATCGACCGGCTCCCTGCCAGTTTCCCGATCACCTCTCCGTTCACCTGGCCGATTCTGCCAATTGCTTCTGTATGTATCCCATGTAGTCACCCTCCAATCAACTCATAATCACGGCGCGGTCGAACCAAAAAGAACATTGGCAGCGACAATCCGACCAAAGCAGCAGCCACAATGAACGGGAGCCCAGTGTATTCAACCCCAAACTGTAGTCCCAAAGCAAAAGCACCAGAATAGATCGGTCCTGCCAAAGAGGTGCTCAGAACGTGAAGGATCGTGAAGATCGAATACACCACACTGATGTCCTCGGAGGAAATCGTCATGGTCACTAGCGACCGCAGGGCCGAGTTAAGTCCTCCCGTGGCGGATATCAGGATGACCCCTGCATATACCAGATTACCAGATGATTCGATGTAGTTAGAGAGAGAAAGAGAGCAGGCATACCTATAGTGGAAATCGGTATGGATACACCCAGTCCGAGCAACAAGGTCCCCAGGCTAAGCATCGTTGCACTGGCAAGGGCAATTGCAAAATCCGTTTTGTAGGTGGTTGAACCAGCACGCGAGAGAAGCATCCGACTGATTCGCGGAAGCAATACAATGAGACACACGAATCTAACGGCCTCTCCTAACGACCACAAGAAATTGGCCTGTTGCGTCTGTTAGCTTGTTCATACTCGTATCAGAATCCGGAGCCCGTGCAAGACATACTCGCGCGAATTCCCAGTTGTATCTCTTCGAAATATAAAGGAGTAGAGCCATGGGAAGCGAGTCTTCCCCGAGTTGGCCCAGGAAGGACATCCCCAGTAAGATGATAAGCGAGGTGTTGCCATACACAACCCTCGCCCCTTGGTGAAGTTGCTGCGTTATTTGGGCAAGACGGGATCTCAGACTAGCATTTTCCTTGGTAGAGGAGCCACTCTCCTGAGACACAGTGCTCATATCGTCGTCATGATTCTGTCCGGGATTCAATGCTGTGTGCTCATCCGGAGGATTCTGGGTAGTGGCTGGATGTAGCTCCGACGGGGTAGTCAATATGGCAAGGAGAAGGCAGAATAACCCCAAAAGCCACGGCACCCAGACATGATGGTTCATGAGGAGCGAGCTGCCGAGTAGGGCCAGCACGGCTGCTGCGATCGCCATTGCGCGAATGAAGAAAAAGGTTGTCGTCCGTTTCTCCTCCGTAGCGGCTTCAGCAGCCAGGATGTGGATCATGGTGATGACAATGCCGGGACCACCTCCAATGATTTCGAATACAGGGCCCAGGAGAATGAGGCGGATTGGAAATGTGTTCGAAAACCAGCATATCAGAAAGCCCCATGTTTCTTCACAGAGGACGCCGAACAAAGCTAGTCGGAGGGAGAGGCAGCGGCCGTATCGCTCGGCGAAGATACTCCATGGAATCACTAGGATGGCTGTCACAGGTCAGAACAGCATACCGAGCGAGGGTGAGAAGGAGGCCCAGTATGTACTTGGTATTGCTCCTAAAACTCTCTCTGTCCCCTTGAGGAAGGCCAATTCCTCTTGGACAGCTTTGTCTTTGCATCTGGCGCTCGATGGTGGTGTGAAGGCATTATTTGGGAGAATCTGATCGCACAGAATGGACTCGTAGATTTGGGTGCGTGGACCTGATTGGATGTTTTCGCCTAGGAAGAAGAGGAATGCTGTTAGAAGCAGTGGTAGAAGGACCCGAGTCGATCGATTGGGAACATTATGTTGTGCCATGTCTGGATCAAATCCTGGGATAGAGCAGAAGGGGGAACCATTGCTATTTGATAAGGAGGTGGTGAGGAGACTCAATCACGCCTTCGGCGATAGCGCGGACTCCGGCCATTGGTGAGTAGTAACAGGTAGTAGGATCTCAATCCTGGTCTGAATTGAGTACTAGCAGCAATTAATATGGTATCACGAACAATCTCGGATACATCTTTTACTTTGCTAAACATACCTAGAGGTTGATCTTTTACCTGGACTTTTGCTGAGGTGAGAATCTAGTGTAATGTACTGTACAGCGGAAAAGCCTCTCACAGTTCCTTACAATGCAATAATGCCTAGGCTGCCGGCTATAACCGGTCTACCCATATTGTAGTCAAACAGTATAACCTAGACTACACTCCCTCCAGAGGATCCACGAAGCTCTCCAATTTCGAGGCTCCATAGCTCCTAAACTCCGTGTCTCCTTCTGACCAGGTAAGATATGCTCCCTAATCACCATTTTTGGTGTGGTCTTCTTCAAACCACCGCAAGAAATCGAAGAAGCGCCAAACACACCCAGTCCCGACGTATCGGTTCCGAAGAAAGCGAGGAAAAAGGTGGACCGAACTTTCGGTTACATCTGCGGGATATAATTACGCTGCGGAGTTTGATATGGGTGGTTATGAGAGCGAGTAGAGTGAAGCAAGACTTGCTCAACTCTTGCCTGTCTTTTATATCCAAGATAATGCTCCCAACGTAGTGTGGTCGTCCTCAATCTGATCACCCCGGATCTATAGACACCCCGCTCTGCTCTGTAAAACACGGCGGGAGAAAGTGATCGCGTAAGTACAGACACAATGCGATCTTGAATCATACAATCGTTAGTTACACAGTACGTACCATGCAGTGCTCAGCAACCTGTAGACCAGAAGGGGCCCATCAGTATGATAATCCGCAAAGATGTGCAGGGGTATACCTACATGATCACACAGACAACTGCGCCACGGATCCTCGGGACAGGCGTCGACTCCCTCATACGCAAAGTGGTCTTCACATTTGACTTGCTACATCCCAGTCAGCCTAAAGGCCCTCCAATTGTCTTGTTCTTCCGTGGCTAACCTCTGCATTGCAAGTCAGCTCTATGCTGGCGCATATATCCAGTCGCTCGGTGGCGGTGGGGATAGCTGCTGTCATTGTAGCGAGCAGGGTAAGAAGAAAAGCTACAGTAGTTCTCATCTTTTCCCCTTCGATTGTACTCTCGAGTACTCTCAAATTGGAAGTGAGTAGTGGTTAGAGTCTGCGTTCGGGAGAGAGAAGGATACAGGGGAAGTTGAAGTGTTCAAGGCTCCCTTTATATGATTTTCGCCACGCGACACTCTCGTGCAGCGATCCAGGCACCAGAACTCCCCGGAAAATAAGGTTGTGAAGGAAGGGGCCCCGCACCCCCTAGTGGAGATTCACGAAGCGAATCTTCTGGTCTGTTATGAGATCGTGCAGTCTAGCCCTTGAGTCCGGCCCCCTTACCTCAAAACTAGGCTACCAGCGATTCACAATCACGTTCGCCGGGTCACAATCAGTGAAACCCGAGAACTGAGGTAGAGCGTCAGGAAGGCTACCTTAACCGCAAAAGCAAGAGGGTCTATGCCCCTTCAATCAGACAAGTCTTGATTTAGCATTGAGATCGACTCTCACAGTCGCTCAGCATATGGCTCTTCAAACTTAACAATGTGCGAGAGGACAGATTGATTGTTTCTGAATGATTAGGTTCAGCCCTACGTGTCTATCAAAGCAAATCAGATAATGGAATGCCGATGACAGGATAGGAGTGTTACAACTAAGCTAACCCACATGGGGATATGGCAGTGGAACACCTACCGATGATTCGAACCATCGACTAAGCAGTAGCTCTGACCCTCATCGCTAGCTCCCTCATTATACAAATCCTTCGTTTCTGCGAGCTGATGCTTTGGAGCCAAGGGAGATCACCTTCCCCAGAAATGCAACCAGTTGGAGTCCGCCAGCGCGAGGCTATTGCCGCACTGGGAAAAGAATAGAATGACCATTTGATCGGCAGAAGGACGTAGTAGGATACCGGCAAAGATGATTCTTCTCTTTCTGCTAGGATATGCATGCATATGTACTGCCAGCTACCTTATCATGTTTTGTGAATGCCATATTGCAGTGAAGGACCAGATGGAGAGTCGAATAGGCCCGCTCAATCCGGAATTGTTGACCCGTATCAACCCTCGACTCACAGACACAATGCATGAGCGACCCGAAAAACATAAGCCTCTTGAATGAGACCAAAAAAACCCCTTTGTTGTCCGTATGCTATTCGATTGCTCAGACAAACCCACTAGCAGAAGTCGAGAAAATACCAAGCTCATGAGGAGAACTCCGACTCCGGATGCAGTCACGCCGCTCATGTACTATGGCAGCTGCTTATCATATTTCATCGCGTGCTCACAACGCATGGTGGTAAAACAGTATGCGGCGAAGTGTGTGGTATGTTCTACAACTTCCCCCCTCCCCCAATAAAGAAGAGCTTTGCGATGGGCTTTTATGGAATAGATCTTTGATCGACGTCGGTGATTTGCTGTATTAACACACCCCTGGCACAGGTGAATGCGGGTTGCTATTCTAGTGGGTGGACCAGCTGAGCGGTTTGGGAGGGGTTTTTAAAGGGAGGAAGGGGTGGGGATTTGAGTCTTCATACTGATAAGGTGTATTAGGTAGTCACAAGCTATGGGCAATATTGTGGTTAGATTCACCTTTCGCTTGATTGAATATTCAGATGTAAGATACTGGGCTTGGCTACATAGCTTATCACATTTCGAGCCCGTCCTTGGATGGAGAATCCGGGCCAATCAAGCTTTTAGCTTGTAAATTTGGTTCACATCCATGTGGCAAGGAATATTTGCATCGGGGAGGAGATAGTATGTTAGTGTGGCGTAGTACGGAGTTTGATCCTTGGTCAGAATAACGTTAGATATATATAGTACCTTACTTGAAATATGGTTCTCTCGATATTATCTTTCAATCCCCAGGCGTAAACACTGGGATATATACAAAGGATTTGATTGTACATCACAAAACATAACTTCATACTCATAATTCATGGATCGTCACATAAACAAAGCTTCGCTTCAAATGAGGAAATGAAAAATGTCGTGTATCACGAGTCGAGTCGTGACAGCGGGTTGTTGAAGTTGTTCGACCACGACTCATACGACTCGATGTCATCAAGCCACAGCCTGTGCTTGCGGCTGGAATGTCGTCTGCTGCGATGCAATCAGCCGTCGCAAGCCGAACATGGATATATGATGGCGGCTGTGTTTGATGGAGGGTCGTGGTTTTTCTGAGGCACGGTTGGAGGACATGCGCACTAGGCCATTGTCGGGCATGGAGTTGTTGTCGGCATCGCGACGCCGCACCATAGCTTTGACAGCCTTGGTGATCTGGGTGCGGATGGGAGTGGAGTTCGAGTCGCGCCGGCTTGTAGAATGGTGGTGATAGTATTCTCCGTCGTCATCCTCTTCGTATGTTTCGCGCCGATATCGTGCGTTGTCTTCTTCTTCGGCTGCGACGCAGCGACGGAAGATGTGGTGGTGACCCAGGCACCGACGGAGGTCTGGAGTTTGAGATTCAGTTTCACGCTGAAGTTTTCCCCGGGAGATTGCGGCCAGTTTCCCTGGGATGGCCGGTCGGTTGGCCAGGGGGCCAAGAGTGGAACTGAGACGCGGTGCGGTGCGACGGATGACCGCCGCGGGGATGCGGAAGAATTCAGCTGAGGAGGACATTGAGAGAACAGGAGTGTGTTCAAGATGTTTTACTCGGGATTATGGTTCAGTCCAGTGCATGGGAAGTTGGGAGTCCCAGATCAAGCGGGCCATGATGGCTTTATATTTCCCAAGGTTGGATATTCCGAATTTGAGCAGTGTTGTGATCGATTCTATCGATATCGTCAACATCATTTCTCGAACCTTGGACTGCACAGTAGTGATCCGTGGTTGAAGCATGCAGACAGCTTGTGAATCGCAGAGCTTCCCCCGCTGTAACGTCAGAGCTGAACTCAAATCGACGCGCATGCGGAATGTGAGCAAGTTGTTTGGGGCGGCGTTTCTCGGTGCGGTGCTTGACTGCTGAAGTGCTTAGTGAGCGTGGCGACCAACAGCCTTGCCCTGCCCGGCATTCTTGATATCATTACCGCGCCCTTGTAAATGCTTTGATTCGTAAGCCCTTCCCCTCCCAAACAAGCAGCCCCACAGTAATCACCTTCTTTTCCCTCTTTTCTCCGCAGGATGGAGACTGGTTCGTCCCTTTTGTCACGTTTCATGAACCCCACGAAACCTGCTACCGGCATTGCATCCCGCCGCTCAATCGAGATTGAGTAATCGAGTGCCTGGTCACTCCCCCATCGCGCTCCACTTTAGCTCTCTGCTGCTCATAGACTGTCAGTCTTTGATTTTCCCTGGTGATGTCTTGTAGTTGCTACCGCCGAACGGTCCCTTTTCCGTCCAATCATGGTATAGTAGCGCTTGAGTCCATGACGACGACTATCATATGCACCGCGTAAGGCTATGAATTCCAGATGACTATCCGCCCCCTTGAGAATTGTCAGGGTTCATTCTACAGCCCACAAAGGCCGCGTGTCGACGACGGTAGAAGCAATGGAATGAATGACCGACCCGATAAGATAGTCAAAGCCATTGATGAAGTAATTGAAGGTTGTCATGCTTTCGCGCTCAACATGAAGCTTGCAACTAATTGCACCAGAGTCAGCAGATTGGAACGCGGAACTGTTCCTGTCCCAGTACCAGAAACTCACCAGATCTCTAGGTGATGCCTATCTCCTTGCCGTGGATGCCTCGCGGTGCCATTCCCGTCAAGTAGTCAGCCACCCGTCAGCCACTGGAACTTTGCAGTGACTCTCATAGTGACACAGATGTGACTATCCCACTACAACTCCAACGGGACGATCATGCACCTTCTACTCGAACCAACCTTCATCTTCTGACACCTGTGACAGTGATCAGCCCTATAGTAGAGTTGAGATGACGTCGTGGCAGCGTCGTCTTGAACTGAAACCCCGATGATCGTCGAGCTGACACGAACCACGAGTTAAAATTCCTTGCTCACAGAGTTGGTGATCACCACCAATCGAAATAGCTTGATGATCCATGATGCAATGCAAGAGGCAAATTGCCAAACTCTATTTTTAGGATAGAATAAGGTATAGAACAGAGCCTCCTTTTCCCCGGAGTGAATCTTTCCCCGCATGCACGATTATAAAAGGTGTGAGCTGCTTTCGAGAAAGGGCTTGCAGAGCAGATTCCTTGATTAAAAGCCTTGCCTGACTCAGCTCATGATAGGGTCATCTTAAGTGGCACATGCCTTGCATGTCTTGTAATGAGACCAAAGCTTTGTGTCCGGACCAGCAGATTCTAGCATCGTCTAAAAGCCATGCAGGTGCTGATCAATGTCTCTGTTCGATCCTTTTTGGCTGGTGGGAGTACATACGTATCTGCGTATTTCTTGGAGCATGCAGTAGAGTCCCAAATTGAATGAGGGATTTTTCGCCGATGATGATAGTCTACATTACAGTGCTCGTGCCTTCCCTAGTGGCGTCACTCATTTTACCATGATGTTTTATGCCTCGATTGCCGACTGTGGAATTCGGAGAACCGACTCATAAGCGCCATCTCGTGCTTAGTCTTCTCTCTGTATCTATTTTCCGTCCTTTGCTGCGCTCATATGCTCATGACATCTTCTTCTGAAACATAGTTCTCAGCCACAATAGACAGTACCACATCTCACATCAGCCGAGGCTGGTGGATTTGTACTGTTAACACTGCGTGTCCGTGCGGCGGCTTCGGGGGCGAACGAGATAAACTAAGATGTACTGTGATGTACTTCTCTTGCTAACCTGGGAGAATCTAGTCCACAATCTCAGTCACCATGAACTGACCCGAAAAAAAAGGATGCATGACTGATATCAAGCAATGCGGCGCAGGAGAGCATCCCATTGTTCACGATGTAGCGCTGGATATCTGGGTCTCCCACTTCTCCAAATTGGAGAAAGAGATCAACTAAGATGCGCCAAGGCTACACGTCGGTAGTCTAGCAGGCAGATCATAATGTCTGCCTCGGCTAGTTCTAGCGGGGACGCGATAAATAGATTTGTATATCTTGCAGGCCAGCTCTCAGGATAGATTCGGCTTGCTCATACATCCATGATGCTGAACAGGCCACAGAGGTTACGATCGATCAGCCAAGTAGTCTCATTCACCAGGAGATATATGTCTCGTTTTCGCGTTGTTGAGCACACAGCCCGGTGTCAAAATGTCCGGGAGCGTCTGGGTGCTGTGAAAGCCGGGCATGAGAATGAGCTGAAACTTGTTGTCAAGCAGTACATCCCACTTGATAACCCTTCTCCGCAAGAAGGAGATATCACGATAATTAAGGCTCATGCAAATGGTTTTCCAAAGGTATGGCTACATTTTCTCCATCGGGCTATCTTTTCTACGCAACTCATTCGTGGTTCAGGAACTGTATGAACCTCTATGGATGATATTCACGAGGTACTCCGAAGTCACAAAAGACGCATTCGATCCATTTGGATCGCGGATGTTGCTCATCAGGGACAGAGCGGTATCTTAAATGAAGCATTTATAGGTCATGATCGTGAGTTTTCGCTCCATGGATACCACTAACCAATCCATTCTACTCACCGTCAGATACCTTTTCTAGCTGACTGGTTTGATCATGGACGCGATCTTCTTTCCATCATCAACCACTTTCAAGACCAGATCCCGCGGCCGCTTATTGGGATCGGTCACAGCATGGGCGGGATGCAACTGTGAGTTCAAATCACGGTGTCATTCTTCGCTTTCAATCCAAAAGTCATATTCCTAACTGTGTCAGAGCTCATCTCTCACTGATGCACCCATCGTTATTCGAAGGTCTTGTCTGACCGATCCTGTGATCCAGCGCGAGAACCCCGGCCGCAAATACGCCGAGGCGTCCACGTACCGACGAGACCTGTGGCCCTCACGTCAACAAGCAATCGAAAAGTTCCAGACCAGTCCATTCTACCAGGCATGGGATCCCCGCGTGTTCGCGAAATGGATCCAGTACGGACTCCGAGATCTCCCCACGCCACAGTATCCCATCACCAAGGAGACCGGGCCGTCTGCCGTAACCTTGACTACGACGAAGGCACAAGAGCTTTTCTACTACACGCGACCGTCATACCTCGACGAGCGATCCGGTCTCCCTCGCGGCTATCCCGAGGAAGAAATGCACCCCGACGACGTCGACGAAACTTATCCGTTCTATCGCCCTAACCCCGCCTGGATGTTTCGGCGATTGCCGGAGTTGAAGCCCGCTATTCTCTATCTATTTGGGGACCAGTCGGATCTGTCTTTGCCGACCGCCCGTCGCGAGAAGGTGGAGTGTACTGGCACGGGTGTCGGAGGCAGTGGCGGCGCGGCTCGTGGACTGGTTCGAGAGGTCGTTCTTCCTTGCGGTCATATGGTTCCCATGGAGCGTGTTCTGGAAAGTGCCAAGGCCAGTGCTTCCTTCATTCCCGCTCGGTTATCGGCTTGGGAGCTGAAGGTTTCACGGTTTCGCGAGGCTTGGGAGCGAGTGCCCCATTTGGATCAGGTCAGCGTTGACCGGCAATGGGAGAGGGGAATCGGTGCTTTACCTATAAGGTCTAAGGTTTGAATTTGGGGGTGTTGAGGTTCTGGGTGCGAGTTTTTGACCAGTCAGCATGTAGCCCAGTACATTATGGGAAATCGGGGCGATCGAGGAGAACAGATGCGGACATAGTCAGAGGATAAGCAGACAGTGGGCAGGGATCTTACAGTGAAATGACTCCCCCGATGTCACTGACAGGGCGCGAGAGGGGACTCCACTTGACTATCGGCGCCGGTAGCCCTAGGAAGTACAGTAGCATTCTGAGATGATTACTATCATGTTTTATAAAGCATGAGCTTACTTTCATGTTTTCGTTCATTATCCCGAACTCCTTGCCGATTGCCCTTAGTCCCCCAAATTGTATCGATTCAATGATTTAGGTTATCTGGCAAACGTAAAGATCCTTCTAATTTATTCATAGCGAGAATGCTGGAGAAGCTTCCGAATAGTATTTACAGACAGTTTCTATGATCTCTTTGTACGCTCCAACAGCTTGAAATGTAGTTCTTAATTGTGTCTGTGTTAACAAAATACTCACCTGACACTCCCGCATTTTAAATTCCTACACTAGTCGTCTCTCTGCTCTGTCCACCCATGGCAACTAATATATAAGTGGCAACATCTACAATAGTGAGATTCTAGTAAAGTTTGGGCGAACCAGGGTGTGAAAAGGGTGCGAGATATGCGAGATTAGACGAGGATGCAGTTTTGGTTGGGGGTTGCTCATCTTCAAAAAGATATATCTATTTATGTATGTATAGAAGAGGGTGTTACGTTATTGGTATATATAGATGGCAGAAAATATATATTCGCCTTCGCAACATGCTGTTAGCAATTGTCAACAGAGGTGTTCTGATGGGGCACAACTCCGGTGCTATAGCTATAGCCTGATAGAGGTGCAGAACAGAGACAACTTGGAAGCATACTACTAGATAGGTATACAAATACACAATCAAACGCTTCTACTTTGAGTCGCTGCGCTAGGTGCACCCTGATTGGGCCGTGATGTTCAAATAAGCCCTTTAGCACCGGACACTAAAACCACCACGGTACCAAATCTATGCAGCTGTCAACAAACCCGGCCACCAAGCCTCCGTGTTGATTCTAGGCCCTCAAGCTCTTGCGCCATAGACCTCATACTGAGTGAACATCGATTTGAAGACTTTGATAAGAGGACTCTCTTCTGATCTCGAGATATCAGTATATAAATCTGGGATCAGTGGTCGGACCTGTTCTTTGCAGTAATAACAAATTGCAATCGACTAACCTGCCTCACAGTTTTACATTCTTTCCCGCTGTACGGTTACTCTCCGCGCTTTCTTGGCATCCATCAACGCGAAGATTTGCTGAGTGAGAAGAAAATCGCGACGATACAAGATCAAACCTTGTATCCGGCGCGCAGGCACAGCCTACCTTTACTTTGCATAATACAAACTCAACCACCTGGTGTCAACAACATACAACCGAAAACTGTGGAGCATAAACAAAATGACATCAACTCGTCCGGCCCCACACCCACCTGCACCGTCCCCAGCTGCCAAAAGCCCGGCACCCTCCGCTGCACCGGCTGCCACCCAAGCCACCAGGCCCGCTACTGCTCGTCGACCTGCCAAGTAACCGACTGGAAGCGCGGCCACCGCCGCACCTGCGCCGGCGCCCAGAAGCACAACTGCTTACTGCTCCGCGCCCTTCCTATCACTGTGACTGCTGACACGAACCAACCCCCCAAACACGCACACTACCTCGAACCCTCCCCCCTCCACGCCTACGGCGACTGGGGCAAGGAGCAACAGGAAATCAAGGCACGACTGAACTGGTCTCGATCTACGAGCCGGGCACGTTCTTCTCACACCACGACACGAACGACTGGCACTATCACGTGTATGCGCCGGGGGTGGCGACCTCCGAATGGGCGTTCGAGCCGGATGACACCAGCCCCGTCAACCCCATCGCGACGCGGTGCCTGCGTCGAACGGTGTACGGGGACGTGGCGGCGGTGCGGTCGTCGACGATCGAGGTGAACGACTACGAGGACGCGTTCTCGGCCACTGAGTTCGTGCGCACCCTGGCGTATCATCGCACGGCTCCGGCGGTCAATGATATAGGGACCAGCAGAGGAGGGAGAGGGAGCGCATCGCGGTCAAATTCGGGCTCCATGAGAGCTCCTTGCCGCCGGGGTTTCCTTGATTACTTGCCTTTCTTCGGGGAGGTGTTTAGGAACAAGTATACTGTATACTACAAAGTACCTAGTTTGTTGTTGTTTGGTTAGTTGTGGTTGTTCGGAGTGGGTATGGGGCAGTGTGCCAGTGCCCAAACCGAAACCTCAGATGCGAACCGGCTGCAGTACAACTTTTTGCTTAGTTAGGTGCAGTACGATGAACTTCTATCACGTTCTTCACAGGTTGCAGGTGCAGGTGCAGGTGCAGGTGCAGGTACAGGTACAGCTGAGCAGGGACCAGGGGGGGGGCCGCTTCAAGCGCGGTTAACCACATCTTTTTCTTCGGTCCCCCTTGTACAATCTGCTACCGCGCTGCAAGGGATCCCATAGGATCGCTGGGCCCTGAACAATAGCATCCAGTAATATACATGGCAATGGAAAGCAATGACCAGCTACCGTACCTACTTCACCAACCCATATTAGTACCTACCCCAATTGCAGTAGCTAGTCAAATGCACCTGGCAAGTTGTGCCCCCAGTTCCTGCATCTAGCTGTCAATCTGGGTAAATGCACCCACGAGATTGTTCATGTAAGTTTGTCAGTTGCATCTGCTGAACCACGGGGAGAGAGTCTCACCGACAGGTCCGGTGTGAAAAGACTCTGAAGACCTGCAGCTCCAAGGTCAAGAAAAAAGCAACGCAATACAATGGCAATTGCTGCTTTTGTTCTTTCACTCGCTGAAGAATATTTTCTTCTTCTTCCTTTTTGAACCCTTTAGATAAATATCGTCAGACTAAAGTTAGTAGCTGCGCCTGCGAAGAATTAACCGAGCGATCTACGCGGAGTATGGGGGGTAGAGTTCTTCCGAAGGGGAGAGTTTCATGCACTACTCCAGAGGTACTGTACTGTATTCGTGCAGATGACGGGCATGCGGTGTGAAAGAGGTGGATTACACGATTCGTTATTAGTGCGATCTATGATTTCAGCCCTCCAAGTATGTATGAGTACAAGCTGAAGCGGTGTTTTTGAGGAATACTGTACATGACACCACTGCAAGAGAGTGCCGAGCGCCGAGTGCAATGGCTTTTTTGGGCTACTGCTACTGAGGATCATCCATCCGTCGGGTTGATTCCCCCCCGTGTCGATCATGAGCGAAACTCACGGATCGGGGTTGAGTCGTACTGTTTGCTTGTACGTCGGTCGTTGGGCAAGCAAATACTCCTAAAATTTCTACAGTATTTGGGGTGTTATTGAGTGGTTGTGAGTTTACTTGCGACAAGTAGACTTTATCCCAGGTTGACATTATCCATCGCTGTTTCAGGGTTGAACGGCGAGAAACTCAGGAAGGCTTCCCGTTGGTGATGACGATGATCATCCTCACCATAGCGACCCATAATTCTGCTCGGCTCGGGATCTAGGGGAATTGGGAAGGCAGAACGGACTATCAATATGTCATTGTTCGATGCAGTAGCTACTATGTGAAAGTGAGTCACGCTGCGTGAAGACTGTCTGTCTAACTGTCACTGACAGACTGAGTTTCGCGACGTTGCTTTTTTTTTTTTTTTCCTCGTCTCGACTTCCAATCGGGGATCATATTGCTGCGGACGTCCCCTCGTGGGACTAAAATAATCTACTAATGTACCTACTGCTTAGTTGATGCAGATGGGAACCATCTCGATCGGGTCAATGCAAGGATTGAAGGGGGGCCGGCGAGGGGGGAGGGGGAAACTCCCCGATCGCAGAAGGGAGGTTTGGATGATTTTTGAGTCATGGTTGTAGCTGAAGATGGGCTGCAGGAGGTTGAGAGGGGGAGGGGGGTTATCTTGTCTAGATCTATGCATCTCGTGGTGTTTTGTGGGTTTGTCGCTCCACCTGTCTGGATGGCATAGCCCTCCAACTGGAGTCTTGGAAGGCAAGTCAGTACTTTTGTCGCCCAATTGACCTACGGAGCAAGTGAGACGAGCTGTAGTCTCGTGCACGGAGCGATGGTTCAACTCTCCGGAATGGAGTAGAGTAAGCATCCACCTCATTACACATCTCCCATCGCTTCGGACTCATACGGTCGGGACCGAGTATGTTTCAGGTCAGAAACAATAGCAGGCAAATCGGGTCGCGCCGTCCTCACGGTGGAGGATGACTGAGTGGAGGGGGGAGAGACACACGCAGAGATAGAGGGAGAGATCAGAACTGAAAACACAACACACCAAGTCTTGCCGACAGCTCCCTTTGCTTTTAGGGTTTCTGATCTGTGCCACTCGACCTACGCAATATCCATGAGCCTCATCAGTGCATGACGCAACTCGCGATGCTATTTTGAAACTCTATGATCCGTGTCTATACTGACGACGATTGAGATTGTCATCGCCCTATGCTGTGTCTGTGTGTGTGTGTGTGTGTCTTGCTGTGTGGGGAGTCACTGTCTCTCCCATCGTGAATAGATTGCGTGTCCTGACTGAGAGACCCACCGGTAGTCCCAGATAGTCACCGTCGGGACCCTCAATTGAAGGAGCCTGACACCTGGATTGACAGGCACGCCCACGCTAGAGGACAGCCTAGCCTACCGGATTCCTTTATCCTGAGTACTCTGTCCGTGGGATGATCTGGAGGCTGAGTGACTGGCAGAGAAGGTAATCGGGATTTCTCCAGATGCGAATTGTTGCCTGCCTCCAACGGAGAAAAGTTGCCCCTTCGAAGGGAAAAATCACAATGCAGAGCGTGACCAGAAAAGTCCCGCGTCCAATGAGAACTTGTGTGTCTACTTTTTGTGCGGCAAATAAATCAGTACGGCGAGACAAGAAAAATTTCCCCTTCCCTGCGTGCGTTCTCCTTCCTACTCCCCACAGCCACCGACCGGGCACGCAGGAACGCCTGGGCTTAATTTCCAGACCGTCCGCCTGTTTTGGGCCGAACAAAATCGGCCCCTCTAGTCCTTTTTTTAGGGCGGGTTTTAGTCTACCGTAGTCTCATCAATCACCATCGGTTCTCCGAGTGAGGGGCGGGATGAGTTGAGACCTGAGAGTCTCGGTCGAGGGAGAAAAAGAAAAAGAGGAGAGAGGGGTTTGTTTTGATTTGGTTTAGTTCTCTATCGTCGTCTTTTCCGATCGGTCCAGTTCCGCTGTGAAGGAGCCCGGACGCACTTACGCGGAAGCCTGGCTTACTTGCTGCTTGCTCATGCTGCTGCTCTCACTGCACACTACTGCACATACCTTATGCAGCTTGTGGCCAGTGTGCATCCGAGGAAAAAGGACCTGCGGACGGGAAGGGAGAGTGGTTTATCTTTTGCCTATTTTTGTTCTTGCTTGTTTTTTTTTTTTTTTCTTGTCGCATTCGCACCGTGGGTTGATTGATCCTCGGGTAAGGATTTGATTGGGATGTGCACTCGGTAGACAGAGGGTGTTAACAAGAGTTAACAAGAGACACACAGGTCAGTCCAAGTCAGACAAAGAGATAGACAAGCAGTCCAGGCACGCGGGTGGTTCGGAGTAAGGACCGGAGAGTGGAAGTCCTATGCACTAAGTACTCCTCCGTTCTCATCTGTACTTTGCTGTGGAATAATATTATCATAATAAAAAGAATAAAACCAGATATACCAAACAAGAATAGATTAGAGCAGGAGAGACATCCATGGAACCGGGATTGATTGATTGATCGATCCTGGAGGAAGAGGAGAGGAGGAGCCCGAGGGAATTGCACTTGCCCGGGAATGGGATGATAGCCCGTGACTGGCCCGACCCTTTTTTGCCCACTGGATCCACCACCGGCCCAGGCTGGAGCTACGCGTACCGGTAGAACGGCTTTCAACCTCCTCCTCTTTTTCCTTCTCACAGTCTCGCTCGCTCTGCCCAGACAACGTCTTCTCCACTTCATACACTAGTTCACTCTCTCTGCTCTCATCCACCTCCTCGTTCTTTAAGTCTCCGACCCCTTCTCAGTCGGCTGTCCTCCTTTGTTCCAGACATCTAGACAGACATCATACCTTCCTTTCCCTATCGATCTCTTCAGCTCAATCCTTAACACATCACACTCCACGCCCTCGCCTCCCTATCCTCCTATTCCTCCCCTTATTCGCCTCCGTTCGTTGCTCACACTCACTCTCTACTGATTTCCTTTTCTGTTGAATACAACAAGCTATCTGTCAATTCCTTAACTTCTCTTGTGATCCATCCAAAGTTTAAACTCCAAAAGTACCTACCTACTTAGACGTTGAATATCGCTCCTAGCTACATTGGAGCTTCCACCACACAATTTTGTCTATTTTGTTTGCTTGAAAGCAACCTTATCCGGGAACTCGATACCCGCTTGTGCAACCAACTGCCATCTCTATCAAACTCTTCCCCGTTGCCCGATTCTGGATCTTCGCTCATCCTCGGTCTGGCCTTCGACTTCCAAATTACCCAATAGCCAAGAACTTCACAAAGAAAGCTAAACGGGTTTCCTCAGCTCCCCGCGCAACAACCTGATCAGCCCGGTGGATTCCCATAGGAACGGTTACCCCCTCACACATCAGAAACCGAAGGGATATCTGCTCCTGTCTCCCTGGCCAAGGAGACTTTGCATCACTGATCGCTCGATCTCCAAGCGCATATCCGTGCTATGGAAAGACACGTTACACGCATTTGATGCCAGCCGTCATTGCGAGCAACTCTTGCCCTTTTTGATCACCTGCACGAACCATCACGTCGCACACAACACCCCCCTGACCATCTTCTTCTTCCCGACTGGTCCCAGCCTTTTGGTTTGACGACTATTCTTATATCCGGCATCTCGTAGTTCCTCGGCAATAGGAAACATTCAATTTCTTTTCCATATTCGATTCTCGTCCACCTTGTCTCATCTTCCCCAACAATGGCACGCACCGAAGAACCGCTTGATGCCCCCGATGGCTCCGCTTTGACATGGATTTTCGACCATTGTCTTCGGTACCCTGGTACCTACGAGATCCCGTTGCGTTCCATGTATACGTTGAATTGCAACCCCACGAGACAACAGCCATCCTCAACTACCCGCCAGCCTGAAACAGCCTTCCATCGCCCGACCAATTCGTCTTCTTCTCAAGACTCGATGGATCTCGCTGCTGATTTCCGGGCTCTATTAAGCCACCAGATCTCCCGTCTGCCCTCGCAGCCATGCAACCTGCCTCCCAGCTTCGTCACCTCCTTCGTGCGTCGCTGCTTCACCCCTCAATTGGTAGAGGTCGATTTTCCTCAGGCATTGACCGCCTTGGACTACCTCAAAGATTTCGAAATCCGCCGTCGGAAGGAGGTTGCTGCCGCTTTGCAGCGACTGGGTGTCGACCCGGAGGATGTGAAGGAGTCGTCCGAGATCGCTAAGAAGTATCCTGGTGCGATCACCTGGCTCGAGTCCCTCAACTCTCGGGGTCGCCGCATCGAGGCTCTGTACACCCAAGTCTATGTTGGCTTGCGTCGCTGGGTATGCGCCTCGTCTTTTCACGCCGCGGTTATCTTGCTAACAAGGTCGTTTTAGACTCTGATCAACGAGATGTTGATGGAACCTTTTAACAAGGCCAATTGCATCGCAATGCTCAACACATTGTTCCCCCCGGTTACCGACGCAACTGTACCTCCGACCTCGTACCTGACGCCTGACCATCTGAGGTCCCAGCGCGACGGTTTCTTCAGGTACATTGCGGCTGTGGGGCGCAATGGCCCGGAAGTGCTCAACGAGATTATCGTTCAGGGCGCACTGCCTGGCGATGATAATGGTTGGCCTGTAGTCCGGGATGTTCTCGATCGCTACCTTCGTGCGGCCTTGGACATCTACGATGACTGTAGCACGGTCACTGGGCTCGCCAGTTTTGAAGAGAGTACTGAATCTCAGACCCGCGGTCACAAAGGCCGCAAGGTTGACTCCGGAATCAGTTTCGGCTCCGCGGAGAAGATTCTCGCCGCCGGGGGCGAGAGCAGCAAGGAAGTCGAGGATATCCTCGAGAAACCTCTGCCTCCACCTCCCACGACCAGGCACAAATCGGGCTCTGCGTTGGAGCGGCTGACTCGCGAGCTTCGCAAGTTGGGCGAATCCGGCAAGGTCAAGAGTCTCAAGAAGATGAGATCCACGAGTGCTCTAGCGGTGCGGTCCGAAAACGTGCCCAGTCGGTCGGAAGAAGAGTCACTCTTTGAGATTGATGAAATGAAACGCCGGCGGCTCCTGTGGGAAGCCTCCAACCGCAAGAAAGCCCATTCTAAGCAGTCGAGCACGGACTCGCGTTAAGGCTCTTGTTGCAGTACTACTACTTGTTCACACACTTATTTTCTCTTTCATTTTAGCGTTTTACCACATGCCTTTTTTCCCCCCACAAAAGCAGGAAAGACAAAAGCCTGGATGCTTTCAATACTGGTACATGTTTGGAGTCTGTCAGGTTAGTCATGTTGGCGTTTTCAAGACGGTCAAAGGTTTCAGGTGCATAAGGTTTACTTAAGGTTTTTTCTTCGTGTTTTGAGTATCTCATGTGATTCGAGCTAGCATAGATTGACTTCTGGCGTTCCGGAAACGATCTCGAGAGAAGTCTGTCTCTCATTGGTATTGGGAAAGCGCAGAGATTTCTGCAGGAAAAAGCAAAGAATGCAGAAAAAAGAAGTTCAAGTCATCGAGTTGACTGGAGCAAATGATAATGACCATGTATTTAATGAAGGAATGAGATCACAAGAATTACAACCCCTGTTCTGTGTTATGAGACGGTGTCTGCGGACGTAGAGTAGGTATTAGGACTGTGCCCTCTGGCAGCAATCCTTCAATGTTAGGCCTGGGTTTGGCGACTGAACTTGGCTTACGCAATCCCCGCAGTACATCCTTCATACTTCCATCGGCCTCACTTCATTACCTTAGGTGCCCACAAACGTCGAGCGTCCCCTATGTCTTTCCCAGGGGGAGGTGCTTCCCATACAAAGTGGGCCTCGCGATGCTGCATTGCCTGACAGCTCTGATAAAATGAATTGAAGAGGCTAGTGCTTGTCTGTGGTCATACTCTGGAGCCAAGGGACTGCATTATCAAGACTATGCTTGACTGGACTGTACACTTGCACTCCCTTGTCCTTAACATCCATGATCATCTATGGCAGCCCTGAGTCCATACAACAGCCAGGCCACCAATGAAAGCCGAGGATAGAAGACACGGAAGTCCTGCGCGTTTGGCCGCTGCGCCCGCCGTAGCAGCTGTCTTCCTCCCGCGAAGTGGCCAGAATCCTTTGACCAGATGTAAGCAGTGCGCCGTTCATGCCTTTGTTAACTTCTGCCTATCTCAATTTTGAATCGTGATTCTTATAAGCTTTGACTGACTGTCCGAAGGCTGGTTCCTTCATTTGAAGACTTTCGTCGCAACTGCTCTTCGAGATCGGGCTTACATCCCCACCCGTGATGCCCGCTTGCTAGCTAGTTAAACCGGGAGTAGCTCGCTAGCTCACACTTGTTTACACTTTTCAAGACACCTATTCTCTGCCGCAGAGATGGTGTCGGGGTCAACGTTCGTCGCCTCCTGGCGAGTCAGTTCCGTCATCGTTGCCTCCGCATTATCTTGCTTGGTGCATGCGACGACGCCCTCCGTGAATGTCGCTCTGCAAGCTTCTTTCGATTCCGCACCTTATCTTATAGAGCTACTGTGAGAGGAACCCGTCCAATTTGATCATTAAAAGCCAACTTGCTCGACCACTCTGCTCACTTACTAACCTAGTGAAACGGCTGCTGAGGAGAACTCGACATCATATTTCCCGATACTAGACCGAATCGCCGAGGGAGCTTTCGATGATGCCGTGTCAGACAAGGAGCTGTATGATCGGTTCCTGGAGGTGATTCACACCGACGGACACCTGAGGACCCCCGAAGCACTCTCCTCTTTCAAGTTGTCGTTGTCCATCCGATCTGCCAGTCCTCGTATCGCCGCACACTATCAGTACTATAATGCCTCGGTCCAGCATTCGTTGGCGGCCGCCCAAGACGCAGTCTGTCCGGTCTGGGTCCATGCGGAGGGAAAGCAGTATTGCTCCTCTACTCTGGAACGTGCCCAACAGGGTGTGATGGGTCCAAGGTTTGCCTCATGTCGCTGAATTGAATGGTGAGGGCTTCGCAGCTAATTGCTTTGATCTCTAGTGACCCTCCAGAGCTCCCCTTCGATCGCGTTCTCGGAGACGCTTCCCTCCCACCGGCGATCCTCTATGCGGACCTAGCGTCTCCGATGTTCAAGGACTTCCACCAGTCCCTGACCGCTCTTGCCAGAGATGGCCAGTTCTCGTATCGAGTACGTTACAGGCCTCCGCAGCACTGGAGTTCGCGTCCGCTGTTCGTGTCGGGATATGGTGTCGAGCTTGCATTGAAACGGACGGATTACATCGTCATTGACGACAGGGCTGCTGAGGAAAGGAGCTCCGATGCTCCAAACTCGAAGAAGTCAGTCAATGGGGAGGGAGATGATCTGGATGACCTGAGACCACTGTCCTCGTCGGAAGTATCACGGCTCGGTCCGGGCACTGTTGGCTACGTCCTGGACAGCCAGAGCCCGCTGGATGCACTGGTCGAGCTGTCGCAGGACTTCCCCAAGTACTCGGCCAAGATTGCCGCCCACAATGTCACCAAAGAACTCTTGCAGGACATCCAGTCAAGTCGGCTCCGGATGCTCCCTCCGGGATTCAATGCCCTGTGGATCAATGGTGTTCAGATCGATGCTCGACAGGTCGATGCTTTCACTCTCTTAGACCACCTGCGTCGTGAGAGGAAGCTGATCGAGAAGTTCCGCAACCTTGGACTCTCCGCCAGTGAGTCCGTGGATCTGCTGTCCCACAAGTTCCTGGCGGCGGCAATGGCTCAGGATGGCCCTCAGCGGTACAACTACCGGGACGAGATCGAGGGTGGCGGTGTGATCATGTGGCTGAACGACCTTGAAAAGGATGCACGCTACGAATCGTGGCCAAGCGACCTCGGTGGAGTGGGTAATCCTTTCCCAGTGATGAGAACACGATGCTAATTATTGTCAGTACATGCAACGTGTATTCCCTGGCCAGTTGCCGTCTGTCCGTCGTGAAGCTAACAATGTGGTTATTCCGGTTGATTTGGCCAAGCTCGATGATGCCACCCTCATTGTTAAATCCATCCAGGTCTTTGTGAAGAACAAGATTCCCGTGAGGTTTGGCTTGGTTCCGACAACTTCCTCCCCGGGCTCAATTGCGCAGCTCAAGGTTGCTCATTACCTGCAAGATACCTTTGGTCTGGCTAGCTTGATGAGCTATTTGGAAACGGTTAGTACCAGTACCCGAGACATTTCTCCTTTCCAGCCATTGATGTTTCATGTAGTCAGTGTCCAAGAACAAGTTAAGCTCCCCGGACAAGACAGCCTTTCAGGCTGCGACCGCAGACCGAACTGCTCGCCCCGATAAGCAATCCTTGTCTCTGGATGAAGTGCTCAAGAACGATGCCGTGGACACTATAGTGAGCCGGACTAGTGAATATTTGAAACGTCTGGGTGTCACAGGAGAAGCGTCACACTCGTTTGTGAACGGCGTCCCGATTCTTCGTAATGAGAATTGGGCTCAGGAATTGAGCTCCAGGGTCAGCCGGGATATCCAGGCAATTCAACAGTCGATCGCCGATGGGGAACTTGCCGAAGACACATGGTTACCCGGCCTTTTCCTCTCCGATGCCTTCGACAGACGTAACCCTGTCATTGTCCCTGAAGATCCAAAGGACGTTCGAATTGTGGACATGGCGCAAGTCGCAGAGACGTATGGCGAGCTTCTCGGATCTCTCCCTCGCATTCCATCAACCCAGGACAATATCCTTGCTAGCAGTCATGTGATCGTAGCGGGCGACTTCAGCGATGAATCCGGCTTTAACTTACTGAGCGCAGCGCTTGGGAGCCTCAAGAATCACGATGAGGCTGAAGTACTGCTCCTGCACAACGTTGGTGCAAACTCGTCTATCTGGACTGGATCCTATACTATCCATCGTTATCTGAAGAAGTGGAAAAAGAAAGATGATGTTGATGCCGCAAAGCTTCTGGAAGAGCTCACAGGAACCGACGTATGGTCTCGTGAAGACAAGCAGGAGGCTGAAAGCTTCTGGTGTGCCCACCAGCCTCTGGTCAAAGGTCTTGGGCTTTCCTCGGGTGCAAATGCAATCATCATCAATGGAAGAGTCATCGAAGTGCCAGTCGACGTGGCGCTGACTTCAGACGATGTGGACCAGCTACTGGCTTATGAGAGGCAGAAGCGTATCGCGCCTGTTGCCAAGGCTGCCGAAGCATTAGGTTTCGGCGCGAAGCTCAGTGGCCCGCTTCCCCTTGCTAAACTGACTTCTCTGGCAGCCCTTTCTACCGTCTCCGACGTGCCGGAGGGTATTTACGAATCGACACCCGACATCCGCGTCAACCTTTTTGAGCGGTGGGACAACGCTCGCTCCACAATCACGGTCTCCAACTCGGAGGATCCTGTGATTACCATTGTAGCCTCTATCGACCCGACATCTGAAGTCGCTCAGAAGTGGTTGCCCATTCTGAAGGTGCTCTCGGACTTGGCCAACGTCAGAATGCGGCTCGTTCTGAATCCCCGGGATGAACTGCAGGAGCTGCCCACTAAGCGGTTCTATCGCTACGTGCTGGACTCGGAGCCCTCGTTCAGCCAGGACGGATCTGTCGCTCGTCCTACCGCCTCTTTCTCCGGTGTTCCTGTTGAAGCACTTCTAACATTGGGCATGGACGTTCCATCTTCGTGGCTTGTGGCTCCGAAGGAATCTGTGTACGACCTTGACAACATCAAGCTGAGCTCGGTCAAAGAGGGTACAAACGTGGATGCAATATACGGTCTGGAGCACATCCTCATTGAAGGCCACTCACGGGATCTTACCATGAAGACGGCTCCAAGGGGAGTGCAGCTCATTCTGGGGACAGAGGAAAGCCCTCAAATCTCCGACACCATCATCATGGCCAATCTGGGTTACTTCCAATTCAAGGCTCAGCCGGGCCTTTGGACCATCAACCTGAAACCCGGCCGCAGCGAGCGGATCTTCCAACTTGACAGCCTCGGGAACGAGGGGTACAGCCTCCATCCCAACGACGACACTAGCAACGAGGTTGCCCTTCTCTCCTTCCAGGGCAAGACACTCTTCCCCCGCCTGTCCCGCAAGAAGGGTCAGGAGATGGAAGACGTGCTAGAGACGGGCTTCAAACCCGGAAGCGCGATGGACTATGTCTCCAAGGGCCTCAACTTCGCTTCCGGCGTTCTCTCCAGCGTGGGGATCAACGGCTCCCCCAAGGACGTGGCGGGCGGCAAACAAGCGGACATCAACATCTTCTCCGTCGCGAGCGGCCACCTCTACGAGCGCATGCTCAACATTATGATGGTGTCGGTCATGCGCAACACGGAGCACACGGTCAAGTTTTGGTTCATCGAGCAATTCCTCTCCCCGTCCTTCAAGTCCTTCCTGCCGCACCTGGCGGCCGAGTACGGTTTCTCCTACGAGATGGTGACCTACAAGTGGCCGCACTGGCTGCGCGCGCAGACGGAGAAGCAGCGCGAGATCTGGGGCTACAAGATTTTGTTTCTGGACGTCCTCTTCCCGCTAAGTCTGGACAAGGTGATCTTCGTGGACGCGGACCAGGTCGTGCGCACCGACATGTACGACCTTGTCTCGCTGGACCTGGAGGGCGCCCCCTACGGCTTCACGCCCATGTGCGACTCGCGCCACGAGATGGAGGGCTTCCGCTTCTGGAAGCAAGGGTACTGGAAGAACTTCCTCCGGGGCCAGCCCTACCACATCTCGGCCCTCTACGTCGTCGACCTCAGCCGCTTCCGCGCCCTGGCCGCCGGCGACCGCCTCCGCGGCCAGTACCAGATGCTCTCCGCCGACCCCGGCAGTCTCAGTAACCTCGACCAGGACCTGCCCAACCACATGCAGCACCACATCCCGATCAAGAGCCTGCCGCAGGAGTGGCTGTGGTGCGAGACCTGGTGCTCCGACGAGTCCCTGGCCCAGGCCCGCACCATCGACCTCTGCAACAACCCGTTGACCAAGGAGCCCAAGCTCGAGCGGGCCCGCCGGCAGGTCCCGGAGTGGACCGTGTACGATGAGGAGATCGCCGCCTTGGAGAAGAGAGTCCGGGTGGAGGTGCAGGATGTCCGTGTAGAAGAAGTGGAGGCGGAGGCGGAGGCTGGTGCTGGATGGGATAAAGATGAGCTTTAGGTGTGGGGCAGGTGTTGTATTGTATAAGCGTATAGCATTGCCATCGGTATCTTTTCTTCCTTTTCTATAAGACGATTTACTCCATGTATCTCCATTATCCTGATCCTTCCTTAGTTTGGGCTACCATTCTCGGGGTTACCATAGGCATGTGGTTTGTTCTAAATAAGGTCGACCCCTTGAAACTGAGAAAAGGCATACAAGACATGCGGGCATGCAAATGTACATGTCCCCAACTAGCTAGCGAACAAGCTAGATCACCATTTACCCAGCACAATCTACCATCCCCCAACCACATAAAAGTAATCCTACAAAAACACACCGAGTAACATGTGCCATACTCCATCCATCTCATATTCATAACCTATGGCAACGAACAAATTAATTCAACTCAACGGACGTCATGTTCATCATCCCCTTTCTCCCCCTCCCCCTCCCGGGGCACTGCACTTCCTCCCCTCCCATCATTCCCCGAAATACATTCTGTAACTCGCAGACAAAAATACAATAACCCCAGCACGCCTGACTCGGAACCACACACCCCACACCCCGCCCATCTACCCAAATCCAGCCGAACCGAACTTTTTACTCGGAATCCGACTCCGAATCCGAATCTGAGGATTCATCGTCCTCGTCGGATGAATCGGCTTTGGCTCGCGACTTCGCGTCGGACATTATGTCGGTCAGCGTGCTGGGCTTGGGGGCCTTGAGTTTGCTGTTCGCCTTGCTGAGGCTGGCGTCGCGGAGTTCCTTGAGGCTGAGGCGTTGGCCCGGGGGCCGGGTGGGTTGGGAGCTGGAGCCGAAAGAGGGGCGCGTGGGGATGGAGGGCCTTTGGAGTTGTTGCTTGGGGGCGGGGGAGTCTCCTTCTTCTTCTTCGGAGGAGGAGGCGGAGGAGGCGTCTTCGTCGTCGGAGGCAGGTTCGGATTCGGTTTCGGGTTCGAGTTCGCGGGCAGTGGGTTTGGAGGGCGTGGGGCGCGTGATGGTGGGTTTCGTGGGGGGTTGCGTGGTGGTGGTGCGCTTGGCGGTGGTGATGGGTGAGGTGTTGGTGTTGGTGGAGGGTTTGCGGGCGTTAGGGCTGGTGGTGGTGGTGGTGGCTGCGGCTGTGGTAGTGCCAGTGGTTCGGGAGGGGGGTTTGGCGGGCCAGTCGCCGCCGGTGCTGCTTGTTTCGCTGTCGCTGCGTCCGGATTCCTCTTCCTCCTCTTCATCATCATCATCGTCTTCTTCTTGGGATGAAGAGGCGGAGGCAGTTGGGGACGGTGACTTTCTGGATTTGGTGACCACCACTACGGGGCTTCGGGGCTTGATGGTGCTTCCTTGACCCTTTTGTTGGGATGACTTGGTGACGGTGCTAGTGGAGGTGGCTTTGAGGTTGGCGGATTTCTGCCCACTGGGTGGAGTGGAATAGTTCTCCTCTTCGCTCTCGTCGCTGTCGCTGTCGCTTTCGCTTTCGCTCTCGACCTCTTCGTCGCGAAGGCTGGGCTTGACATCCCGTTTGGAGTTAGGGCTAGGCGACTCGTCCTCCTCTTCCTCCTCCTCTTCCTCCTCCCCCTCTGACTCCGGAGAGGATTTTTGTCTGCGCTCCGGCTTGATGGCCCAATCGACTAAATCATCGTCAATTTCATTGGCAACGGAATCCTCCCGCGAGTCGGTGTTCGTGATATGACGGATGGCCCCAGTGGGCTGTTTCGATGGTGCTGACACGTATGCATCATCCAGTTCCGTTGAGTGCCGTTCATACTTGATGGGAACTTCTGGCTCGGCTGAGTCGTCTTCCTCTTCCTCTTGCTCCTCCTCCTCCTCCTCTTCTTCTTCTTCTTCTTCTTCGTCCTCTTCTTCTTCCTCTTGTTCCTCGTTTTCCTCTTCCTCCTCTTCCTCCACCTCCTCTTCCTCCACCTCCGACTCCTCCACCTCCGGTTCTTGCGCGCCCTTCTTCTCCGCCGCTTTTGGCGCTTCTTGGCTCACGCCTTCATCCTCCGACTCCACGATCTCCTGGCTCTTGAACTTCGTATTAGGCTTTTGCTGAGGGGTACTCACGGCCCGTGACTTGCTCCGACGGCTCCCACCTGACTTTTTCGCAACCGCCGAGTCATGAAACGCATCGGGGTTTTCCTTACTGCGCTGGTTCAAGACCTTGGCCCTGAGCTTCCGCCACTTGTCGGCGCACTGCTGGCGAGAACGGCAGTTGTTCATCTTGTTGCTGACCACGCCCCAAGCGATGTAGACCTCGTCCAACTCGTAAACATCCTGGCCAACATCGACCCCAGTAGCTTTCATGGTATGCCAGACGTCTTGCAGAGCGTCCATCATGGCTTGCACCTCCTGCTCCGACCAGGGGCCGCGGTTCATCGTGCGGCGATGCTGCAGCCGGTTCTTCCACCGCTGGACGACATCGTCGTCGCTGCGGCCAATCATCTTCGCAATGTACGCCCACTTGGCGCCGTGTAGTCTGTGCAGCGAGATGAGCTCCTCGTCCTGCTCGTGGGTCCAGTGGTGAGGCTTCTGGGAGGAGCACTGGAAATGGCGGCGCATGAATCGGTAGACGGATCTCTTGTCCCGGTCCGGGATGGTCTCGTAGATCTTCTGCCAGAACTCCGGCTTCGTGATGATGTCGGTGTGCACCGGCCACTGTTCCTGCCGATCCCGGACGGAGTGCTGCACCATCAGGTCGAACGTGTCCGCCTCCACGCCGTTCATGGTGCAGAAGTTCAGCTTGAAGGCCTCCAGCTTCTGGATCTCGTCGGGCGAAAAGAAGCCCGTCTTCCCGCCGGTGGTCTTGTTGCTGTTGCTCTCGTTCTCCTTCTCTTGAGGGCGGCGACCCTTCTTCGGTGGGACCGAGGGAGCGCTGGGCGCCGATGATGATGCGCCGGTCACATCTCCTTGAGTCCCGGTCCCCGGGGTCGAGGTTTCGGTCTGGTCGGCATCTTGCATCTCGTGGTCCTGGTCCTGGGGTTTCTGAATGGCGACGGGCTCGCTTCGCAGGGCTGGATCGATCGGGATTTCGGGTTCGGGGGTCTCTGGCACCGGAGGCGCATCATGGTAATTGTGGTGGTGGCCATTGGTCGCGATTGTCGTGGAGGTCCGCTTGGTGGAAACCGGGCTGCTGATGTACGGAAGCTCTTGCGATTCCTCGCGTTCTTGTTGTTGTTGTTGCGGCCGCTTCTTCTTTTTTTTTGAGGACTCACTGCCCCCAACCTTCTTGCGCTTCGCAGGGTGGGTAGCTGAGTTTGTGAGAGGTGTTTGAGGGGTCTGAGGTACGAAGCCGGCTCTCCCTCCGGCATTGGGGGTGGTGGCATCCAAGGCCGTGCTGTTTCTCTTGCGCTTGGCAGACGCCATCATCTCATCGGCGTCCGATTGCAGAAGTCGCTTGGCTTGATTGAGCACGGACAGGGGGGGATGGAGGAGAACTCGAGGAGATCTCAATGATGTCTATTGTTCATTGGGGGGAAATCATGTCAGTCAGGGTTCGGTTTGGGGGGATTTAAGCTGCTTTTTTTCTTTCTTTTGTATTGAGCTACTGAGTCACAGTGACGGAGCGCGTGAGGTGTTATGCACATGTTGAATCGATCCAGTCCATTCAAGAGCAGGTACATACCCTCGTTGAGCCCGTTTGTAGTCTCAGGCGCAGGCTGGGAGGATGAGAGACCCATCGTTTGTTTTTATAGATAGAAGGGAGAGACACTGACTGGAGGGGAAGCGAAGGGAAGGGCAGGGGGAAGGAAAAGACTAACCAGTTGGTAATTTGTGACGAAAGCTTTAACAAAAGCTTCGAAAGGGATCTCGAAGGGCGGTGAATGAGAACAGACAATTAACAACAGGGTTGAAGGAGGGCAAGCGGAACAGGCAAAGTTAGAGTAAGAGAGGTGTCAATAATTGTCTCCCAAGAATGGAAGGGAAAATTCCCGGGGGTGAAGCTTTTTTTTTATTTTTTCCCTCTCTTCTCCAGCAGCGAGCGAGGTGGGCGGGCGCCAACTTTTTACGCGGTCCGCTTCTTCACCACCATTTTTTTCGCGCTTTACTTCTGCTCTGGCGGTCAACCCGTGCCTTCAATCCATTCTTGCACCGCAGTGGGAACCACCCCCACCATTGGATAACATTGTTTACTGTAGCGTACCACAGGCGGTAGAAAATGATAATTAAAGAGTAATAGGAAAATAGGATGTCATCAAATCTATCGTAACACACGCACATATGACCCGGAGATCTTTAATTTACACTTCAATCTTCAGCTCGCGCAACACCCTCGACACCAACTTCTTCTGGTCTGCGGGATTTAAGTCATGCTCATCGATCGTGGTCAAGCATCGGCCAATTGCTACTGTCGCCTTGACAGCAACATCCCCGGAGTTGGAGCAGTCCACCCACACCTTGCCATTCCTGCCAATGGCGATCTCGAACCCGCCGGCCTTCTCGAGCTTCTTGCCCAGTTCATCCAGCACCACCAACCCGGCCACCCCCTCCTGCTGCTCGCCCGTCGACGAGCTCGCCCGCATCAACCGAGCCGCCATCCCCGTGGAGATATCAAACACCATCCCGCCGTTCAGGGGCCCTAGACCGCCGGGTTCCGCTCTGCCCGTCGCCGGGTTCACGCAGGCCAGCTCGACCTCCGCCCCCGCCCCGAGCCCAACGGACAGCACCCGCGCGTACACCAGATCGCCCTGCTTCAGCATGGGCCGGGTCTTCTTCGTGGCGCCCTCGAACGAGAGCTGCCCCAGAACCGCATGGGGCGCCTGCGGCGTGATCATGCAGTGGAAGTAGTCGGGGCTGGAGTGGTGGATCTGCGCAATCACCAAATCGTTGGCCGTGGGCACGTACCGGCGGCGCGGCGAGGAGAGGATCGATACGGCGTTGCGCTTGTTGTCTGTGGAGAGAATCCCGGCCTGCGTGGCGGTAAGGACATGGCTGGGGGAGGAGGTTGAGTTGTTGCCCGTGGTCGGTTGGTGCGGTTGCGAGAGCAAACGGAGGCCGGCGCCCAACCTCAACGGTGCGGAGCTGGTGGAGGGGAGGTACTCGGATGGGATCTCATCGCCGGGCAGGAGGACTAGTGGTGACGACATGATGCGTATATGTTTGCCTCGCAGGTCAATGTAGCTGCGGGGTGGAGATGGAGGAGTATTCTGATGAAAGAAGTTTGGCTGATCGCATGCAAAGGAAAAAGGAAGCGCAAATCGCCCGGTAAGCTTATCGTCTGCAGTGTTTATCTTCACGTGATACGGTGTATGTCCCCCTCAGTCTGGGCAAGGGTGCTATGCAACTAACCGATGAAGATGAATTAACTTCGGGTGTTAGAATCTCGAGCTATGAAGCTTGACAGTGTTCTAGCCTGTTGTATTGACCTCGAATCTGGAAAGGTAACACAATACTAACCTTGGGCTTATGTTGATCCTCTCTGAGAGTGAAAGTGGCGGTCGCACCGCCACATCTATTATCGATAAGCACTAGCCACATCTGCCCGCCAATTGCAAACGAGCCAAAATTTTTTTCCTCGGGGCGAAAGGAAAGCGCGGCGGGAACAGCCTCAATAATTGTTCCCTCTTCTCCCTCCGTTCTCTCTTTCTCCCATTTCCGTTTTCCTTTGGGATCGCTGCTAATTTCCCTTTCTCTTGTTTCCCTTCCCCATTTCTCACACACATATACAAGATGAGCTCCGAAACTAACGGCGCTGCCGAGAGATTCGCCATTGGTATCTCCTTTGGCAACTCTTCCAGCTCTATCGCCCGCCTCAACCCTGTACGTACCTGTCTTTGAACTATCTGATATCTCATCTATTCAACAAATCGAACAATGCACACGCGTGCAACTCAATCGAGAGTGATGCTAATATCATTCTCATTCTCAGGAGGGCAAGGCTGAGGTCATTGCCAACGAGGAGGGAGGTCAGTCTGAACTTTACCCAGTCTCGCTCACCACTCTGGGTGGCGCATTGCTCCCAAAGACTGTGAACTTACCAGCATATAGACCGTCAAATCCCTACCGTTCTTTCCTACATCGAAGGCGAGGAGTACCACGGTGCTCAGGCCAAGAACCAGCTTATCCGCAACTCCCAGAACACTGTTGCATACTTCAGAGACTACCTTGGCAAGGAGTAATTGCTCCCACTTCCGATTCCAGGGAGATCGATATGTTGACAAGGTTTTTAGCTTCAAGTCGATAGACGCTACTCCCTGCCACAACTCCGCCCACCCCCAGCAGCACGATGACACCGTCGCTTTCTCCATCCGCGATACCACCAGCGAGACCCCCAGCACTGTTACCGTCTCCGAGATTGCTACCCGTCACCTGCGCCGTCTCAAGCAGTCCGCCTCCGATTATCTCGGTAAGGAGGTCAACGCTGCCGTCATCACCGTTCCCACCGACTTCAACGATGCCCAGCGTGAGGCCTTGATCGCCTCCGCCAACGCTGCTGGCCTTGAGGTTCTCCAGCTCATCCACGAGCCCGTTGCTGCTGCTCTGGCTTACGATGCTCGCCCCGAGGCTGTCGTGACTGACAAGCTTACCGTTGTCGCCGACCTTGGTGGCACTCGCTCCGATGCTACCGTCATTGCTTGCCGTGGCGGTATGTACACCATCTTGGCCACTGCCCACGACTACGAGCTGGGTGGTGCCACCTTGGACAAGATCGTCATCGACCACTTCGCCAAGGAGTTCATCAAGAAGCACAAGACCGACCCCCGCGAGAATGCTCGTGGCTTGGCCAAGCTCAAGCTTGAGGGTGAGGCTACCAAGCGTGCTCTGAGTCTGGGTACCAACGCTACCCTGAGCATCGAGAGTCTTGCCGATGGAATCGACTACGGTTCCACCATCAACCGCACTCGTTATGAGCTCCTCTCCGGCAAGGTCTTCGCTCAGTTCACCGCCCTGATCGAGCAGGTTGTTAAGAAGGCTGGTCTGGACGTTCTGGACATTGATGAGGTTTGTGTAAATCCGCCCTCTTGAGACCAGCTCAATCCCTCTAATTTTGACGATCTTAGGTCATCTTCGCTGGCGGTACTTCCCACACCCCCAAGATTGCCCAGCTGGCCCGCAACATCTTCTCCGAGAAGACCACCATTCTCGCTCCTTCCACCTTCACCGCTGCCATTAACCCCTCTGAGCTTGCTCCCCGCGGTGCTGCCATCCAGGCTTCCCTCATCCAGGAGTTCGACAAGGAGGACATCGAGCAGTCGATCCACCCCATGGTCACTGCCACTCCCCACCTCCAGAACGCCATCGGTGTTGAGGTCACCTCCGGCGATGCCGTTGACTTCCAGGCCCTCCTCCACGTCGAGACTGCTCTCCCCGCTCGCCGTACCGCTCAGTTCTCTGCTCCCAAGGAAGGAGGTGACGTTTTGATCCGCGTCTGCGAGGGTGTCCGCGAGATCAAGGTCACCAAGCCCGAGCCCAAGCCCAAGGAGGAGAAGGCTGAGGCTGACGAGGATGACTCCGACTTCTCCGACTCCGATGAGGAGGAGGAGGAGATCCGTGAGATCGTCTGGAAGACCGAGAAGCCTATTGCCGAGCTGGCCGTCAAGGGTGTTAAGGCCGGCAGCAAGGTTGAGCTCATGATCCACGTCGATGCCGACCTTGGCCTGCAGATCACCGCTCGGGAGGTCGGCGGCCAAAGCGCCGTCCGCGGTGCTGTCGAGGCTCCCAAGGCCTAGATTACCCGTCTCTGAGTTATGAATCTGCTACCAAAATATTTATGTTGCATCTTTTGCATGAATCGATCTAGGATCTCACTTCCTTGGTTTCTACTGCCGGATATTACCCAACTTCCTTTTTCCTGGTTTCTCTTCCGCAGAAGTTTATGAACCACGTCTCAAGATATCATTCAGTTTTCAATCGGAAAGAGGCACCTAATTCTGTGTTCTGCTTGGCCATGACTTTTTGACGACAAATATATTCATGAAGGCTTCTGAAAAGTATATATAGAGAACTTCAATGACGCGGAATAGAGAATGATAGATTTTGCGGATACTTATGTTGTCTTGCGTATTACCATCTTTACAAATTGTAGTAGTCTATAAATATGCTCCTGAGTCTTTGGGTACTTTTTGTTCAAACGAGCTATATTACAATTACTAAATGTAAATATAGTGTAACAACAGTAAGTGAACAAGGCATACAGGGTACACAGTACAAGTCGGCAAACAAAGTAACAACCGACTAAAGCTCAAGCAGATCCCGAACAGGATAGATTAGAATTAAGCAGCCACCAGGTCATGAACGATGGTATACAGTCAGGACAGTCGAATGTGCGTGGGTGTGCAGCACAACATAGCATCAGGGAACAAGACATCAAAGAAATACATATAGGCTGCTGAATAGGCGTGAGACTATTCATTCAGGAGGGAGGGTGGGTGTAAGCATTATCAAATGGAGCTTTCCTCAGCCACGGTGGTTAACCCCAGCCTCTCCAGCGAGGTATGTAGATTGAGCGTCAGGAACAGAAACCTCTCTTTTTGCACCTGGTCGATGAACGAACGAACGCCGTGCCCGTTACTTTCTCGTCTCGTACGGACATCAGCAACAACAAAGACCAGTGCAAATTGAAGTTTTTTTTTCTCTGGGAGTTTAAACCGCAGCAGTAGTCTCCTTGTTACTCCTCAAGCTGTTGGAGCGAGCGGACGAGAAAAACCCCTTCCGGCGGTGCTCGCGGCCGCTGTAGCCCCGGCCCCGGTCCTTGCGGCCCGTCGCGCCGCCCATGCAATAGGCCAGGCAGGCGATGAAGAGACAGGCGACTGCGGTCCACATGAAGGCGAAGGCCTTGACACCCAGCCGGGCTCTTTGGTTGTTGGCGTTGAACCTGTTCCGGCCTTGGACGTAGACGGCACTGCGGGTTGTGTTTTCGTTAGTTTTAGTTCAAACCCAGGGTTCTGAGGCTTGGGTTTGGTTGGCGACTTACGTGATCAGGCAGGTGGAGATGATCTGGAAGACCAGGGCGATCCAGGCCATCAGCGAGGACACGTAGCTGCCGATGCGCGTGCACATGGCCAGGAAGCCGGTGAGGAGGGAGATGACGCCGAAGAAGAGGGCGATCAGGAGGAAGGGGAAGGAGAACCGCGAGGTTAGGAAGTAGTGGTTCGTTCTGGAGATGAGAATCAGTTGAGGTTCTGAGTACACCAGCGTGGTGAATTCAAGTGACTTACCCGACGAAGGCAGCAGGGATGTTGGTGGTGGTGTCGAAGTTACGAGAGCTGGGGGGGTCGAAGGGGTAGTCCGGGTGAGACGAGCCGCATTGGCTCTTGCCATTGACGACCGCGCATAGCTCCCAGAACGTCCAGCGAGATAGCGAGGGTGCCCCCGGGATGTTGCTCGTGTCGACCTGCAGGAAATAGATCTCGTTCAAGGGTCGGGTGTTGGTCGCGCCGCCCAGGAGAGTCAGGAACATGAGCAGGAGGGCTCCCGCTGTGAAGAAGAGGCCGAGAAAGCCCAATGCCACTCCTGGAGAATAGGGACGCGGGATGTTAGCCCATGCGCTATAGTGTAGAAGTGGATCATAGGGCTGGGAAGGTGGGTGGGCTTACTGCTGAGCACCATCGTGATACTGGGTATGATTTTCTCTTTTCTTTTGCGCCTTCAGGCTTGAATCCGGGATGATGAGTTCTTTCTTAGGCTCTGATGTGCAGATGTATGCTCTTGATGGTATACCTGGGTGGTATATGGGCTTGGAGGGCTGATGGGAGGAGATGAAGCGTAGGGAGGAAGAGATGGAGAGGTATAAGGGAGAGAGGGTCAGTCGGGGTCTGAAGAGAAGAGTCTGGTATTATAATATCCGAAGTGTCCGGGGGAGGGTCTACCCAGGAGGTAGTGATATAATCATGAGGATGCATCATCATCGGGGTGGTTCATACGCAGGCACTGATGAAAAGTCCTTTCAGTCTCTCAGCCATAATTCATTTCATTCGAGTAGAAACGGAAGAGTGACGGTATCGACGTCATCGTTGCAGCAGGCCCCGCTAACTGGCCTCGGCTAGTCTAAACTCTAGTGCTGCACTAGTCCAGATCGGGTAGTCTAGACTTCACCTCTTCGGTCCTTCATGACGTTCGATGCTCTCTCGATCGTCGAGCTTGAGTGCTGCAACTTCACCTCTACACACCCACAGAACAGAACGTGAACGTTGCACCACCCCCCCAATTGAGTTGGGTACCCGACTCCTCTCGACGTGGATCGTCTGGCAAGCTAGTGCGGAAATTTTCTTCTGTCTACTACGTACTGCATCATCGTCCCTTTCGAGGCCCAGAGTTGAATTCTGCTGCCTGACCCTCTACTCATACTCTTCCCCCACCCCCTAGTTCATGTCGAAAAACTGCGTCTACGCCATATGCCACTCCTAGAACCCTAAGCACATCCGATCCTCCGGAAACCCAGGCCCTAGAACATTTGTGGAATTCTAGCTGTCAGACGGATCACACTATGGCCACTTGGGCTTACCCACCCCTTCCCCCAGCACGCCTGGAACAGGAAGTGGAATCCACGTTGGTATGCCCCTACCCGGTGCTTATCTTAACTTACCACTATACGACATACAGAACCTTGTCTAACTCATTGATTGCTTACCCATTGACCTACATAATAGGCCAAGGAGCTAGAGTGGCTTTTACGCTCCCTGCAAGATTCACTCGTCTCGCTTAGGGAAGGTTTGCATGAGTGTGCTGCTTTGCTGGCTCCCAAAGAGCCGGGCTCAACCTTAGTGCTGTCGTCCCTTCGGTCCGAAAATGTGAAAGGCTACGTAACCCGGGTTGGGACGCAAATCGTCAAAGGTGTATGTCATCTTCCCCAATTTTCGGTTCTTCTTCGATGGTTGATGTGATAACTTTATTTTTTTCTGCCCATCGATCGACACCCCTGCATCATGATCACCACCATCATACCTTGCTTGCTGCAAACTACATGCACACTCGGGAATTAACATTTACTGATCGTGCCTGACATGATAGGATATTCAACTTCGTCTAAGTTCTCTAGCTTCAGTACGCGGGTCAGCCAACACCCGCTTATGCCTGTCCAATGCCTCTGAGGCTCCAGAGCTTGTGCTTGATCAGCTGGTCTCCGTAAAGAATCTGGTCAACCAGAGCTTGGACATTGTAGATGTTAGTACATGGACGGGCGACCCACTCAACGCTGGGTTCATCTTTAGTCAGTTGCATCTCCTGCGTGAGACCATCACCGAGGCACGGCAGATGCTCAAGGGTGAGAGCGACAAGGTCAAACAGAAATGGTGGGAGGCTAGTGCGGCAGAGAACGTGAGTGATGATTGTTTTGCACTTCACTGGAGTTGATGACTGATGTAGACCGCTGAAGATGTTTGACCCTCCGCTGCCACCTTGTCTTTCTTTCCATCTCACTATTGCTGATTCCGCGCTCGTACTACACCTGCGAACTCTGGAATCCAGCACACCAACCCATACGCCCACAGCCTTTGCCTCTGATATCTCTCTTACCGGGTTCAACATCAGGGACCGGCTCTTTGGCACCCGTCATCGGCCTCATGACGAAGCCGGCGATGTCTTCACCTGGAAGGGAGACGAAGTAAAGGTGAAAGAAAAAGTCCGCGTAGAAAGTCAGGACCCGAGCTTGATGGCGGTCATGGCCAAGTTGACTGCCCTGGAGCACGAGGTCCAGAAATGGATCTCGGCTCTGAAGGTGCTTATGGGTAACGAAGATACAGATAGTGACTCCTAGTTTTACAGGTTGTGTAAGAAAGAATTGACCATTTCCTTCTATATCTTGCCACCTTACAGGGCTTCAAGTGCTTACAGGTGCTCCGGTCTAGACGGCTTACGTAAGGTAGATCCCCTCGCCGTTTGCCAATCAGAGGCAAGCAATTTGCATCGTCTTGGCACAAGTTTTCCGAGCTACAAAGTTGCAGGCAGGGTGGCAAGCCAACAAATTTCTGCTCAGGTACATCCTTCTGTACTTCACTTTCCAACGTTGCGGACAGAGTCGCGGACTGGTGAGGATGCTGTCCAGATCTCCGGCGACACGGGCGACGCCTCAGGGGCTGCTGCGCGCTGCAGTCAACAGAACGTCGCAGTTCAGCACGCAACAACTCCGCCGCGGAGCGGCAAGCTTCGTGAACGGGCGGTCCCGGACTACGACCACAAGGAGATGTCTCTCTTCGACCTCGAATATCAATAACCTCCCGCGAGCACCGACAGAATTCCGACCTGGTCAGTGGACGATTGGGTCGAGGTACTCTTCCTCTGCAACGCCCGCCCTGCCGGATGCTACACATGCGGAGCGGAAGGATGCCGTCTACGCCCTGATCGATGAGATCAACCAAAATGAAGCCGCCATGGCCGATATCATGGAGGAACTGGACTTGCTCGACGATTTCGATCAGGCTCTTAACCTCGACGGCTTGGAATACGAGCACGCATTCAGTCAGACCATTGGTCACCGAGACCAGGAGACACTGGAGGGACGGGTGCGGATGGCGAGACAGGAGTTTCGGGAATACCTGCCCCCCGATTACTTGAACGCCCGCGAGACCGAATTATACACGAGACTCTACGGTGAACCGATCTACCGCGACCTTGACAGCATTCAACCTGACCTCGAGCTCGCTGAGGAATTGGAAGAAGGACAAGACCCCGCCGCCGATCAACTATACCGTGAAGACGGACAAGGAGGTTGGGAAGAGGTTGAGATGGTTGAGGAAGAACTCGAGCTCGAGCTCGAACCGGAGGAGGATGACATACCAGTGGTTTACGACATGGAGGCTGGACCGGAGGTGCCGGAAACAGACGCCATGCGGCGCACGCGCGAGATCGCCGAGCAGCTCGGCGGAGAGGTCATGCTCGAGCAGTTCCAGGACGAGGCTGTGCCTGATGGTAACGATAACCCCCGATTCCACCCGACCACTGAGCTGGGCAGGTCTGGCACGAATCCCAGCACGGTCTTTTTGCCAAATGACTCGTTGGTGAAACCCATCTCGATGATCCTGTCGGATTTCTCCAATAAGCACCTCCAGGAGACCGCTCGTCGTGTCTTCAAGGGCCAATACCTTCCTTTGTCCGTTACGACTCCCCCCAGATCCGTTCAAGCCCCTCAATTACCAAGCCCTCTGGAGGCTTCGCAGCGTCACATGTCCGAGATGGAATCTAATGCTTACCTCGCGGCTATGTACCCTGGCTTCTATGCGAGTGTGCTGAGCGTCCTGGTTGAGGTACGCAAGCGACTGGGGACAGATTGGCTGCGAGGTTTGATGGCCAAGGAAGAAGGCCCGAGTGTGCTCGATGCCAGTGCTGGAGGTGCTGGTATCATCGCGTGGAGGGAGATCATGCGTGCGGAGTGGGAGGCTATGGACCCAGAGCGGCCTTTTTCCGAAATCCCAATCGGCAAGTCAACGGTCGTGGTAGGATCTAATAGTCTTCGTGCTCGCGCTTCTGCATTGCTGCATAACACCACCTTCCTTCCTCGACTTCCTGACTACGTTCACCTTCGCGAAAATGCGACGCTAGACGATGACCGGGCGCCGAAGCGGAAACAGTTCGACATCGTTATCGCCCCCCACTCCATTCACCCGATCGACGAGGAGTATCTGCGAAAGGAGCATGTCAAGAACCTTTGGCAGCTGGTCAATCCCAACGGTGGTATCCTCATTCTGCTTGAGAAGGGCCACCAGCGGGGGTTCGAGGCCATCGCCGGAGCCCGTGACATGCTGCTCAAGCGCGTCATCCGCAACACCGACCTCAAGACCTCAGACGAAGACATCGCTTCGGAAGAGGATGCGGAGGATGACCTTGACCTCGACAAGGAACCCGGCATGATTATTGCGCCTTGCACCAACCACGCCCAGTGTCCCATGTACCGTGTGCCCGGCCACACCGTTGGGCGCGGCGACTGGTGCCACTTCAAGCAGCGATACATCCGACCCCCCTTCCTGCAGCGCATCATCGACGCCAAGACGCACAACCACGAGGACCTGCGATTCAGTTACCTCGCGGTGCAGCGCGGGGTCGATCTCCGCGAAGAGAAGGGCTTCAAGCAGGACCGCGTGGCCAAGTTCCACGCCGCTAAGGGATACGAGCACCTGTTCCCGGACCCGCAGACGCGGGCGGCCATGAGCGAGGAGGAGCAGCAGAAGCTGGCGGAACAGGAGGCGCAGTTCGAGCCGCTGACCCTGCCGCGCATCGTCTACCCGCCGCTGAAGCGCCGCGGCCACGTCACCTTCGACATCTGCACCCCGGATGCGCAGATCGAGCGCTGGACCGTCCCCCGCTCCTTCAGCCGTCAGGCGTACCGGGACGTGCGCAAGTCGCAATGGGGCGACCTGTGGGCGCTGGGGTCGAAGACGCAGATCGAGCGCAAGGTCAAGCTGGGCACGAAACACGGCCTGAGCAAGAAGGACCGACTGGAGGCGCGCGCCGCGGCCCGCGAGGCGGCCAAGGACGCCCAGGAGGAGGAGGAAGCCGATGCAGCGGCGCAGGATCGCAAACCGGAACTGCTCATCCCCAAGCGCAAGAAGGGAGAGAAGATCCCCAGCTGGAAGAAGCATCAGGATAAGAAAAAGGTGCGCCAGCATTACAGTCAGTTGAAGCCTGCGGATTCGTAGGCCCGCGGTGTCAAAAAGGGTGTTGTTCAAGATGTTCGGGGTTTTCTGATTGGGATTTTTTTTCGTTTCATCATGGTTGGCGGCGTATTGTTCTAAAGGAGGATTCTGCTGCCGGGCTGCGGACATCATCTACGGGTTTTGGAGCACATTTTGGCATAGATTCTGTAAATTTTCATGTACGATATGTGGTTATTGTATGGATATTAGCTATCTTAGTTGAGAGCTCTTCACTCAAAAGGCATTTTCTCCACTTCCATATCTTGGTCATTAGTATTTCATTTGGCTTCGTTTCCATTGCACTCGTGTTTGTGTGTGTGACAGTCTGGGTGAAGTGCAGGCCTGCAGGCCAGGTGTGAGTCCAGCGCACTGGATTGTTGTGGTTCGGGACCGTCCATCAGGCTTTGTGGTTGTGTCAGACAATGCTGTGACATCCTCACGACACGAACAAGACGGACCACAGGGTGGGAGGCTGAACACCCATTGGACCTTGAATGGTACTAGATTGACCAGCCACAAAGTGCCCTGATGGTTCAATTCTGCCACCCCGAATTCGGAACTCAAGCGAGCCCAGGACCCGAGTCTCTTCATCCTCAGCCACTCGGACCGCGTTTACTCGAGAGATGTAGGTAGGCATAATCCCCATCCTTCCATCCCTCATTTCTAGTCCCCCATGAAAGAAAAATCATCTCCGTCAGCACCCCAATTTCACTGAAAAGCCATACTTTTCCGCAGCTGCCGTTCCCGCTGCTTACCCTGCAACTCCAGCCGCTCCACCGCGTACTGCAGACGTTCTTTCTTCTGAATCAGTCGCCGGAGCTCGGCCGCCTTGGCTGCGTTGCTGGCTGCCGCCGCCGCCGCCGCCTGCCGGTCACCGAAAGCACCGGCTCTGGCTTTGGATTTCGGTTTGTTGGCCAGCTGTCGCTTCTGCTGCTGTCGCTCCTCGTTGGAGTACAGCCGCCCCTGCTGCAGGTCACACTTCGCGCGGAGGCCCTGCTCGCGCCGCGAGAGCTTCTCGACGTGGTTGGTGGCGAGTTCGAGGAGGTGGGCGATGCTGGGGGTGATTTCGTCGAGGAGGGATTGCTGCGCTTCGCGGAGGGTGGGTTCGGGGAGGAGTTCGAAGTGCTGGCCTCAAAGTTAGTGGTTTGATGGGTTTGAGGCAGGTGGTGCGGTACGTACTCGGGTGGTTTGGAGGACTTTGGAGAGGCGGGGAAAGTCGCTGACTCCGGCGTCGAGGGTGGAGATGGAGGAGTCGAGGAGTTGGAGGGAGGATTGCAGGGAGGAGACGGAGAGGCGGAGGTGTTCTGCCATGTTTTGTATGGTAGAGTTCTGTTTCTTGGGTGATTGTATGATCAATGTGCAGATATAGTGTCTAGATGTTGTTATCGATTGTAGTGCAGTGCCGGGGCACTGTTTACATTGTCGGGAGTCGGGAGCGGAGGGGACAAAAGCGGCGGGGAAACTATCCCCCTTTGGGTCTCGGACCTCCGGACAAACCTCGTTGCATCCGCAACCTCCCTCGTTCCGCCTCGCTCTCCTTCTACCTGACCAGCTGCTGCTTCTTCCCTATCCTCTCTCTCTACATCCAGCACCTCGCTTCCACACAACTTGCTTCACCATGTCTCTCCTCGGAAAGAAGTTCCCCACCCCCGTTGGTGAGTTTCTGCTTGATCCCGAGTGCTCTTGCCCGGGGTGTTCCCCCATCGTTAGGGCATGAGTAATAAAGAATGGAATTGAAACTGACTGGGATACATTTATAGCCGGTCCCCTCGGCCCCTTCTTTGCTGCCGGTATGCACTTTTAAATCATCTTCCCGACTTGCAACGCTGTCTCCTTCGGCGCAGAGCCGAAATGACGCGACGAAATGTGCTGGCTTCCAGGTTCAGGCTTAACATGCAATCACTTACAGGTCTCGTCGTCCTCTATGGCGTCAACTCCCTCCAGAACGCCCTGATGAACAGTAAGTTGCTTTCCGGGCCGCGCCACACACCGTCTTTCTTCCTCTGTGATCTACCGAGGGGAGAGAAAAACTCCGCCGACGCGATCGCTTCTCTCGCACACATCGACCCAACCCAATAACTAATTTAATCGTTTGCTCTACAGCCGCCGAGTTCAAGAACGACCCCCGCAACCCCAACGCCAAGGCCACCAAGCACTAGACGTCTTGTTATCTTTCTGGAGAGACAAAGCTGATATGGCGGACGTCGTCATCAAGGGTTGATTTGAGCGCGGGCATGATTCCGTTATTGGTGTCGAGTTTGCGGGCCACTTGTTTCACACCCTGTACAAGCATATAGAAGAGATACCGTCATAGGACATATTGGTGAATTGACAAGTTGTATCAGTATCAGTATGTTTTCTTTTGTCAAGCTTGGGCTTTCCGGTTCGGAGTGCGCTGGGTGCGAGCTCAAGTGTGCTTTGAGAGGGCTTCGTCGTTGTCTGCCCGGGATGCTAGCCAGGGCCAATTAAGTCAGTATGCCGCTGGTCTATCTTGGTTCTCTGGTCTCGAATTAATTCTCGGCTGGGCATTGACCGCATCGTACATGCAATACGTAGTTCGTTCGTGAGTAGAGGCGTGTTGACAGGCCTTTTTCAACAGCCAATTAGAGCTCCTCAGTATATCTTGCTCGATGAACAATGATACAATATTTCCACTGCCATAATCAGGTGAATTGTACTCGAAAATCATAGCATGTTTTCCACCGAGCTTGCGATACGCATGTTGCGGAGCGCAAATGTTAATTGATGGGGCACTAAACTCGATCGGGAAGGCATATTTTCCCATCCCGTGACTTTCGCCGCTCCGGCCAAACTCCCGTGGTTATCGGAACTCATTCAACAAATCCCAGATCCAATTCGACCTCGAACCCCCAGTCGCTTGCCCCCAGCACATCAATTCCACCATGTCTATGTTCAGGAACAAGAAGCTGGACCTCGGCGGCTTCATCAACGGCAAGATCATCCGTGACCACACCAAGCGGAGAGTCTTCGAGGCGAACGAAGTCGAACGGTATGAAGCCCTACTGCACTACCCTCTCGCCGAACGGCCTCGTCAGGCTAAACTTGCGCCCTCATTTCCCTGCTGAATCCGATCTGGGATTGCCAATCGCTAATGCATTTCCCGCTGTATAGTCAAGCTCTCCGCTATGTGATCCGCAACACCACTCTCCCCCAGCGTGCCCGTGCTCAGGCGCAATTGCAGCTGGCCCAGATGCACGCTTACACCCGGTCCACCCAGATCAGGAACCGTTGTGTAGCGGGTGGTGTCGCCCGATCCGTCATCCGGGACTTCCGACTCGGAAGAGTGAGCTTTCCCCCCCTTTTTTTCATTTCGACGGAAGGCATGGAGTTAGCTAACGGGAGGGACTTTTCTCGTCTGGCAGTACCAATTCCGTGAACAAGCGTTGGCCGGCGAGCTTCCCGGCGTGAGGAAGGCCAGTTGGTAGACTCGGTGTTGTTTTGTGTGGTCGTCTGCGACACCCTCCTGGTGTCTATGTGCATTTGACAAGCTTCTCTGGGTTGGTTCGGTGCTTTCATGATGGCGTTTCCTTTTGTGTGTGTTCCTTCTTCCCGATCTTCCCTGGGGAAGGAGATGTACTCTATGTTATGATGGGTATTGATCGAGAATATCAAACCAGCGATCTTTATGAGAATTTGAATTCGTGACTGCTAAGGGGAGTGGGTTTTGCTTTGGGTAGAATTGGTGCACTTTGGGGGGGCATGTGCTTGCTTCTCTCTGGTGAGGAATAGCTTGGGAATCTGATGGCTGTCGGAGTTAGGTCTGTCTGTTCTTGCATCGTTGGGGTCTTGCAGCTGAAGACCACCGAAGCGCAATTCTGCCTCTCGCTTCATGGTCGGCCTGCTCTTCCTCCGTCGCTTGTTCTAGTGTGCATGATACATGAGAATAGGGCTGTTGGCAGAGACTCGGGTCTTTATTAACGGTTTGCAGCTCCGTTCCTTGAGAGAACACAGCCAGAAGCAGCTTTGAGGCTGAGACTGACCGGACTCTCACCTTCCCATTCACTGCACAGCAAACGGAGCTTCAGCTCTGGAATCACAGCGGGAAGCTGCATCTCAGCATCAACTTTCCCAGATCCACTGCCTGTCTTCTACTGTCCTCTATCTCTTTGCTTCTTCACTTCTGCTTCGCAGGCAACAACTACCGGCTCCGTCTACCCCACATTGTTGAAGATGTTCGTCTACCGCCGCGAGGATCTGCCCGCGGACCCGGTGTTTCCAGCGGACCTGACAAAACTGGGGTAGCTCTCATAACATATTTGGTCACAGAGTAGCCCATCATGCTGAGAAAGGACACAGGTACTTCGTGACCGATCAAGACCAGATCCGCAAGATCTCGGACCCAACACAGGAGTTCCAGTACAAGATCAACCGCAACGGCCGCTGGAATGATGTCCAGAGAGAAGCTATGAACGGTAAGTCTGACTAGCTATCTGCACCGAAGCCTCGACTACTCCTGCTCTGTCGCTGCTCTGTCCCTGCTCTACTCCTCTAACAGTCTTGCGTGTTCACCCAGAATGCATCCGCAAGATCGTCAGCTCCCGCCTGCGCGACCTCGGCCTCGTCAATCTCCACCTCCCGCTCCGGGCCAAAACCATGGAGGCACATGTCCCGATCATGGTGTCGAGGAACCTGTCCACTGCCTCGCACATCATCGTGGTGTTCGGCGAGCCCATCCAGGACCTGGGCATCTGGGCCTACCGCAGCGTTGGCGGTGACGGGATTGACGCCGGCTCCCTCGTGTCCTTTGCGAAAGCCGTCCTGCGTCAGGGCCAGGCTGATAGCAATAGTGGCGATGGTGACAGTCATAGTGATGATTCAACAACAAACATGCCCAACACCGCACTGGTGCTGGCTAACACCGGTCAACTCGTCTGGCACTGTGCCTCCGGTCAAGCGATCACGCTGGTCCGTTGGCAGCACATGCCCCGTGCCTCGGCCGTGGACCCGCCCCCTGAGATGTCGCCCCGCAACCAAATCCCCGGCCACGAGTACTGGCAGAGACATGTCAACCGTGTGTTCGAGGACATCCTGTCCGCGCGGGGTCGGCTGGTGCGCCCGGATGCGCGAATCAGTGTTGTGGGAGCCTCGGAGGGAGGGCTGGGTGCGCTTCGGTACTTGAATAAGAATTGTGAGTGCTTACAGTATCTTATTGGTTGTCCGTTCCTGGTGATGGTTGAAGCGACAATACTGACGTACGATGAAACAGGGAGCTCCTGGAGACCATTCATCTCTGCGATCTGTCTCGCCAATCCTCTTCAGATGGCCAGGATTGAGCTTGGCAGCAACTACGAGAATGCCGCCCTGGCAGATCCGACCTCCTTCGCGGCCTTTGTGGCGTCACGCTGCCGCGGATATCTGCTGTCTGATCAGCCGCTGGGGGTCCCGGTCGAGGCGATGCTTGACAGTGGGTGTAATTGCTACGCCTCGGGCGAGGCATTGAACTCGGAGTGTATCATGCCGAAGGCGTGGAGACATGTGCTGCGGTGGCTGAATCAGGCTTTTGCGGACCCGGCTTACGGAGAGGCGAGGTTGGAGATTATGCACGTTGACGGTGGTGAGCTAGATGATGCGGTGGAGGCCGAGATGGATGAAGGAGAGCGCTCCTAGGTTGAGCTGTCTACTTTGTTCTTGTGATTTAGCCTTTTCGGTGAACGAGCACGCTTGCTTAAACTTGACATACTTGTCTTGTAGCATAGATAGCTTCAATGGTCATTCTGGATCTCTACTGAGAGTCATAAGCAAGGTTAGTAGTATGTCGAGAGGTTCAGAGACTACCTAGTAGCTCTAATCCATCGGCCAATTCGGCTATACATGCTAGATGGTCAGAGCACGAGGCAAGACCACAATCTGGCCAGAAGTGTCTTTGAGGATACAGCGACTTAACCCATTTGATATCCACAGCGTCTTCAAGAATTGACGTATACACTACCCATGAGTTACAATGCTCACAACATACACCGAAGTCAAACTTATAATGCTACATTGATCGTCATAATCATACAAGCGATAACTACAGTACAAACTACGCCTTTGCATCCTGTTTATCCATATCCATATCCTTCTCCTTCTCCTCCCACCTTTCCCTCACCCTCCTCCTCACCCCACCATTCACCCCTCTCCCCCAAATCTCCTCCTTGACTCCCGTACCAGCAGCAGCAACATCATTCCCATCCCCCTCACCACCCTTACCACCGCCCTTACCACCACCACCAACCTCCTCCCTCCCCACCGAAACCTTCACCTCCCGCACCCGCTGCTCCCTCCCCCTCGCCACGCGCATCTTCCGGAGGTAAATCGCATAAATCCCCGCCTCGACCGCGCCCACCCCCAGCGCCGCCCCCATCGCCGCCAACACCTTGCCCCCGGCCCCTATCCCCCCGGGCCCACCGGGAGTCCAAACATGCAGCGCCCAGAACACACTGAACCCGGTGATCAGCACCGACAGGAAGATATTCAGGACCAGCGAGGGGGTGATCGTCTCCTTTTCCGGTGGTGCATGTTTATCGTGTAATGCAGAGAGGAGGGGCGTGCTGGATGTGAAGATCGGGTTGACGCTTCCGGGTATGGAGAAGGAAGGATGGAAATGGGGGGTGGGATTGGGACTGGTCATGCGGTTGTAGGCGTCTGCTTCGGCGGCGGCGAGGAGGCGCGCTTTGTGGGCGAGGTATTCTTTTGTCTATTCGTTGGAGTCGCTGTTAGTTTGGGTGAGGGGAGGGAAAGGGCGGGTGGGAGTTCAGGTTGATGGGAAGAGTAGAAGGGAGCGGGAGCTCACCGGCTCGGGTTTGGGCGGCGGCGGAGGGACGTAGACCTTCGTGCCGCGGAGGAGGGTGTTTAGGGTTCGGTTGCGCCGGGGGTCGGATTCTGGATGGGTGTTTGCATTCGAGGAAGCATCTTGAGAAGGAGGGGGCGGGTTCGTCCGGAAGTATCTTGCTACTTGGATCAACTGGGCGTGGGAGATGGGGTCGGCGAGCTGGAGCGCGGAGGGGAGGGCGAGGGTGTGGCGGGCGGAGGCGGGGATGGCCTCGTAAGCGGCGAGGATGGGCTCCGTGGTGGTTAGATTGACCATTGTGCTTTTTGCAGTAACTCAGTAGTACTGCATTGTGGTGCTTGTTTGAGGTGTGTCAGAGGGGAGGATGTTGGTTGGTTCATGCGACTGTTGTTGTAGAGGGAAGATGTAAGTTAGTTACTGTGTTGTAGTTCCGCCGCAGCTCCGCATACCTACTCATAACAACCGGCAGAAACCCAGGGCCGGCCACCATTCCCAAACAAGCAACCACCTTCCTCTCCGATTCCTCTCCCCCACTTTAACCTAACTTATCCGCAGCTTCATCATTTCATTTCAATCCGGATACCATCTTCTGCGCCTGCCGCTCTCCCCTCTTTCCCTCTCACCAACTACCCCAACACCCACCCCAAATAAACAAAAATGACAGACTCAAAACCCGCGTACGCCTCCCCCCATTCCCCCATATCCCCCAATCTCCCGACCCCCAAAAACTAAACCTCCAAAAAAAAAAAGCCCCCCAACAAACCCCCGCGGCATCCCCGCAGCCCCCTTCATCGACAACGTCACGGACTACGTCTCGAGCCGCACCGAAGTCGAACCCACCCTGCGCTCCTTCCAGGAGATGATCTCCAAGTACCAATTCATGGAGGTCAACACGACGAAGCGGGCGGCGGGGCTGCGCGACAAGATCCCGGACATCAAGAAGACCCTCGAGATGGTGCGGTTCTTGGCGGCGCGCAGGCGGGCGACCGACACCCCGTTGGAGACGAACTTCGAGCTCAACGATACCCTCTACGCCCGCGCCACCGTCTCCCCCGCCGACGCCGAGGAGGTCTACCTCTGGCTCGGCGCGAATGTCATGCTCGCGTACCCGATCGAGGAGGCGATGACTATGTTATCGGAGAAATTGGCGGTCGCGGAGACGTCCCTCCAGAACTGCGAGGAGGATTTGGAGTTTTTGCGGGAGCAGATTACGGTTCGTTCTTCCGGGTATCCTCTTGGTAATGGGTTGAGGGGCTGGGGGAGTGGGGGGGGTGATGAGAAAATGCTAACTGCTTGCATCTTGGTAGACGCTGGAAGTCGCTACGGCGAGAGTGTATAACTGGGATGTGGTGCAACGGCGGAAAGAAAAGGCCGAGGGCAAGGGGGAGGAGGAGGAGAAGCAATAAGAACAACAGTTTCGGGCTCGGTTTGGTTTTTCTCATCGCTGGCGTCTTGATATCATTGCATTGTATGTATGTCTTCTGTCAAACCACAAATACATCTCTTAAAGCGAAAGTTCTTATTTCATCAAACGATACGCCCACAGTGTTTCAGTCTATTAATATTCATTCTATATAACCGATGTCAGGCATATCAATTAGAGTGTATCATGGAGCAACCCCCTTCAAAGCATCATAGCTCATCAAAGAACACAAAGCAAAAACATCAAAAATGCTCGCGCATACAATTCTGCTTCAACCAGCTCATGCATATTAAGCCCCCGGAAAAAAAACACCCCTTTAGAAAAGGTCATTACTATCGATTATCCATGTCGGAATATGTAATCATCAATCATTATCAGTCGAGGGTCCGCGTATGCAGCCCTCCAATATGAAACACTGTTCAAGCGCGCATCCGCTTCGCAATGTCGACATCAGTGTCCTCGCCCACAAATGTCCATTCCTCAATGTCGGCCACATCGTCATCGGCCTCTTGTTCCGCGATGGTCTTGGCTGCAGGAGTCGGCGAGAATGGCGTCGACGAAACAATCGAGCGCTGGCGGACCAGGTCCTTCGCATACTCGAGATCACGGTAGATGGCCTGGATCGCAGTATCCACCCCATCTTCCTGTTCTCACATTAGCATAACCACGCAGTAGTTGTCTCTTCAGGGACTTACGCTTCGAATCTGCTTGCCCAATTCACGTGCCTTCACAGTCATGCGCTCGCTGTGGGTGGCCTCCCACAAGGCTCTCGAGAACACGCTCACATTCAGCCTCTTCATGCAGATACCCACTCCCAGGTCTTCGACTCGGGTGCCGAAGAAAAATTGATCGCCGAAGAATGGCTTGATGATGGTAGGCACGCCAGCACGCAAGCTAGCCCCGGTGGTTCCCGCCCCGCCGTGATGCGCGGCGGCATCGATTTGCGAGAAGAGCCAGTCGTGAGGCGCAGCCTGGATCTGGAAAATCTCCGGTGGCAGGGGAATCTCTGCTTTGGCACTCGAAGGGTCGCCTAGTCGATCAGACCATCCTTTGGACAAGATACAACGCACGTCCGCCTTCTGGACCGCTTCAACGACAGTCCGAGTGAGAGCCGACGGATCCGAGACAACGATTGAGCCGAACCCAATATATACTATCTTCTTGCCATCGTCGCGAGCACGTCGAATGAATCCCATCAAGTCTGCTGGCGGAGTCCAGTCTGTTCCCTCATTCAAGAACCAGTACCCAGTGATACGGATCCAGTCTGGATAGTCCAAGGGTGGAGGTACCACAGTCGGGGAGTAATTGTAAAGGAATGGCACCTTGTTCGGTTGCATTTTGTCTAGTCCAGTCGCTTTGAGACCTAATTCGTTCTTTCTCCATCGGTTCACCTGCCCTGCGATCGCCTTCCAGAAGACATTGTCAAACATCACATACGTTATGTAGTTGTAGGCCCCGCCCATTTTGTGCTCCGGAACGGCAAACGCGTGTGGATACGCTCGTGTCCGGGTCCAGGGCATCGTAAAGGCACGGAAGTATGGGATCCGAAGGGCCTCGGCGATATGGATGCCAGCCATCGCGCTCGGCGACTCAATGAGCAGGTCACTATCCTGGCAGGCCTTCCAGGCAGAAGACAACAGATCGTCAATCCAGCCCCGGAACTTCATTGAAGCCTCCTTAAGGAAAGAATAGGTGAACATTCCATTCTCCACGCAGATCCGCATCAATTCCGCGGGGTCGCCCTCCACAGGGGCAAACTCGATGCCGTGCTTTCTCACCCAGGGCCCAAACTCTGCATGAGTTGCGATCCTAGGCCGGTGACCTTCAGCAAGGAGGCCCTTGCACAAGGCAATGTATGGCTGGACATCACCGCGTGAACCGATCGTCAGACAAGTGATTCTTAGGGACTCGGTGGGTTTGAAGTTGATGATGGAGGCGCGTGGGTCATCAAAGATTGGATGAAGTTCAGAGGACTCCACGAGCGCGGAGCGGGAGCTTTGCAACACAGACGCATCCAGTCTTGCTTCTTGAAGCATACGGTGCTCTGCCTTTGCTGCTTCCGACTCAACCTTCTCGTCTTCTTCCCCGAGCAGCCCAGACTCCGCCAGAAATCTGACCGTCTCAAGACCTTGGTGCAGTGTCACGGCGCAATCATCCCGGATATCGGAGGCACTGAACTCGAAAAACAGCTCTTCATGGCCCCGAATCACGACCACGAGGCCATGGTAGCCAAATCGGAACCCTTTCTCCTTATCGACATTTTCTATGTCCTTCAAAGGAAGAATCATCTTAGTGCGAGTCCCCGGCAGAAGACTGCGAAAGCACAGCTTCTTCTGACTAATATAGATCTTGCCGTAGAGTGGCAGCACTCGATGTAAATACGCAAAGTAGGTCGCTTGGAGCTTTTCGGTGGGGGGTAGCGCAAAATGCGCCCGAAACCGGTCACCATCCTTGCATCCTCCCTCCTTGTCTTCAGGATCGACGGCTTGATCGTCGGCAAGTATCCCCTCGGCTTCTCCGTAATGCTTCCGGCCACCAGCCCACATCCCGGACACCTTTTCTATGTAGCCCATGGATTCACTTGCAAGGATGTTGCTCATCTGCTTCGATCGTGTTTTCAGATACTCCGCAAACCCTGCAGCGCGCTGCAAAGGATATGTTCCCGCACGTACGATGTCATTCAGAGCGTGCGCCGAGGGCTGTACTCGGGAGGAGCCATGAGTCTCCTGGTCCAAGTCACTCTGAGTATACTGGATTTCTTGCTCTCTGGTAAAAACAGGCCCCGCAGTATCATTTCCGTAGGTATGCGTCGATCGAGTTGTCTCGTTAGAATATCGCCGTGGGGTTCGGCTAGTTGCGGAAGGACCTCTTCGTAAGCTTTGAATCGTAGGAGAGTGGAAGACGTCGCTTCTGTTCAGGATCTGACTGGCTGATTCTGCTGTGTCTGTCAATGACTGCAAGAGGGCAGAAGACTCGGTGGTGTGCTCCAGGGCATGACCAAACGACGTCGATGAGTCCTGCTGTCTCGGCGAAGGAGACATAGTCATTGGATCATTGCCAAATACAACCTGACCCGTGCTTGCACTTCTCCGTCGCTGCATGCTAGCATTCGCAACACCTCGAGCTTGGCTTGTACCACTGGTGATTGACCACCTATTTGGCGCCACCCGGGAACGACAGGTGCGAGTCAAATGATTGGGTGGAGGTGAAAGAGCCTGCTGTGACCGTTTCATCGGGGAATTATCAACAAGACCTTTCAGATAGTTGAAAGCATCCTGGCCGGAATCGAAAAAGGAGAAATAGTACTGCGTGACTCAAATTAGAGGGTGCCATCTCAGCATTGGAGTCAATGGAAGTACCTCGTCAATCGCATATGTTTCCTCACTCTCGACAATACGGATTTTGAAGGTCTCGGCAAAGTCGACCATCGGACTTTCCTCTATGTCTATAATGCTCTCAATCGGAAAGGAAATCTTCACACTGTCGCCTTCATTATGAGTCCGGAAGATGACTTTTTGTAGAGCCTTGACCCATTCCTTGGCACTCGCGGAGCTGTCTGCTCTGAAGTAGTAGGTTCGCTGATCGGTCGTGACCTGGAAATCCCTCGTCTCTCGGCTCTTGTCCTTTGCTTCTGCCAAGGATGCAGAGATCCCATAGCGGAGATCGACGTGGCCGCTGGGAAAGTACAGATTCGAGGGGTCTGCATAGTATGATAGCACATCGCCTTTCAACGAGAACCAGTAGCGATTGTATTTAGGGTTCTTACGACCCCGTTTGTAGAGAAACCCGGATTTGATAGCCGCGGTCGATTTCTTGGGTAAGTAGGCATAGAAGCAGATGTGGCCTTCCGTGACATACATGTATCCCTGAAGCAGCATACTCTGTAAGAGCGAGCACGCATACTCGACAACCACTTTCTCCGGGGCCTCGAACCCAAACATCTCTTTGAGTCGAATGGAGAGGGATGCCCCCGACGACTGCGTGTGCTCTTTGTCACTCTCTTCGTCCGTTCGCTCCGAGGAGCTTTCGGAGGACTCTTTCGCGCCCAAAGCGGCTTGTGCTTCGACCATGCGACTGAGAACAGGGGCCGCCCGCGGCGTAGCACTGCGTGGTCGTCTGGGGGTCGAGGCCCGAGACATTTCATCGTCCGTGGGAGGTTCTGAGTGTATAGTGGGCTCTCGCTCTTTGCCTCGCTTGGCTGTTGACATGAATGATCGCAGAAGCTTATTCTCAGACAAGACCCTCTGGTGACGACGCCCTCTATCTTGCGTTAGGCCTGTGGGTTTGGGAGACCGGCGACTACCGGGCCCGACCTTGTTGGGCGACGCCGAAGTTGATGTGACGTCTTCATGCTCCTTTGGAGCGCGGTCTTCATTCTCCCCATCGCTGTCGCTTGATTCGTCGAATCGTGCATGGAAGTCAGATCTGGAGCCGACGGCGGCGATCATGGAGAATATGGATTGTTGCATGTATTGCATGTGACCGTCGCGAGCTGTGACGCCAGCTGGGGGCGCAGAGAAGTCGGCCTGAGCATCGTGGTCGTCTTTGAGTCGTTCCGGGAAAGCACCGGCAAAGATGCGGCTGGAAGAGATCGACTGCTTGCTTGCGCTGAGCCTCCGGTCCACTCGCCGTTTGGTATCGTCGATAAAGGGTCGCATGGTTGTGGTGAAGGTTGAAAGGAAGTGTAGGAGAAAACGAGTGGACTCTGAGATGAACAGTCACAGAGAATATGAGCTTGATGCAGACGCTGACAATATTTGTGCGGATGATGGTGATGAGGAACGTGATCGGGCCTTCAGGATCAAAGGAGCCAGTAGGTTCGAGTCACGTTGGAAGGTCAAGGGAGTGCACAGCTATCTTGAGGCATGTGACCCGTTATGTGAAAGGAGTAGAGCTAATGATCACACAGAGCGAAAGCTTCGCCTTTCGATGGTGAACCAAAAAAAAAAAAGTGTGTGAGTAGAAAGTCAAAGTGAACGCACCGGACGTGTGCTAGAAAAACTGTCTGATAAGGTAGGTTGACAGATAGCTATGGAGGAAGTGCTGGCTCAACAAGGCTGGTCAAGCCGTCAAGGCAGCAGAGACGGAAGTTGAAAAATCATGGTCAAAAGGAGAGACTAGGATGTTTGGGAGATTGTGGGAAGGGGGGAGCTTCTGGAATGTAAGGACAAAGAGTGTGAAAGAAGAAATAGGCGGTCGAGCAGGAACAGCCGCAGTAGCAGATTGACTTGTGTCATGCAAAGAAGAAGCAAGCAAGCAATAGATAAGTTAACTACGGCGGAGTAGTTAGTACTCCTCAGCTGTAACTGGGGGGGAGGTCCGGGGGTCGGAGAAGACTCCACTGGCGTCATGTCTGGCTCCAGTTTGTATCAGCTGGTCACTGAATCTATCGTGTCCAATCACTACTTAAGTATGTGATTTCCCCGGAGTCGGAGGTCAGTCCATACTTGCCCCTCATTGGCCTGTCTCGCCAATGTAAGCAAGTCTAGTGTTACTCAGCGGTATCTGGATGGAAATGTAAATTACCACATCAGCCAGCGCAAGGGGGACGAGGACCCTGGCAAACCACTTGGATAGTTGATACAATTCAACTTGAGCACAACCTCCTATGTGATTATCCGATCTCATGTCCATGGTTGTCCTGGCAGCAGCCTGGCAGGCAACTTCTATCGTCTCTATGATCCACGAGGCTCCAGTACGAAGAGTTAGTGGCTAAGTTATGCCTAGCAGCCTTGTTCGAAACCCAAAGTCGGGGTTGATCGACACTAATCTGTTGTCGGCGGTGGGCCCAGAATAACCTCGTCCGAAAATAGAGACAATACCCTATTGCAAATTGCGACACAGGCGATTGTTGCATATATACAAGTAGACAACAATCACAGAATTATCACATGCCAAACGGATCCGCAAAATTACACCTTGTCTAGTAATGCCAACTTTTAATCGAAGAAACAAAGGATAACACACCCACACACGCCCACACAACCAATTATCGCCTCAATCAAGCGGCCTTATCCGCTTTCTTCCGCTTCTTCTCGTCTCGGCTCTTACTCGACTTCTTCTTGCTCTTCTTGTCCTCATCGGCCTCTACCGGCTCCGCTTCCTGGGACGATGTGTGCTTCTTGGACTTCTTGCGGGAGACCTCGCTACTAGGCGCTCCTTCTTCCTCCGTAGGGTGGTGCTTGCGCTTCCGTTCTTCCCGCTCCTTCTCCACCGACTTGGGAACTTTGAATGTGGGCTCTTCTTCTCCTTCGGATTCTTCGGAGCTGGACCCGATCGTCTCGGGAGGCAGCTGTCCGCTGCCGACGGGGTGGAAGCGCATTTTCAGGTTCTTCGGCTGCTTGCGCGGAGGCTTGACCTGCTCCTTGACGGCCGCGAGGATATCCGCCTCCGATTCGCGGGGCAGGTCCACCAGCTCTTGGATGTGGTAGCTCGGGATGTTGCTGGCGGCGGTGCTGTAGTAGGTCTTGGTCTTTTGGTCGTAAAGCTGGAGGGTCTCTCCGCCCACGCCGGGCTGCTTGATGCTCTCCACCGGGATGCCGTATTGTACGCCCTTGTATTTCAGGACCGGCTTGCCTTGCATGATCTTGGCCAACGAGACTTCTTCGACTTTCGAGAGGGGGAGGTAGTCCGGCGCGGTGATGTGGTAAACCTGCTTGCCGCGCAGGTCGGACAGGAGCGACGAGACGTTGCTCTTCGGGGCACTCTGCTGTTTCACCGACTTAAATCCGGGAGGTGCCTTGTATGGTTGAGGGGCGTGGGCCGAAGGCCTATGAAATCAGGGCGGTTAGTGCTAAAAGAGTATCCAAGTGGTCTCGCAAAGCCTACTTGGTAAAGGTTGCTGTGCTTTCGCTCTCGCTCTCGCTTCCGCTCTCGCTGCTCGACTCGCCCGCCGAACTGGTCGCAGACTCAGCTGAAGATGAGTCCATCGAAACATCCTCGTCGGAGACGCGGACTCTCTCTTCTGACTTAAATGCCATGGTGCCTCTCGAGGATGTCTGTGGTATGCGAATGCTGAAAGTTGAAGTGGCCGCCGCTACGTACGAAGCGGAACGCCAAGCAGTTATGCGCTACCCTGTGACCACTGCTGCAAATCGAACTGAAGCGAGCAAAAGAAAAAGTGCGTAAGAGATGAGAGTGCGTTCGGAATTAGCGTAATCACACAGGTGGGACAAAATGCACGAGGCTTGAGTCTCTGCAAGTTGCGTTGCGAGGAACCCGCTCCGGACTTTTTGGACGATAACCTTTTTTTCTGCTCCGCGAAGCACGGACCACCCGAGAAAGTCCGCGGCCTCAAATATGAACCTTTTTTTGGTAGTCCCGCCGCAGACTACTCGCTCTTGCGCATTGCAGTGGTAATTCTGGGTGTTTTCAATCGCTCAATCGAGAACTATGAAGAGAAAAGCGGAGAAGTCGCAAGCAGCTGGTATTTCCCCAACTTTCCCCTGTGATTGAAATGGTTGCGCGGGTGTGGATTGTTACGTTACTGACTTGATTTCTGGTAGCTCCGGTCAGCGCCTTCGCGGCCCGCAAAGCTCGTCAGCAGCAAGCGCAACGTGCAGCAGCAGCAGCAGTCGAAAAGCCAGTCGCTAATGAGTCGGCCAGCGAGCCTCCTTCGAAGAAAGCCCGACACTCCCCGGAAGAAGCGACCGCAGCCGAGCAGGAACGTACCCAGCTGAGGCGATCTACGAGGCGAAAGGATGCTGGTCCGGTCGAGAAACCGGCAGAAGAGGCGCGCAGGGTGACACGCTCACAGGAAGACTTACGGCGACCGGCTCAGGAACAATTCCAACCCAGCGAGGATCAACCCTCATCGGATGCCGAGTCGGAGATAGAAGTTGCCTCCGTCGAGGAAGCCAATGGTGTCGGGCTTGCGCCGCTGCAGGGAGATGGTGACGAGTAAGACCTCCCTCGCAAGCTTCCTGAAATCACGCTGATATCTATAGATTCGAGTCGCCCGCCGACACCCCTGTGCAATTGCAAGAATTTCCGCTGTCGAAGACCCGCTTGAACAAGAACAATGTGGTGTACAGCGACGAGCATAGGCTCTGCGTCCGGATCAAAGAGAAGATGGTACGACCTTACAATTCTTTATTATATATCGCCATACTTACAAAGCTTAGAGTCTTGTCTTCATCGGTCACTACGATCTCTGGGTTAAGCGTGGTGTGGTTAGCCTGATGGGTGCAAAGCTGCACCCCTCCTCTCGAGTCTACAGGGTCTACGCCCCCTCGACGCATTCCTTGCCGGTGATCAAATGCGTGTCTGGAGTGGACGGGGCGGCCGAAATCGAAGTCATGTCATGCCACAGCGGCATCTACCGTCTCAGGCACCTGTCGCCCCTGTACGAACGAGTCTGGAACAGCAAAAACACTGCGGCCGACAAGATCACATTGAAGAACGTGTCGCCCTCGACCAAGCGCACGTTCTCAGTGGTGAGTTCGATCCCTTCATCTGTCTGATCCACGACTGATCCTCCTCCAGCTGTACACCTCTGCGGATGATGCCTTGAAGAGACATCTCCGACCCCTGCACCTCGAGAAGCAGTGGAGCTCGGCCATCAAGTCCCTGTCTCAGCGCGGTGGACGACTCCGAACCCTGATCTGTGGTCCCAAGGCCTCGGGAAAGTCCACTTTCAGCCGCTACCTACTAAACCACCTTCTCAGTCCTGCTCCGCAAACCGAGTCAAGTTATCGCAACACCGACGGCGTCGCCTTCCTCGATCTCGACCCCGGCCAGCCTGAATTCTCTCCCATGGGACAGGTGTACCTTGCCCATCTTCGCTCCCCAGTCTTTGGCCCTCCATTCTCTCACCCATCGTTGGACGATTCCCGCAACGGCACGATAATTCGAGCTCATCACATCGGCGCAAGCTCCCCCAAGGAAGACCCCGACCACTACGTCTTAGCGGCTAAGGATCTCATGGATCGCTACCGCTCTTTGCTGGCGAGCTACCCCCAGTGCCCTCTGATCATCAACTACCCCGGGTGGATTTTCGGCCTCGGACTCGAGGTGGCCACCTACCTCGTGAGCTCCCTGGGTCTTTCAGACGTGGTCTACATGAGCGAAAAGGGGCCCGCCGAGGTGATCGAGCCTCTGGGCCAGGCCGCCGCACAGGCCAAAGTGCCTCTGACGATCCTCCCATCCCAACCCACCGATTTTGTGAGCCGGTCCAGCGCGCAGCTCCGGTCCATGCAAATGCAGTCCTACTTCCACAAGACCCAGCCCAGCGACATGGAGAACCCGTTGTGGCTCGAGCAGCCGCTCTCGCGCGCGCAGCCGTTCCAGGTTCACTACTCCGGCCCCAACCAGGACATTCAGGGGATCATGGTCATGGGCTCGCAGATCCATCCCGATCTCCTCTCTGAAGTTCTGGATGGAAGCCTCGTCGCCGTCGTCGCCGTGGAATCTCCCAACGCGCTTCTCGGCGGCAACTCTACCCCAGAATTCACCACCACCACCACCACCACCACCACTTCGACTGTTACCGCCGACGCCAACGACGCCGCCTCGGACATCAGCATGGTCGACGACGACAACAACAATAAACGCCCCTCCAACAACCCGAACCCCGCCCCTCCCACAACCCTCACCTCCAACATCACCCTTACCGCCCACGAATCCCTCCCCTACCTCTTCGCCGGCTCCGGCAGCTCCAACCCGCTCGACCCGCGCAAATCTCACAGCCTGGGACTCGCCCTCGTCCGCTCGATCGACCCGGCCTCCCAGACCATCGACCTCGTCACCCCGATCGCCGGCTCGCAGATCGAGAAGGCCCGCCAACAGGGCCACTCGCTGGTCCTCGTGCGCGGTCTCCTGGACAACCCCAACTGGGCGATCAGCGAGGAGTACTACGCGGCGCGCTCGGCGCAGAAACGCCACCGGGACGCGCTCGAGAAGCTCGCCAAACGGACCGGGAACGCCGTCGACGCCGCGGAGGCGCGCAGCCAACAGCGGGTGGCGGAGTTGCTCAAGGATCGCGTCCGCCGGGCGAGCACCAACGTGCCCTGGATGACGGTGATCGAGGATCCGCGGAGTCGGCAGGCGGAGGGCAGCGCAGCGGGCACACCGCGGGAGAAGGGACTGTGGAAGTTGAGGAAGAAGGCGTATTCGGGGAGCGGGAGTGAGGGGGAGGGCGAGTGGTAGGGAGGATAGTAGCTGTTGTCTAAACTTGGAATTCCTGGCTCTGGCGATCTTTCTGCAAGATGTATATATAGATGGATTCTTGGATTGGTGTTGACCTACATGAAAAAGTTGGTACGTTGCAACGGTTGTGACTTGAGTGTATAGATCAACTGTTCGAAGGGATTGGCCTATGTCTAATATCACCTAACAAGGTTCTGATGTCAGTGCTTGCTATCCAGATTGGAGACAACGCTAATGCACGGTCAATCTGGTGCCCATGTAATCTTGAACTCAGCCCGTCTTGGTCGTCGATATGGCACGTCTTCAAGAGAAGGCGCGGTCTCATCGATATCTGGGATCTGGGATCGGTGGAAACACGGACCCAAGACGGAGGGGGGGGTTCGGTACCTATCCTTTGGGCAAACGGGTGAATAGATAAAAGTAAGCTGAAGGGACAACTGAGTGTGAAAGGGATGTAACCAAAAGGGTAAGGGAAATGAAAGTAAAGATGGAGGGAAGCTCTCCCCTGCACATGATCCAAGCCCCGACCAGCCCAAGGACTCACGCCCACAAAGCCCTAAAAGCCTCAGCAATGCCCGTAAGCAAACCGACCGCCACACTAAACTGGTGCACATCGGTATAGATCCCAGGGCCCATCACTCTTATGGAATACGATGATCTGCTTCCTACTCTCCTCGTCCTTTATACAACCAGCACGTGCCCTCCTCAACACCGCGCAGGCGAAGATCCCACACGATTCTCCTCGCCTCGCAACAATAAAGAAAGTAGCCGACCTCCATCCATCTGTGCACAGATGCACATATCTTCAACATCCACACAGACAATGTAACCCCGGCCAGAGACAAGCTCACAGAAGAGTAGTCCACCTTTCGCCTTCCCCCGTCTATTTACCTCTGATATACTATCCCCGGGGGGGGAAGGGTGGGGGGGATACACGAAATGGATATCGTGCTGGACGAGTTTTCCAGCAGTCCTCGGTATAGGTCAGGTACAGGGGTCGAATTCTTCCTTGGAGAATTGTGCATGTACCTAGGATATGTCGACACTGTGATAGTGAAATGCTCACCGATAGCAACGCATCAATCCCTATACTAGACATGCATAGCTCCACATTATCTACTTAATTCCCACGGCCCTTCTTTTACCAAACCAAACAGTCTGCGAAGAGCATCGAACTACACACCTTCTGGATCGACAGATAACCCCCGCAATCAGGGTTCTCCACAGACACCGATCACATGGGATCATCGAGACAACATGGACTAAGTACTGCACTACATAGTAGGGACTGTTGCTAACGATGTAAGAGTAATTACAGTCGTCGGCTAGATATCTAATCGGTCATGACTCAGGTACGACGCCAATGGGCACCCTGCGCATGTCAGACTGGAGCTTATCTCGGACATTTTGATAACTGTCAAAATGGATGCAGACAGACAGAAAGGTGCATTAAACTCCGAGCATTGCGGGTCCTTCAGCCACACCGCTATCTCCCGTTTCTACACATAGATCTATAGACGTACAGTATGTACTTCGGGGCTCGCTGGAATTGATAAAGCAAACACATTGAAGTTCTACTTCGATCTGAAAAGTGCTCGATCTGATAGTACAATCGTGATTAAGTCCCATAAGACCCTTAAAACCATAACCATAAGTTACATACATGCATGCATGCCAAATGTCTCACAAGTGCATCCTTCGTTGCCTCGTACTGACATTCAATCATGGATTCATGAACCACATAATTCCCTCCTCTCGAATTAGTATCATAATAAGACAATAGCCACCACAATGGCGCAGGAAGAAGAAGTGAAGCAAAACAGAAGCCGCTTGTCTAAGGACATGCTGAAAACTACTTGAAGCAAACCCGGGAATGTGCCCAAACTCCATCTCAATCTTAAAGAAGGCGCCGTAGTCTATGTGGAATCCCGTATAAAGTCCGCAAACGAAAAGAAGAAGAAAACAAGGGCCGAACACCATAAAACTCGATCATCGTGTCCGAAATGAGATTCACGTGGGACAGCAAATCGTGATAGCTAGTGTGATAAGACATCACGGGGATTGGTGTGTTGTGGATCGTTTGATTGTAAATTGGAGATCCACTTGTCGAAAAAATGGAGCCATGATAACTCAAGCGACAACAGGTCGGCGAGGGGTAATGGGGATAGGCTTTGGTCCGGCGGCCGAAGACAGGTTCAAAGTCGACATTCCCAGATCGGTATCATCATCGAATTGCTGGGAGGCTTTGCGCCGAGACTTTTCCTTCCCACCTGCCATAGAGGTAGACTGCCGTCTCGCTGCGGCAGTACCTTCCTCTTCGCGAATAGTGCTGATGATTTGCTCTTCCGAGACCCGGTATGTGCCGAACTGGTGGCCAAGCTGTTGGAGAAGAGCTACAAAGTGCGCGTGGATTTCCGCAAAAATGTACTGGTTACCCGTGATCTCCGACAGGTTCCTTGCACGAACGGGACCAGGCCGGCGGAGTTGACCGGCCGGATCCAGTGCACGTCCAGTGAGAAATGAAGAAACAGGGGTGTATGGTTTATTTCCGTCCCTGTCAGGGCGCTTGTTCTGCTCCTCCCGGCGTTTCTCTTCCTCCTGGAACTTCTCTGCTGAGTTTGCCATTCCAGCTGCAATGCGCCCAAAGGTTCGCCAAATGACGGGGGAGGCCCGGAATGCCCTGCCCCCATCTCTGCCCGCCAAGGCGAGAAAGGCGTAGCTGCGCCGTTTCCCACGAGCCATTGGATCGGGAAGACGAAAGACGAACGCGATGGTATAGCCAGCGATTCCGTCCCCGAAACTCAAGGGTCCGGAAGATAGTCCGCGTGGTAAGAGCTCACAACTCAGGGTCCGGATCGACGAGCGACGAAGAAGAGCGTAATCGGTAGGATTTGGAGGTCCACGCAGGGACAGGTAGGTGAGAATATGTGAGTGGCAAGAAGCATCTGACGTAACAGAGGACGAATGGAGAGACTCCGGATAGGATTGATGGACGTGCGGGTCGCCATCTTCATGATCGGCAGAACTATTGCCACAGGTGTAGACAACCTGCCGCGAGCGCAGGACCGGACTACCGTTCCGACCCTTGCCATCACTCTTGGGTGCCCCTGGTGCCCCCGGTGGTAGCTGCTTGCTTACATTCTCGGGTAGCGTCAAACTACAACTGGCACAGGTGTCCCCCTCCGCGCCTCCCAGATGGCTCGAAGGTTGCTGGTTCTCGGCGGGTGGGGTCTTGGTCTTCAAAAAATACGGGTGGTCTTCAATCCGAGGCGACCGGTCGCCGGTTTCCGGGCTCCTTTCAGATAGTTTAGCGGATGAAGGGGGCTTGCTGTTTGTCTGACTTTGCATGCCATGGGAGGAAGCGGTGTCGTGAGAGGTGGCAGGGGTATCAGTGGGAGAATAGTCGGAAGGCTCGGGATAGCATTGTTGGCAGGCGAAAGGAAGAACCTGCGAGCAAATGATCGAGGTTGGACCATGCACCTCGCAGAAATGCGTCAAAGAAAGCTAGAGGCGCGTCGGTCAGTCCACTGGCGCGCTAGATTTGAGGCTGAAGGGCGGGGTGGAACAGGAGCAGAGTCAAAAAGAAAATCCCCTTGCCATGTCGCACGCATGTCTCAGACATCATTGCATCCAGTCGCGGGCGAGATGATGCAGGAGACAATGCGATTGCATGCGCTTTAGAAATCCGATTGATCGTAACACATCCCAGGCACACAGTCTCGCAGGTAGAACCAAACCAGATTGCGACGAAGGAGGGAGAGACCGGGGCGCCACTTACTATGAAATCCATGTCTGCGAAAGCTTAAGGTCTAGCGAAAGCCAACAACCACACTAGACCATTGTTGCAATACATGCTTTCCAGGTTGCAATGTAGGTGACGACAGTGGTGGTTATCTCAGACAATGACGCAAATCGACCACCACAGAGAAGAGAGGGAGTAGGAGGAATTGGAGATGGGGTGTGGGAGGGAGAAATTCTGGGTGAGGCTGGCCCAGAACCAGAGAGTGGGGAAAATTGAATCAGTAAGCAACACGCAAGCAATGGTCAGTCAGTGCATCTGCAACTGCAAAGACCAGCTTGCAGGGACAAAGGCAAAGACACAGAGGAGAAGTAAGAAAAGGAAGAGAGGGGAGAGAAAGTAAAGAGGAGTGGAAATTGGGGATGCGGCGGAATAAGAGCGAGACAGCGAGCGAGAGGGTAGAGCGGAAACAAGGTAGAATAATCACAGACACATTTTGGTTTTAGTTTAGTTTGGATTTAGTTTAGTTTAATTTTCCTGATATTGTTTAGTGAGCCTCTGATAATAATTGGGAGAGGAAAGGGAAGGGGGAGGGGGGGAGGGGGGGAGAGATAGTGGAAAGAGGAGCCTGGACGGAGGGACGGAGGGAGGGCCCTCCCCAGGGCCGGAAGTGGAGTGCATCGGCAGCAGAAGTACTCAGTGAACTTCACACTGAATGGGCTGGTCTGGCCTGTGACGGCTTGGGTGTTGGTTTGGTAACAACTGGGTAACGGCTGAGTAATAACACAGTCGACTGTAACGTTACTATACCCACTTTGAAGGCTTAAACCGCCAATGGAGATTTCCACTCAGCCAGATTACCAAGCACAAGCAAATACATAACTAGTACTCCATCCGTGTAGTGGTGGCCAAAAATCATAGTGCTTCCATACTTCCATACTTCCACCAGTTAGTTCATCGTTCCATGTTTTGTGGGAAAGTTTCCCTCCCTACAAAGTTCTCACTCATACGTAGCAGCAACAGAGTTCCGCTGGATATACCCCGTATAGATGATTAAAATAGACTAAATTACCTTAAGTATCGGATCCTCATACCTAACCTCAGGCTTTGTTTTCTCCCCCCTTTCCTTCGATGAATGGTCACCTAGAAGAAGCCCGAGACTACTAGTCGCCCTTCAGCCCGTCAGCCGGATGGAGCCCGACAGAAAACGGTTTCGGCCTAAGGCGATTTAGCAGGAAAAGCCACTTGGAAAACCAGAACAAGCATTCATCGCTGATGCTGCTGACAGTCTGACTCGGGACGAGAGCATGGAACGTACTACTCTACTCGTCATCTATCTCGTTTTCCCCTTCCTTCATCACGACCATATCCGATAACTGTGCCGATCCTCGAACCATAGTGTCTGCCGGCTGTAAGGAAGAAACAGCGCCTGACACTCTGTAGCCTGCAGTTAGGTAAATTCATAGTAGTTACTAAGGCAGCGACCTCGGAGAAAATAATGGTACTCAGTAATAACCAGAACCCCCATTCGGAACCCGTTGGCGGTACTTGCCAAACGCCCGAAGGACCCTAACAAACTTCCGTACCCAATTTGACGGGACGGTCTTTGGCCGCTAATCTGCTTCGTTTTACGCAATCGAAGCTCTATAGAACGGCAGATGGAAGAAGTCAAATTGGTTCCCACCGGAGATGCTCTACTTCTAGCCCAGTCCACTCGCCCACACACACATACTGTACGCACATACTGTACACGCACATACCACAACAACGAACCCACAACACGTACAACACATACACACTCACTCTCGCGCTCTACATACTCACATAAGCCCGACCTCAATGATTGCCATTGTTCTGCGGAATTTCCGGTCAGCCTGAGCTCCCCTTCTCAAACACTCCGTAGATATATTCCCAGATAGGCTGTTGGTTCCGATCAGCCAAGTAGTATCGGCAAGGATCCCCTTCAATTGACTGGAATGCGCCGCATAGGTATTTCTCACTCTCTGATTTTCTCTCTCACTCTTTGTTGATCATTGCTCGACCATGTCACTGCTGGCTGCTTCTTTCCACGGCCCTCCTCCGTTCTTGGTTCCCCCTCTCTCCACTCCTCATCTTTTCCCCCTCATCTCTTTCGTATTCACCGTTACTTTGTTTTGTTTCGTCAATTTTTTGTTTTGTTTTGTTTTGGTCGTTATACTCGAGTATAGTATTTTCTTTTTCTTCTTCCTCATCTGCAATCCTTCAGCTGGGCAGCAAAACAAAAAGAATTTGTCATGCAGGAGCCGAGTAGGAAATCACAAGCTAGACCAAATGCCAATTGACCACTGTCAAAGAAAGCACCCCGGCAGCGAGATCGATCACACTCACACTCACAGAGCAGCATACTCCGTTCCATACATACTCATTCTTGTACTTCGTACATACACATCGAATAATTGCGGCCGCCGCCCCCCCTCCCCCCATGTCCGAGATAGCCGATAGCGCAAACCAGGGTTTGGTTTACTTTTACTTTTTTACCTCCCTGGATCCCTGCGGGCAGCGGCATAGGAAGGGAAGTATGGAGTGAAACTACGGAGTACAGTAGTACGTTGTAAGTCTGTACAAAAAAAAAAAAAGAGTAAGCTGAGTGGGCGGGGTGAGTTCCTCTGTGGCAGAAGTTCCCCATTCTCCGTCGTCGCCGCATCACAGTTCTCGACCTTGACGCGCATACACATACTCTAAGCCTTATCCCCTCATTGATGGACTGCCGAAAAAAAGAGGGCCCTGGACGGAATGGGATTATCCAGACGGGCCATGAATCGGGGATTGGCATGACTATCGCCGCCACCTTGCCAGCATCGGCATCATCGTCAACAACATCAACATCATCACTACTACATGAGTAATGTAGGGACATAGGGACGGGAGTACAACTCCCTTGTAATCAATCGATATTGGATGATTTCTTCTGTTCTCCCGTGCGGGTTCAGCCACCACTGGACCTTAAACCCAACTCAGTAAGAGTCGAAATGCGAGAGGACTTACTGCCTGTCACATGCCCGCCCAAGGACGATCGAATAGTCAGGTATAGGGTATATCAACGGAAAAAGAAAAGCGACGGCCTGAAAAAATATAAAAGAAAAAAAAAAAAAAAAAAAGGAAAGGCAGAGGAAAAAGGTCAACGGTCGGATAAATGGCCAGCTTGAGACCCGACGAAACAGGCGGTGTTGGTTGGGTGTTTCGTTCCGCGGGCTGTAGGAAGATTGATTTCATTGCGTCGCAATAATGAGATGATCCAAGCCCTGACTTCTTGTAACTGATCGTCATGGGCTTGCGACGCGGAGGAGATCTCATCTGGAGTAGGTACGGTGGGAATTGGTGATTTGGAGTCTACTGGTATACAAGACTTTTTGGAGATGAGCAACGCAATCCTTCCCCGCTACCGCCTGGGCTTTCTTCTTGCCTTGAAGTTTAAACCCGAAGCAATCTAGAACATCATGACTTGGTAAAGGACTTGCTTGGCCCTTCGCTTGTCTCGCTCTATCCTCTTTATTTCTCCTCTCTTCCCTTCTCTACCCGAAATGAGCAGCGAAAGAGTAGTCAGATATATCCATGCTCGAGTCAGACAACAGAGGATGGGTGGAATGTTACCTACGGAGTAGAACCCCTCGAGTCGCTTCAAGCCAATTCCTTACGCTCCGATTTGCTCGCGGTCGGGTTGAGGACTGGCCCAACCGGGATGGATTCCAATCCTGCGAAAACGGCAGCGGAAACTGGAACTGGAACTGGAACGAACCCTGAACCCTCATCGGCTCACGGCATTGAACTACGGTACTATCTAGATTACTACCTAGTACAGTACACTAGACAGGAGAATGCATGCACTCCTTCATCCATCTACTGTCAGTGCTCTCTTGAACATTGCTGTGCATTCGGCTCAAAAACCCCTCCTAGCCACGCGGATGCGTTCTTGCTTCCATTTGCTGCATGCGGAGTGTAGCACCTACATCCATAGCACATATGGCTGTTACTGTAGCGGTTACTGCTGCTTCCGCGGTAGCTAAATTCGCATATTCGCATGCCCCCCTCATGCAACGATGACAGTTTCCACGGCCTAGACGACTTAATGTATACTGCAGTTATCGGTTGTTTCTCCTTACCTGACAGCTCACGGTAACCTGATGGTTTACTTTCTGTCCTAGCCTAGCAACGAGAATGTCTCATTCATGATCCGGGGAGGGGGACGGGGGCCACAGTGTCCTACTCTCGAAATTTCGACGAAATTAAGCCGACACCATACGGAGTAAGCTGAACTAGACTGGACATAGACCGGGCAGCTTCCCTGTTGACTTTGTTGACTTTGACCGGGGTTGGTCATCACGTCACACTGCATCATAGTCATGGTTGACAAGTTCAGACGAGTTAGTTCGAGGTACAGTGCCTTCAGTACCTTCACCTACAGTACTCAGTACTTCAGTACATCATGAATGTAATGTAAGACTGTCAAAGTGTTGTGTTTTGGCGCCATGGATCATTCTGGCCAGTGGCCATGGACCGGTCCTTCGGTTTTCTTTTTCTTGTTCCCTGGCTTATCGCCGGCGACCGACCGACTCACAGCCCCGACCGGTCGACTACTGCCATGCAGGTGGCCCCCAATTGCTGCCTGGTCTGCCCTACTAACCCATCCCATCGCAGAGTCCCTGTCGTGATAGATCGACTCTGGAAAGGAAGCGATCTATCCATCTACCTACACTATCTACGTAGTATGCCAGGGGTGACTTGGCTTGACTTGACGGGAAGCGATAGGTGTTATCAGTAAACCCCTATCTCAGGGCCTGGCTGGATAAGTCATATCATGATACTATCATGGATTGTACAGCAGTATAGCAAGGGTCGATTATAGTCCGGGCCTCCGCATCCCAGGTATCTTTTCCGATAATCTCTGCTTGGACAACCGCATCGCGCTTATCGGGGGTTATCTTCAGCCTCGCCGCTGCAGTTTTTTGGAATTTCCTATACTCGGATTGAGCCCAAATGTGCAAGAATCGCTGGATCACACCGATGATGAGGTC